TCGCAGATGCCCTCGTCCAGGGAGCCGCGGGGATCACAGTCGCAGTGCTGGCAGGCGAACTCCGACCGGATGTCCTGCTCGGGGTCGCGATAGAAGAACGGCTTGCACTCCTCGCAGTGCTGACCCTGGGTGTTGTGCATGCAGTTGTCGCACACTCCGCCGGACACATTGCCGGAGGCGGCGAACACCGCCTCGTCGAAGTGGCAGCTGACGGCGTGGTCGTTGCACTCGCACTTCTTGCAGGCGTTCGTCTGCTTTCCGAAGGCCGGCTTCCAGGGCAGGTCGTTGAAGAAGTCCTCGCAGGTGTCGCAGTTCAGGCCCTGGGTGTTGTGGGTGCACTCGCAGCGTCCGTGCACCATGCCGTCCTCGTTGTCCGCGGGATTGAAGTGCGGATCCAGCGGCAGGCACTGGGAGGCGTGGCCGTAGCACGAGCAGGATCCTCGCACCACCATGTTGGAGATGCCGTAGTAGTACTTCTCCTCATTCTCCAGCCGGCTGTCCAACAGATTGTCGCCCAGCTTGTGCAGCTTGGTCAGCTGGATCCTCAGGTTGGTCATCTTCAGTTGGTTCTGGACGTGCTCCGCATACGGATCCGACACATTGATGTTGGGCGGCAGCACCCTGAAGATCACCTCACCGTTCCGCGAGGGCTCCACGTTCGAATACCGTGACGTACACATCACATCGGTGATGTTGTGCAGGACAGTGGACACTCCTGGGAAGGATTCCTTGCAGTCGTAGGCGAAGTAGCGGTAAACGTGCCACGTCTTGCCGAAGTCAAAGGACCTCTCGATGTACATGGCCGCCGGTCGGAAGGTGGTGAACGTGATGATCAAGTGGGTGAAGTGGAACTCCGCCTCCAGGTCCAGCTGAATGGTGGCATTCTCGCGGCCGTTCTCCGACTGCCACCAGGTGGGCAGGTTGGTGCCCGGCTTGGTCTTGTAGATGATCTGTCCGATGCGATGGTTCTTGTACGGATCGTTCCGCGTCACCTCCCGCGTGTCGCACAGGAAGCACTTCTTGTCCTGCAGATGGGAGAGGATGCAGAACCGCTCCGGAGACTGCAGACCACAGGTGGAACTGGCGGTCAGGCGGTTTTCCCTGCCAATCAGAAGATTACCGGTGGCCGGGTAGCACGAGGACCTCTCGCAGGGATGCGTTTTGATGTACTGCCGGGGTGGATTTCTCGGCCTGTCCCGCCTGCCGTGCTGGGGCTGGCGTTGCGGTTCCGCCGATCCCAGATCGCTGGCTAGTAGCCCCAGCACAAAGACCACGGCGATAAGCCGCAGCTCCAACATCTTGCTGGCTCTTTCTCTCGTTCGCGGGCCCACTCGCGGGTTGTTGGGGTCGCGTTCCAAGTGTTCCACTGGGGGACTTCCGGCCGGAGCTTTAATCAGTTGCTCTTCTTTCGTTCGTTTCGGTTTCTGTGGGGATGGAACTCGGTTTCTCTTGGGGGAGACTGCCACCAGCCACGTGATCCTTCCTTATTAAATCTAAAATTCATAAAAATAATTAGTGATTAATTTTATAATTTTAATTAATTATATAAGTATGATATTATATCCTTTAACTTACTCAACCACTCTGCTCCTGCCCCTGATTCTTCATCCACTTTATAGACTTGATTCGTTCATGTTTTTATGTTAATCCCAAAGCTGAAAAGATTAAAAAAAAATGGGATTAGTTACTAAACAAACATCTAGTTTCTTGCCCCCACTTTGATCCGCTTATCAACCGAGAGATGCTCCAATTTTCTTTTAGAAAAAAAAAACAAAAAAGAAGGAAAACTGATTTATTTTTGTACCATTTAAAAAAAAAGGCATCCGCGCCCAACGAATCTTACGCACCAACTGAGAAGCTAAATCTTGAACTGAAACTGAAACTGAATGGATCCTATCAGGCCCGACTTTATATATATATATTATAAACACTATAGTGCCGATAGTGGGGTGTGCGTGTGGGTAAGACCTAAGCCGTTGTTGCCTGGTGCGTTCGATTGCTGGGGTTTATCAGTTTTTTGGGTTATAGTTTAGTAGTTTAGGACTTAAACTAGAGAGGGTTAATCTTAAAGAGAGGGTTAAATCTATAGAATATTATTTAATTTCTTAAATAATGCTTAGACTTCAAGAGAACTTCCATATCTCTAGTAGTAGTCTTCAAGTCGGAGTTTCGGTTTCTTATCAGAATACTAGAATCTCAAAAACTGTTCTACAAACTGAAAAGATAACCCAGGGAATTCTTAAAGCCCCGCCAGTCAGCACATTTTCTAGACCCAAACATGGAGCCGCTGTCTAAAAATACATATATGTGTTTCATAATTTCATCTGTCCCCGATAAGAGTTCATTCACAGATACATTCATTCCTCCGGTCTGAGTATATGACTTCTCTCTGGTACGATTCCCTCCAGACTTTAATTACTCTACTGGTTGTGTTTGGTTTAATTTCGTTTTCATTCCAGACCGATTTGGGCCCGGAGGAGGAGGAAACTGGCAAAAATAAACAAATAAGCCATATAGAAAGGCTGATGAGTGTGTGTGTGTGTTTGTGGGTAAATAATGGAGCAGCAGTGGAGCACTCCACAGTTCTCGATTCTCCATATTTCTGTGTGTATGTCGGTGATCTAATGTTTATTGTATATATATATACAGTATATATGTATGGCCAGTTCATAAAAATTTGCTCATACAATTGCCTGGTTTTCTTAGTTTTGCTGGAGATGCTGTTTATATTTTCAATTTCTGACCAAGGAATACCATTTTTTGATACAGTGAACCCCAGAGAAGACATACATTTAAATATTCCCTTAACTAACCAAGATCTTATAGCCCTAAGAACCTTAAAGGATAGGATTATTACCCCAAAACCCCTCATATATTTCATAGTTCATCTCCAGGGACCACTGTATGTTTACTTTTGTATACTATATGCATCATGCCCACCAAGACCCAAGAACCCCCACTCCCAGTTCCATATTTCAATTCACTACTGTCTGGAGCACACATGTTGTGGAAGTCTAACACGTCTCCAAAAATATATATATGAGATCAGCCTGCGATAGTCAGAAGATTGGCTATAATTAGAGACCGACCCGGACCCGGCCCCGAAACCAACTAAATCCTTTTCTGCCCCCACAGTCCACAGCAATCTAATCTATATAAATGAATTCGTCGGATGCACATCTATGTATCTTGTATCTTGTATCTCAAGGCGACAAGCTCGGCTCACATTTTAATTAGCTGCCGTCCCATTGTCGCAGCTATAAAGAAAATCCGCTTGGCCATGCACTTTTTGAGTCCACATGCCATCATATACATGTACATAGTTGGATGGATAGTAGCCTTATGGCATCATGTTTCTATATGCAACAGTATGCATAATCCACAAAATATTTCTAGCTAAGTAATTGCACTTTAACTTTTAAGAAACTAGAGATCTGAACCTTAAAATGGAATGTATCTCATAGATATAGTCATGGAACTAATAGTTTCTAGTCGAAAAAGCCCCAAAAAATCTAGTATACCCTTTACCCCCCAAGTATATGTACATAGGGTTCCACGGGTTATCTCGAGACGGATGCGGAGGAGGAGGAGGAGGAGGGAAATGGAGTGGAGTGGCAAGTAGCAACAAAAACAGGGCTAAAGATAAACCACCAAGTTGGAGCGAGAGACAGATACCGACGAACTGCAGCTGTTTGGAACTGCGTATAAACTCCGCGTGGAACCCAGATACTAACTGTAAATGTGCTCCTTGAAGATACATATTCAACTTACCGGATTGTTTTGATCGGTCAAAGATAGTTTCGTGGCGGGCCTTCCAAAAATTGTATTTTTCTGTTATACAGACAAAACAACAAACACACAACGTGTTTTATTTTCCTTTTTTTTTTTTTTTTTTTTTTTGTTGATGCAGCAAACACTTTTCGACTTCTTTTTTTAAACTCCACAACACAGGCACACACAGATACAGATACAGATACACCAACACATTGAGGGCACGCGGCGAAGAAGATATTTATTTTCCAAGACAATCGGAAAGAAAATTCCAAAAGATTGGGGCGGTACGTTCCCAACCCGAATCCGAATCCGAAACCGAAACCGATCGCCACAGATCCACACTCGAGAATGAGCTAAGGATGAAAACTTCACCCGCAATCTCAGCAACAAGTGAGCGGTTGCGAGAGCTAAATATAGTCCACTGAGAAAAATAATTTAAAATATAAATAAACTTATTTTACAAATTATATTATTAGATATTTATTCCATTATAAAAAATATCATGTTTAAAATAAGGGAATTTGTTATTTTTTCAACTGTCTTAGTTGAAAGTACCCTTCAGATACTTTTTAGTGTAGTTGGGAGAGCCAGAGAACGTTGTTTGTAGATACCTGATGTATGGTAGGTAGGCCTGTATCTCCGTTTTCCTCTTTACCTCAAAAATGCATTGCTCATAGATACACTCTACAAGAAGATGTGTGCGTGAAGTATAACAGAGCCAAAGGTGTAAATAAAATGTTATTTAACAGAGTCAGGGTTTTTGATCTTGCCATGATCTACAGAATTCTGCCTCTTAATTTATAAATCATAAATATTTCTAATTCTTACATTTTACTTATAATTTAAGGTTTCATTCATCCTTTTATTAGAATCTTCGAAGCAATATTGTAATTTATTATTTGAATTTCCTTTTTCGCGCGGTGTTTAAAAAAAGTATCGATATATCGCATCCCAAAAAGGATCACGAAAAACTAGTGATGTTGCATAAAGAACATTTTTAAAGGTTGTTTTTAAAAACTTTTGTAAATATTTAAGAAAATGTGCTTAATAAAGATGAAAACAATAAAATTCAAACAAAAATTGATGGTGCCTAGTGTTGCAAAACTTAAAAAAAAAGCTAAAATGGCAACCCTGGTTGATAAGCCAACCAAAGCAGTGTGTCCAGATATCATATCAAACAGTGTGCCCAGTAGCTGTTCTAATCTTTTAAACTTTTACCTTGCCTTCTAACATTCAGTTTATTTTTAAACTCGGACAAGTGGACAAACCCAAGCTTACCTCGGGCGCTGCGTTTTGCTCGTGAGCGGTTCGCTGTGTTATTTGAAAATAAATAACAGAGAAAAGAAAACAAATGAGCCGAGAATCAAAGTGCAAAAGCTCGCGTTGAAAATGTTGTTAAGTTAAACCAGACAGTTACAGACGTACACTAAATTCTATGTGGAATATTCGTTTGACAAAATTTTAAAAATAGTACAAAAAAAATACAGATAAAATCCAAAAAAATTATATCCAACAAAATTTGTAGTGTTATGCAGAGTGTGGTGTGGATTTTGGCTGGTGTTGCTGCCTCCTCGGTTCCCCTGTATTCCCGATCCGTGCCACATCCATCCGCAACAATTACGACGAAAGTGTGAAACCCCAATTTAGGTGAGTCTTCCTGGCCCCACCTGCCTGGCCATCCATCAGGTCCGCAGCGCCACGTACCATAAAAAAAAACCAAAAAGAAAAAACTGTGCAACTGTAACATCTCCCACTCCGCGATACTATTTAGCCTGGAAAGAAACCCCTTCGGCCGGGAAAATGCCACGAAAATAGTCCAGAAATTGTTCCCCCAAAAAATTGATTACGCAGTACACAACAACATCGCATTCTCGCATTCTTTTTTCCGATTTGTGTTGGGGTTTTAGTAGAAAAATGCGTTGGTTGCTTTTTATTAATACACAACACTCTCACACACACACACATAGATACAGAGCCCCATACTCTTGGGGAGAGCAGCTTTTTGAGAGCTCCAAGGCATGCGCAGTAGTCGAGAGCGGCAAATAGTTGAGCGAGTCTGGTGGGAGGGGGGGGCGGATGGGGAGTGGGTTGCAGGTGAATGCTGTTGCCGTTGTAATCAACGCTTCTATGTGTGTATGTGTATGTGTGCGGTGTTTTTGTTGTGGTATACGAGCGCGGCAAAAATCTGTGAACGCTTAACGCTTCCAATTTCCACACAAACTTGTACAAAAAGAAAAACGGCTAGCCTTTAGTCGTGTCGTGGCTTGTATTTTGAGCCGCTTTTTGCTGTCATTCTTGGTTAGTTTTTTCTTTTGGTGACGTCACTGGGGCCTAAGCTATATTTAAAAACTCGTTTGTTTGCCGCCAACAAAGTCGTCGCTTTTCAAATGACCATTGTTTTTAATGGCCATCAACGTGCCCAGCCCAGATATCGGGATTTCAATGTCCAACTGGAGACTAAGGGAGAGTAGTGGTCGTTTCTATCGTTTTATGTTTACTTATTTGTTCTGTGTGGTGGCAGATAAGCCAGATACTTATGTATATTTATATATAATAAGTACATAAATACATACATACACACATCCATCAGTATGTATCATTGTGTGCGTTATGTTGTCGTCACGTGGGAGTTGTACTAGTTGGTGTTTGTTGGAATTTTTATCAACTCCCAAAACTCCCATCAATGAGAGAAGGAGAGCGGAGAGCAAAGAGAAGCCATTGAATTGCATATTACCGCTATATTTAGGAATGATCACCGATAGTTGGGGGATATGCGAAAGAGAGGGGCAAAGTAAAGGCCGGAGAAAAAAAAAACTCAATTGGAATGAATGGGGGGAGATTCACAGTTAGAATTTGTTAGATTGCTCTCGATCGCCGCCAGAGGGCGTTGTTGTAGTACAGTGAACCTTAGGTATGAGGTTTCTGTTTCAGCCTTCCTTCACCTTTTGTGGCAGCGTGACTTGCCCCATATATCCTGATATCTTAAGCTATTTTCATTTCCGTTTCTCGAGGTCCGCCCAATGTCATGCGATATATAGACCTGTATATAGTAGCTACACCTTTGGTGGCCCGATTGAAATCTAAGTTTGGATCTGGCCCGGTTCGAAACCCCTTGGTCGACATGCAAATGTGCCATAAAAAGCCGCCAGCTGTCTTGACTTTTAAACTTTAAAGCCAGGAAGAGGAAATACATAAAGCATGGTGGTCTGGTGGTAAGGGGCGGAAGATGAAAGGATAAAAAGGACTAACCATGTCCTGGTGCGGGCTCCAAAAAATCGGCAAAGGCACGCCAACCGCTGCTTAAGTTTGTGGATGGAAAAGGTTACGAATTTGCATAAAATCGAATATTTACATACATGTGCCCCCCAGGAGTCCCCCCATGTGTGTAACACTTGGGGTGATGGGTCAACATCGTAATTTCCGAGGATCTCAGGCCATTAAAGTACAGGAAACGCCCCAGAGTGAGAAATATTCCTTCAAGAAGATTAAGAAGGATATATTTTGGAAAAGAAATCATTTCTTAAATCTTAAATATTCTCTTATAATCTTGCCTTTGAAAAGCAATAAACTTAATTGAAATGATGCCATGGGCACTCTTTGTAACCCTCATGAATTTCCATAGGGACGTGACTTTCTCGGATTTTCCTCACGACTTTCTATAAGAGTGTTCCCCCATTCGAGTTCTCCTCGCCTCGGCTCGGCCCATTGTTTGGTGGAACTGACGACTTGATAGAATGAGTGCCTGACTGATGGCTATATGCATATCGATATGGAAACCATCACCTACATTCGACTACGGCTGGTGGCAAAAGTGGAGCAAGCCAGTCAAGGAACTGCGTTTAGTAGCTGGGGTTAGGGGGTTAGGGTGGCAGATATACTCATAAAGTTACTGCCAAAGTGACAAACAGAACACATGTTTCCACTTCAATAGATATGTACGTACAAAAGACATTATTTAGATACAGATACATGTACTATGTATCTGTGGATGTGGAACACCCTTTGCGGAAAACATCATTTACTGGCATCCAATTATGGCCAGGTCGGGTTTTTTGTGTGGAAGTCGGTGTGGGCGCATTTTGTTGCCAACAAAAGTCGTTAATAAACAAAAGGGGGGGTTTCAGCGAGCGATGCTCAGTGATTGGGTTTCTTTCTAGTTGATATTGATCTAATATGTATGATACTTCAGGTGCTCCAGGTGCTCAGGAAGTCTCTAATATTTTATTTTAAATGAATTCCAAGGCTTTTATCCTCAGAATGCCCAGGGTATCTACAAGTTCTCCTATTAAGGCAGTTGAAAGTTACTCAAGACTCTATGTTTAATCTCTTTCCAGACGCCAAAGAGTCGCTGCCGTAGTCTCAGCCAGCCTGCCAAGATGTTGGACGACGACAACTCGGATCTGTTGGTCTGCGCCTCAGAGATGCAGGAAGGTAAACCCCAACAACCCGACATTGAGTGACATGCTTACCTATAATCCGTCAACTTTCAGACCGCCTGTACTTTGTGGCCTTTAAGAAGAACATCAAGCCACAGAACACCACGAATACCCATTACTTCAGCATAGATGAGGAGTTCATCTACGAGAACTTCTACAACGACTTTGGACCTCTGAACATATGCATGCTCTACAGATACTGCATGAAGCTGAACACAAAGCTGAAGGCCAAGTGCCATGCCAACAAGAAAATCGTCCACTACACTTCCATGAATCCGGCAAAGCGACTCAATGCCGCCTACCTGATTGGATCATATGCAGTAAGTGATCCTCCCAGCTATCTATGAAGTATATTTATTAACTTGGAACTGCCTATCCAGATCATCTACCTGAATAAGACGCCCCAGGAGGCGTACCGGCCGCTGGTCGCCGGCGAAATTCCCGCCTACACGCGCTTCTGTGACGCCAGCTACGGTCCCAGCAGCTTCAAGATCTCCCTGCTGGACTGCCTCAATGCTGTCCACAAGGGCCTGCAGGCGGGCTTCTTCAATTTCGACGACTTCGATGCCGACGAGTACGAGTATTTCGAGCGAGTGGAGAACGGCGACTTCAACTGGATCGTCCCCCAAAAGTTTATCGCGTTTTGTGGCCCCCACCAGAAGAGCAAGACGCTTCCCAATGGCTATCCCTGCCATGCACCCGAGCGCTACTTTACCTACTTCCGGGATAACAACGTCACGACGGTTATTCGGTTGAATGCCAAGGTCTATCATGCGTCTTCCTTCGAGAATGCCGGTTTCGACCACAAGGATCTGTTCTTCATTGACGGCAGCACGCCCAGCGATGCCATTCTGAAGAAGTTCCTCTCGATATGCGAGACCACAAAGGGGGCCATTGCGGTGCACTGCAAGGCGGGACTGGGACGCACTGGCAGCCTCATTGGGGCGTACATCATGAAGCACTATGGGTTCACGGCGCTGGAGGCAATAGCTTGGCTGAGGCTCTGCAGGCCGGGATCGGTCATTGGGCATCAGCAGCAGTGGATGGAGGAGTAAGATACATGGTTATCCCATTTCTTATAGAAACTAATGTAATCTATTCTTTCTTCAGCAAACAAAGTTGGCTGTGGTCGGAGGGTGAGCGGATGCGACGACGAACTACGCTGCCCATCCTCCAGCATACCTACGGGATCAACAGTCTGGAGCTGAAGAGCAAACTGGCGGAGATAGGGACGGACTCCGCGGAGCATGTTGATCTGTTACTGACCCGTGTGAAGGGCATCTCTCAGCGCGTGGACACCATGCATCTTACTGATCACGATACCCTCGACGCGTCAATTGTGGATCAAACCGATGAGGAGATCTCCGAGCAGCAGCAGCTGGAGCGGGATGAACGCGCCCTGTACCTTCAGTCCGGCACTGAGGATCCCAATTCCAATATAAGCGATGATAACGATACGGATACAGTGTCTGCGCCCGCCGAGCAGCCCATCTCCTCCAGTTATACCATTTCGACGCGGCGCCGGAAATCTCCATCGGCTGCGAATCGTTCCACGGTCATAGCCACGTCTCTGAGGCGTTTGGTCAGCCCTGTATCGAATAGGAGCAGCCTGAACTCGGGTCCCGGCTTGTGTCCTGCTGCGGACGCCGCTAGCTGCACGGAGAAGAAGCTGCGCAAGCCCAGCGCTAGTGTCTTTGAGGCGGCTCGTCACACCATCGCCTCCACGGTGAGGATGACGCAAACGGCGCTGGAAAAGAAGCAGGCCCAGACGCAGGGCGACAAGCTGAACCAGATAAAGGCGCTCAGGAGGCATCACTCCCGCTCGGTGAACGTGAACAGCAACAGGTGAGTGGTCCCTTTGAGCTTTGAAGTCCCTTTGATGATAACCTTTTGAACTTTGAACCAACTAGCGAGCAGGATTCGAATCTGAGGCATACGAGAGCACGTTCCCAGCCATTCCGTAACAACAACAATGGCGTTATGGCCACGACCCTGAAGCCGGGACAACCCACTTCATCCTGCTTACCAGCGAACACCGCGGCAGCGACTTTGGCCAATAATCTGAACAACAACAATGGTGGCGGTGTCGGGAGCAGTAACAGCAACACCCCCAATAACAACAACAACAACAACAATAATAATATAAGCAACTCGTTGAATAACTATAACAACAACAACAATACCACTAACATTTTGGCCAATTCGGGAAGCAGTCGCACCCGAAGCCTGGCCATTTACAGCAAGAGGTAAGTAGTGAAGGAGTCCCCAATTTCTCCTCCCCCCCACCACCACCCGTCTCGTTGTTTTGGACTTTTGTTGGATTTCATTTCGTTCCGTGTGCGGCTCTGCTTAAAAATAATTATTATTATTTTTTTTTTAAATTAATTATTACTACTTTTATTTCTTTGAAAACCCCTAAAAGATACTTATCCCCCTTCCCTGTTGAGTTGTATATATATATACCGATTATATAGTCGAACTGGTTAATTATTTCCAATTAAAGTTTTGTGTGTAAATCCCCTAAATTCTACCAACTAACCTATATACCAGTTAAACTGTTTTTAGATATTATTAATATTAATTTTTTAAATCCCCAAGCTCAACCCTAACACCCAGGACCTCCTCTTGGGGGAGTTAACTTTATTTTATCCGCTAATCTTAGTTTAAAGCCACTTTAATTGTTTGTATTTAGTGTTCTCTTGTGCATGCTTTAAAATTAAATTTTAAAAATGAGTATTAATTAATAATAAACAACAAATTATCAAAATTATTATGCAAATGCTTGCAATGTTTATTTGTGCACCGTCTTGTATGTTTTGGCCTTGTTTTTGTTGCTTGTTAGTTAATATGGAGTATTATTTTAGTTCCTTGTGGGAGTCATGGTCTTGCAGAGACTCTATCCAAAGCCCCCATCCTGGTCTATTGGAAAGAATCTGCAAGATTAGTACAAACTTTGGTCCCCGAAGTTTCTATCTCTTTCCTGACAAATCTATGTAATTGGGTACTATATTTGAATCCCGTCTTCCCCCACCTGTCTTCTCTTCCACTGTCTCCTCTATCTATGCCTTCTTTGGTGTCTTCCGGCTCCAGAATGGAACTGAAGCATCTGCGCAAGGCGGAACAGCAGCAGCAGCAGGTGCAGGATCAGCCGATCCTTCCGATGGAGAAGCAGCTTCTTAAAACCTATGCCACGATCAACGAGAGCAAGATCCCTGTGGTGTCGAGTGGTGGTGCCGGCAGTTCGGCCACAATACCACCCACGCGGGGCAGTGCGGCCCGCACGTCGCATCACCACATGACGCTGCGGGGGCGATCTCGGATTCGGTACCAACGGCCCAATGCCGGAGAACAGGCACCGGCGGCGGCCCAAAGCCAACCGTGCACGGTGGCGACAGCTCGGTACTATCGCGATGTCTCGGCCATACCCACGGCCTTGGGTAGTGGGTCTGGTATCGCCTCCTCCGTCTCCGCCTCGGCCGCCTCCTCCTCTAGCCATAACTTTAACATAGCCACACGCTCCGCATCCGCCACGCTCGATCTGAACTCGAATCCGTTGCAGAAAACCAAGTTAACCAGCCTGAACAATAATTCAACTTCCACTCCTACCCCCCCTCCCACTTCCAATCCTCCAGATTCAAGCCGTCTTAGTGGACGAGGCAGCGCCGAACTCCAAGCTATCATCGAGCACGGCATTATCGGAGCAGCGGCCAAACGAAACAAGCGCTCCCTGAGCTCCACGCGCCTCGACGAGTACAACACCAAGCTGCTGAGGAAGCAGCATGTGGCAACCGGTACCGGTGGTACGGCAGCATCTGGAACAGCGCTCCCCTGCCCCAGCACAACCAACAACAATTGCAAGTATAGCGGTGGCTGCCACAGCAACGGCGGCAGCTTCAAGCTTTCCCGGCGCGTCTTCGGCGAATCTGGATCCTCGGCATCGACGTCCGCTTCCAATTCGGGGATTCCCACGCCAACGGCACCCCCCTCGGCTCCAGCATCAGCAGTTACCGCCCACTGGCATCATAACATCACCCGAGGAGCGGCGAATCGTATGTCCAGCGATAGGGACCGCGACCGGGATCGGGAGAAGGAGCGCCAGGAGCAGCAGCAGCTGAAGCTGCGGAAGAAGATCAGCTACTGAGCAGCTATCCAGTTGTTGCCTTACCTCCAGTTATGTTAGTTACTCCGACTAGTAAATTGTATGCAACCCCCCTACCCCCTGAGATGTGCAATCGAGGAAGTTTCCTGTTCCCGTTCCCATCCCGTGAAACCTGATCGAAATGGCGGGACTATTTTGGTCATTCTTAAACGGAATTAAAATTAAAATTTAAGTTTAAATTTAAATTATAAATTATAAGCCCCCTTTAGAGAAAGTTTTGCCTTTTATATTTTGTAATAAAATATACATTTTAGTATTTTTTTTTCATTTTTATTATTTTTATTTAAATAAAATATACATATATTTATATATATATATTTTTTTTATTAATTTTAAATCATTTATCGATTATTTAATAAAATTATTTTTAAGAATAGTCACAAATGTGAAGGGTGACGTGTAATTAAAAGGGGGATTCCCCCATTTCTAATCGTAAAATATTTGCCAAGTGCCATCTGCCCACTGGATTCAGATTGTAACCGTTTCGCATTAGCTTTAGTGTACAAAGTTAACACGTTTACCAAGACGACCTTAAATCATATAACCCTGTTGTACACCCTTCCTCGCCAGAATTAACCAGATTAGAAAATAAGCCACGAACAGATTGTGCATTATTGTTTAGTCTGTAAATAGTATGCAGTTTGCCTAGTTTGTAAGTTAAAATAGCTACGAAATAAAGGTTATATGTACACCTTATCCATGGGTATGGAATAAACAATAAATTTTATATCCGTATAGGCCCATTTCTAGGGATTAATACAACATATCTTTGAAGTAATTGATTACTTGAAGGTATATCTTGCTTTCCAGACCCAGAAAAACGCAGTCGTAGTCGCAGTCCAGTTCGATTTGAAGCATCGGTTCTATCGACGTCGATGCCACAGTTGTGATTCGGGGTCGGATTTTCAGGGCGCTCATCACTTGGAGAGCCTTGTCCTTGTCAGACGCGAATTCCTCGTTGGAGTTGATGGTCTCCCAGGCAGCCGACTTCAGGACAGGGTAGAAGCTTTTGAAGTAATTGTGGCGATCGCACAGGCGGAGACCCGTATTCTCAACGCTGCCAGCCTCTGTGAGTTCGCGATAGGTGTTGAACTTCTTTCTGCGCTCCGTTTCCAAGTCATCCATAGCATCATTCAATGTGTTCTCCTTTTCTTTCGTGCTCACCACCTGCATTTTATCTGCTCGTAAATCCTCCGAGCCACATGAAATCACAGCCAACATTTCTATTGCCGCTCGCTGGCGAGCATCCTTCTTCTTGTCCGACTTCCCGTAACGGGTCAGAGAGGCCACCTTGCAGCAGGCCACGAATTCGGGGGCGTTTGGAGTGCCACACTGCTGTACGATCTCAATGGTGGGCAGGGGCATTTCGTGGCGCACACAGTAGTCCCTCAGCTCTTTCAACATGTCCCGATTTGTATTCGACAGCTCTTCCACCAGTTGGCTTGGCTTGTTTTCTTCGTCCTCCATGTCCTTGATGAGGCTGCTGGCTCCTGGTAGCTTACGCACTTTGAGTATAATATTGGACGCAGCCAAGTGCTTGGCGTCACGTTTAGAACGGCCTGAGGTGAGTAAATGTTTGAATATCAACGTGTATAGGAGTTAAATTTCTAAAAGAATCCTACCATTGCCATAGGCATCTATTTCCATGAGTGTTACTTTGCAAACATAGCCAGCTTCCTCGCCGTCGATGAACTCGTAGGTGGGGGGACAGATCTTGTTCTTGGCGCAGAACTCCTGCAGCGAGGACACGGCCGACTTGTAATCCATTTAGTACACGTCTGCTTCCAAACGCAATTTCACAAAAGCATATACGTTCGAATTATACTGATGAACTTTTTGTTAGAGATGACACCGGCGCCAGTATGACCGCAGCAGATGTGGATTTGGGTGGATAATCCCGAGTAGATTAAAATCCTGATAAAAAACCTCCTGATAAAACCGAAAAAAAAATCAAATCTCCTGATAAAGGCAAATAGCTTGCCCTCTTATGGTAATTAGAATTTATTGATAACGAATTGGGAGAGCCAGTGCTTGAGAATGCTAAATCAAACATCGTTTTCCAACACAGATTGCTTTTCCAACACACTTGTCGAAAAAAACAGAATCTACTTGTTTTCCAACACCCCCAACATACTTGAGCGACTGCGGAACATTTGCTCCGTTTCATAATCAATAATTCTCTCCTCGCAGCTGCAACAAAAAAATATATAGAAAAACAAAAACAAAACAGCTGGCCGACCAAACAAATATTCGACAATCGGAACCAAAATCAAACGTCAAAATCTCTGTAAATTAGAAGAAAAATAGCAGCGAGCGAAGAAGGAAGTGGCAGCGCAGTCAACAGCGAACAGCGAAAAGAAAACAGTGGCTGTCAGAAGTGTGTGTCCGCCGCGCAACAGTAGAAGCAAAACAACAAAACCACCACACCACTCGATCCGATCAGCTCGGGGCCATTAATTAGCGTTAGAAAGTGTGTGCTCGTGTGCGCTCTGCTCTGGTCCGGGGGGAGGGGTCAGCAAGTCATGGATGACACCGCAGCCCCCGCAGCCGCATCGCCCGCCGCCGCCACGGCCGCGGGCTGCGATGCTGCTCGCCAAAAAATCGTCGAAACTGTGGCGGCCACCAGCAGCTCCAGCTCCAGCTCCAGTGTGCGTCTCGTAATCAAATCATCCAACCAGCAATACGATGATCTGAATGTGGATAGTGACCTCTGCTGGACGGTGCAGCGGCTGAAGAAGCAGCTCTCTCTGGTGTATCCTGGCAAACCGGTGGGTATTCCCTTGCCTATGTGCGTGGCCCGGGGCTTTCGTTGGAATTTCTCTGGTTTACGTCAGCTAGAAAGCTGATTAGACGAGGCAGACGGGCTATCAGCAAAAATGGGAATATGTTTGTTATTGTTTATCATCTTGGCAGCCCGGGCCTGTGCTCGAGTATTTGCGTCTTATTTGTGGGGCCTGCTCGCAAAAGTACACGTCAGTAAATTGATTCTGTAATTTATATCGTTCGTCATGCACTTGCGTCATGCAGCTGCTCCCCCCACTGGAAAGTGAAGCTTTAAATAGGATTTAGAACCAGGCAGCCTAGCTGATACGTTAATTAACTTTGTCGTTATCTTTTATAACAATATGTATATAATAGTTAATGATAGTGGGGGCTTACTATGGCTAGTGATTTCAAAACAGATGGGTAGAGCATTATATTTTTCAATCAAAAGCATTATATTCATCTTAACTTTTGCAGGACGTTCGCGATCAGAAGCTGATTTACTCGGGAAAACTGCTAGACGACTCCCAGAAGATTTCAGAAGTGATACGAAGCTACAAGGATGTCTACCAGCAGCATCACATCTTTCATTTGGTCTGTGCCAGCAACAATATCACAAAACCGCCAGTTCAGCCGACTACTCCGGCCTCGAAGGATGCGTTGCCAGCGCGCCAGGAGGTTAACGCCTCGAATTCCGCCAATGAGCTGCGACAACGCCATCCCACAAATCCGCAGCAGCAGCAGCAGACGGTACCATCGACGGCCGCCAGTGCTGCATTAGGCCAGAGTCCGGCCCATAGTTGGTACCAATACTGGCCGCAGAGTCAAGTTCCAGCTGCACCCAGTTCCAATGCCCATGCCAATCCCCATGCACTGTTCCAGCAGCATGCGCTTATGTACAATGCCTGGATGCAGCAAGTGTACGTCCAGTACATGCAGGAGTTAACTATGCGGTAAGAAAAATATAATATTAAGTAGAATATAATAAGAATTTAAACTATTTTCTTGCTGCTTTCTGTTGAAAACATTTTACCACGTCTAGGAATATTTTTAGTGTTTATCAGGCATGTTCCCATTTTATTTACTCTTGCGTTTTGCGATTACTGTGAAATGCTATTAAATTATTTTTAGATGGGTTTGTTTTCGATTTATAAATTTTGTGCTGCCGGCTGGCGGTTTATCTCGAAATCAGTACTACTAGTTCATATAGTAATTCTTATAAAAATAAAAAGAAAGGTTAATAAAATATTGCTTTCCTTTCCAGATCGTCCCTTGGAGGTTCCGGCAACGCTCCTGTGGCACCGCCAATACCATTTATGCCGCAATTCCCCATGATGGGCCCACCTATGTTTGCGGAGGCACAGGATGCGGCTGGAGCAGCTAGCGCATCCGCGGCATCAGCAGCGCCAGCTCCGCCTCCAGAGGCGCCAGTAGCACAACCGGCAGCAGCACCACCGGCCAACCGACCAAACTTTCCACACATCCAGGAAGAGCCAGAGATGCGCGACTGGCTAGATAGTTTCTTTAGCTTCACACGGCTTGCTATTTTTGTGACAGTACTGTACTTTAACTCCTCGCCGTTGCGTTGCATGCTGGTGATACTCATTGCTGGAGCAATCTATCTGTAAGTGGCCTTGAAACTCATGAAGACAGCTCTCTAAACATTGATTCTTTTTAAGTTACCACATTGGAATCCTTCGACGACGTCGCGAACGAAACAATAATAACATCAACCGGAACAACAATGCAGACGATGCGGCCGCCTTTGCTGCTGTGCAGCAAATCCAGCGAATGATGGACGCGGCAGTGGAACGAGAAAACAACGATCCGCAGGCGGCCAATGATCCTCAGGCTGCTGCAGCTGGTCAAGATGCCCCCGATGGTCCTGTTGTGGACCCAGCAACAGGTGCCAATCCCTCGGATCCGGCTGCCATGTCTGCCGAAGCCGTGGCCGTAGAACCACCAAATGCCAATAACTCTGTGATTTCCGTTGTGCGCACCTTTGTCATCACCTTTTTCACGTCGCTGCTGCCCGAGGCGCCGGCGCTGTAGAGAACCCGACTGGGTACTGGAACCAGTGGAAGCAGCTTTACACGAGTTTATCCCGTCTATCTATCCGTAATCAAAAATCTAATTCCAATTATCCTTTTGGTATTGCCTACCTCTAAGCGTAGCAGACCTGTAAACACACACAATTTGTTTTACTAGCTGTAATGATAATGTATATTTATTTTCCGTGTGTGTCTGAGTGCAGCTTCATTTTCCCGTGGCCGCGACTCCAGTTTAGCTTCTAGAAGTTTAGATATCTAAGAAAGTAACCTGTTTTTTGATGTGAATATAAAACGATAGAGATGATTATCTCCCCAGGATCGGGGAGCGATACCAAGATGCAATTACAAATAAAACGTATGCTTTAACACCAAAAAATAACGAAATTGTAATGTGGTGTTTACAAAAGTGCAAATCTTTCTAGCAAAAATTGTAAAGAAAGATGTGAAATTCGACACAATTTTACATTCTAGTAAGTAGCTATAAGTTGTTGTATCAGAGACCGTAAATAATGGAACCCATTAACAAAAATCTATGTATTTAGAAAACTTGTATAAGATGATGATTTATACCAGTAGACTGCTATTTGAATAACCAACTATGATTTTTCGAACTGTTAAACATTTTCTTATATTTCTCAATAAAAACTTTGTAATTTAAGTGCAAAACCTCATCAGCATTATGTTTTTAAAGAAATGTGAGATATACTCCTTGTGTAAACAGTGCCTGGAGGAAAGTTCCCAAGACCCAAGGTTCTCTTAATTTTCGGGGGAAACTCTCTTATCGGAATGGAAAATTTTCGGCCCAAAAATCGAACTGGAACTGGAGACCCCGGCTACCCCACGGGTAAGTGGCAATCAGTAAGCTGAAAGTACTCTCTCAATTCTCTTCGAAAATTATGGTTTAGCTTTTTGGATGAGATGCACACAGGGTAGCGGCAGAGCGGCTTATCTCCACTGGGGTCCACTACTGCTGATTAGTGGCTGTTTTGCGGGTCGACTCCTCCGGATTCTTCAGATGAGTGCCAGAGCTCAGAGGAGACGGAACGGAACGGATCGGATCAGATCACTAAACCAAAACCGAAAAAGAAAGGAACTATGTGGCGAGTGATTCAAAAGCGCGCAACAATCGCGCATCCGCTCACCAGGCAACGTCATGTAAGTTTATTCACCTCCATATCTCTTTAGTGGATCCTCTGAAATTAAATTAATTTTTATTATTAAATTTATTATAATTTTTTTAAGAGCCGCGTAATTGCTATACGTCGTGAGGATCAGTCAGTTTGGGAGAGACGAGCTCCTTTTGGACCCACCCATGTCCAGAAGCTGGTGAAACAGAATGTGAAAGTCATCGTCCAGCCCTCCAACCGCCGGGCATATCCCATGCAGGTAATAGATCTTCTCCAGGAATTTGTCGTAATTTTCCATGACCAGTTGGCAACGGATTTATAAAGTTCTTGGCTAATCGCGTCTGGAAATCATATCGGTAGTCAAGCCAGCTTTTGTTGGTGCCTATATAGTATAGTAGGACGGACGGTGGTACACACGCCCCCCAAGTGCTGCATCATAAATATAAAAAATTGTTGATAAGCTTCTCCTACATGGAGCTCCTAAATTTGGCAGTTGGCTGGCCTTGAAATAAACCGAAAAAAAACAAACGAGGAGAAGAAAATAAAAGCTTATCTTCCAAAGAAACAATTCAAAGGAATCTATAAGCTATATTTTGATAAAAAAAATTGTTTATAACAAGTCTTTAAAAATCACGTGAGGGGAAAAGATTTAAAAGATTATTCAAGATTCTAATAATAACTATAAACCTAAGAATAGTTTTACTATATATTCCTGTAACTCAAACATTAGGTTTTCATATAATATTTAGGTAGATTTCGAAAACCTCTTCTAACCACAACAATGATATGTATTATTCCACCTCATTCATTACCCCAGATTACTCTGGATTATACCCCTCTATGCATATAGTAGATAAGATTGTTTTGTTTATTCCAAACAGGCCTATATGCAAGCTGGTGCTCATATTCAGGAGGACATCAGTGATGCCTCGGTGATCTTTGGAGTTAAGCAGGTGCCCATTGATGCCCTGATTCCTGGCAAGACCTACTGCTTCTTTTCGCACACGATCAAGGCCCAGGAGTCCAATATGCCTTTATTGGATGCGATTCTTGAAAAGGTTTGAAATTTATATTTCTTTAAATAAATATTTTTATTAATATTTTCTGAAATTTCTTTAGAAAATCCGTCTCATCGACTACGAAAGGATTATAGATGAGCGTGGTGCTCGGCAGGTGGCCTTTGGAAAGTACGCTGGAGTGGCTGGCATGGTCAACATCCTGCATGGCATCGGCTTGCGGCTCCTGGCCCTGGGACATCACACACCCTTCATGCACATCGGACCTGCCCATAATTACCGCAACTCATCGATGGCCCGGCAGGCTATCCGAGACTGTGGCTACGAGATCTCCTTGGGAATGATGCCCAAATCCATTGGCCCGCTCACCTTTGTGTTCACCGGCTCCGGAAACGTCTCGCAAGGAGCGCAGGAAGTATTCTCCGAGCTGCCCATCGAGTATGTGCCGCCAGAGATGCTGCGCAAGGTGGCTGAGCATGGAAGTGAGTCTAAAAACCAAAGGAATTCTTTAAGATATTTATTACGATTTTTTTTATAGATCAAAACAAACTATATGGTTGCGAGGTAAGCCGATCTGACCACCTGGAGCGTCGTGAGGGCGGTGGCTTTGATGCCAAGGAGTACGATGAGTTCCCGGAGCGCTATATCTCCACCTTCAGCACCAAGATTGCTCCCTACGCCTCCGTGATTGTCAATGGCATTTATTGGGCGGTCGGCAGTCCCAAGCTGATCAGCATCCCGGATGCCAAGAACCTCCTCCGACCCGCCAACACTCCGTGGTTGCCCACGAGCAAGGGCAGTCCAGCCCTGCCGCATCGCATGCTGGCCATTTGCGATATCTCCGCCGATCCGGGTGGTTCCATTGAGTTCATGAACGAGTGCACCACCATCGATACACCATTTTGCCTTTACGATGCGGACAGGAACAAGGACACCAAGAGCTTCAAGGGTCCGGGTGTGCTGGTCTGTTCCATTGACAACATGCCCACCCAGCTGCCGCGAGAGTCCACGGATCTGTTTGGAGAGCTGCTGTCGCCGCATGTCCACGACATCATCAAGAGTGATGCCAAGAGGCCGTTGGAGGACGAAGAGTTCTCCTTCCCTATTCAGTCGGTGAGTTACTCCTTTTTCCTAAATATTTAAATATTTTAAGAAAAATATTAGTTTGTGAATGATTTTTTTTCTGTGTATAAAATCCACAATAGTTATCAGCCTCTCTTATCTCTAGACTAACATTTACCTCCTCTATTTTTCCAGGCCATTATCGCCAGCAACGGTCAGCTGACTGAGGGCTTCCAGTACATCCAGGAGCTGCGGGATGGTCAGAGCCATCGATCGCGCCACAAGATGGAGGGCAGGTACGAGACAAACAAGAAGGTTCTGGTCCTTGGGGCCGGCATGGTGTCGGCACCTCTGGTGGAGTGGCTGCACCGGGAGAGGGATGTCAGCATCACGGTGTGCTCGCAGGTCAAGGAGGAGGCCGATCGGTTGGCCCAGCAATATGCTGGCGTCGATGGCATCTACTTGGATGTGAACGAGAGCACGGGACATCTGCAGGAGCTGTGCGGAGGAGCTGATGTGGTGGTGTCGCTGCTTCCCTACAGCCTCCACGGCATGGTGGCCCGCTACTGTGTCGACGAGGGCACCCACATGGTCACAGCTAGTTACCTGAACGACGAGATCTCTGCCCTCCACGACGAAGCCAAGGCCAAAGGAGTGACCATCATGAATGAGGTGGGATTGGATCCGGGCATTGATCATCTGCTGGCCCTCGAGTGCATCCATGAGGTGCAGGATAAGGGAGGCGTCATTGAGTCCTTTGTCAGCTACTGCGGCGGTCTTCCCGCTCCGGAGCACTCCAACAACGCCTTGAGGTACAAGTTCTCCTGGTCCCCGCGGGGAGTACTCCTGAACACACTCTCGGCAGCCAAATACCTGAGCCAAGGACAAATCGTTGAGATTTCCGGAGGCGGAGAGCTGATGACGTGCAACCGCAGTCTCGATTTCCTGCCAGGATTTGCCCTGGAAGGTTTCCCCAACAGGGATTCCACTAAGTACGGCGCTCTTTACGGCTTGGGGCGGGATGTGCACACTCTGCTGCGCGGCACCATACGCTACAAGGGATTCACCGAGTCCATCAAACCTATGCAGCTCCTCGGCTTGATCGATGCTGAGCCCCATGCCCTGCTTCATCCCAGCGGACCGGATGTAACGTGGCGTCAGTTGGTCATCCATCTTCTGGGAATGTCCGATTCCAGCATATTTTATGAGAACTTGAAGCAGAAACTGGTGGAAAGGATTGGCGATGTGGATGGTATTGAAAGTTTGGGTCTGCTGGATGACACCCCAGTGGTGAAGCTGAACACTCCTCTGGACACACTCAGTCACTATCTTTCCAAGAGGTTGGCCTTTGGTAAGATCCTTATTGATTAGGATCCTGGGTTCCTGATCTAAAAGTCTTCTTTTTCAGAACGCGATGAGCGCGACTTGGTGGTCCTGCGACATGAGGTGGGCATCCGCTGGCCCGATGGTCGCCGGGAGGAGCGTGGCATTAACTTTGTGGTCTACGGCCAGCCCCAGGGACATTCTGCCATGGCCATGACTGTGGGCAAGCCCGCTGCCATTGCTGCCAAAATGATTTTAGATGGTAAGCTATCATAAATTATGAAAAATTTTACTATATCTTTATAATCTATAACCCTTTCCAGGAGAGATTCAGGAACGCGGTGTCCTACTGCCCTTCACCCCCGACATATATCGTCCTATGCTGCAGCGTCTGCGCTCCGAGGGTCTGACTGCCACGGAGACCTCCAGATGGTTGAACTAAGTAGTCTGATTCGAGAAACCTGCCCCTGCCCCCCATAGGCTTAAGTCATCATTCACTCCGATGGGACTGACTGGCCACCGCGTCGAGTAGAATTTCCCATGCTAGGTGGTTCGATAAGACAGTCATTACCACTATCTTAATACCGTAATAAGTTTTATGAGTCGAGCTACTTGAAGTGCGTAAACAAGTTGAAGTTGGTGTCGAAATTGTGAAATGAATTAATTATAAAATTTGACTGTAATTGAGTGTGAAAAGTTTTTATTAAACTAAACTATACTTTTTGTTAAAATTAAAAAATTGCCTCACTTTCTTCCATTAATTAAGACTATGTATTAAGGCTTGTTTTAAAATTAGCAACAGTGTTATAGGTTTTAATCTTCAAGATTCGATTTCCGTTTTGGTTTTCCAGTATTAGGCGCCTGGCAACCAACCCGATCGATCTATTAAGGGGTTATCGCCTGAACTTGAACCGAAATTATAAGCTTCGATTATATTATTTCGATCTATATTTAGGAGGCTGCTGGAAGGCCTGTAAAACACGCGCATAAAACCCAACATGATCCGGTGGTCGGTCGGTCATTAACGTTTTATAATTGTAATAAACAACAGGCCACAAATCTCCCTGAAAATTATCGTGGAAATTATGGAATACGGCGATAACCTCTCTCCTCAGCCGGACCGACCGGACACCAATTCTCCGGCTCATGGAGTGGGGGAGCAATCTATTCGGGTTTTACAAATTTCAATTCACATTCATTCAATGCAAAAATACCCATACAATCTCGGATGAGATAAGAATGTGTGCTCCAGTGATGACTATATTAGCTATATAGTACATATATATTTCCAAAGAAATTTTAATAAAAAATTACTTAAAATATACTTTTTATTGAAATTTAAATAAAAGATACTACTTATTTATTTAAATACTTTTAAGAGAAAACTTAAAAGTCAAAGATTTAGGGTTTTTCGAATGTTAAAAGTTCAAAAACGCTATTTTTTTTGCTGGAATTCTCAACTGGTTCTGGACAAGGGGGTAGGGCTGTTAGTTTCTAACTTTTCTCTAGAAAAATATTTATAAACTCCATTTAATATCCCTAATAATCTTATATTTACAATATATATTTCAAACCTTTATAAAGGGTTTTGAATTCCACTTTGGTTGACCCTAAATCCGTATCCGGAAAATGGCCAGATGGGTATTCCTAGGGCTGTGCGCACCGGGATTTGTTATTGTGGAACGTAAGTCGCTGCCGGCGTCACAAATTAAGCGCAGCCGGGTCTTCAGACTTGATAAGTCCGCAGTCCCCATTCAGCCACCGGCGCGTCCGGAATTCTCAACGTCTCCGTCTCCGGTTCTTCTTCTTCTTCTTGTACTTGTCCGGTTTTAGATTCTATATGTGTGTGTGTGTGTAAAAAAGTAACGGTCGCTTGCGTGTTGCGTGCCAGCTAGCGAACTTAAGCGATTATTTAATTTACCAGCATTCCGCCGGGGGTATCGTGTGGTCGGGGTACAAAAATCATATATATCTGTTTGAATCCGCGGATGTTATACAATAAGCCAGTATAGCCAACAGACTCATTCAAAGGTCAAGCCTACTACTACTTCCGATCCAAGTGCAAAACTTCCCATCCCATTATCTGTTATCTCTTATCACTGCAACAAGTGTGGAAAATAAAAAAAAACGAAAAAAACAACAAAGTGTTTAGTGTAAAAAAAAATATAATTTACAAATTACAAAATGGGTTGCATGCGATATTTGTCGGAGGAACATTTGAGGGGCTTCGAGCGCTACAAGGTGAGTTCTTTCAGAAGGGGGGGGGCTCCAAACAACAACAAAAAATCAATGTCCTATATATCAAAAATAGCCACCCCAAACGCCTTCTTCAATCATTATTTATTGAATTATTCAAAAACCACATTTACAAAGAGCTACAATGTCATATTGATTAGCTGGGGATTGAAAAGTTACAGAAAAATCCTCATCATTATATAGTATTTATATATAGGGGCTGTTATCAGTGGACGACTTTGATGTAGTTCCGGTTTATGTGTCGAAATTTGTACTATCAAAAATATTTATGTACTAGGGCTTAGTGGGTCACCCCCTGAGTGATAAGGGGGGCCAAACAAATGTTTCGCCAACGCCAGCTTGGAGAAGGCATTGAACTGTCGTAAAGCCATGTGCTGGAGCTTTGGGGATTTATGGAACGATAGGAACCCTCCGCTGGAGTGGCCTGGAGCCGGGGAGGGGGGTTGTAACTATCAAATGTGGAATTTGTACTTGTAAAGATTATAGCATGGGGAGACAAGACAACGAACGAGGTCAAACTCGAGAAGTTTATGAAAGAAAAAAATATTAAATATATAAGCTTTTAATTCATTTTTATATTCATGAGGTGTGAGAATTTATATAAAATGATTGACCCTTTAGTACCCTCATTAAAAGCTTACTTTTTTAATAGCTATATGGTTTTTTTATTAATTTTTCAGTACAATAGCATAGACACCAGTTGGCTTAGTGTGTATGTTATGCATCCTTTTGGAATTACTGTGTAAAGGTAAGGATCTAGTAAGGATCTATATAACCCATAGAAAGGTATTCCTAATTATGTTCTTCTATAGTTCGTTCCCAAATGGTTGGCCCCCAATGTCCTTACATTTGTGGGCTTCCTCATGACTGTCATCAACTTTATCCTGTTGTCCTACTACGATTGGAATTTCGATGCCGCCAATGACAAGTCGGTGGGCAACACAGTACCCGCCTGGGTGTGGACAGTGGCGGCCATAAATATACTTATCTACTACAATTTGGGTAGGCTTTTCACATAATCCTATATAGTCCTCAAAAAACTATAAGAACTTGGGATTCTAGATGGCATGGATGGCAAGCAGGCTCGTAGAACTGGCACGAGTGGACCTCTGGGAGAACTCTTCGATCATGGACTGGACTCGTATTCCGCTGCTCTGATTCCCATCTATATATTTTCCCTTTTCGGAACTGTGGATCTGCCACCGATTCGAATGTTTTTCGTTATTTGGAACGTATTCCTCAACTTTTATTTGACGCATGTGGAAAAGTACAACACGGGAGTTATGTTCCTGCCCTGGGGCTATGACTTTACCATGTGGGTGAGTAGGGAAAATATATCTTTTAGAAGTACATGTCATATAACTTTAACCTCCTTCTTTTTTAGGGTGTTAGTGGAATGCTGTTTGTGGCCACGGTCTTTGGTCCTGAGATGTATCGTTTCGAATGGGGCGGGTTTACGGTGGCCAACGTATTCGAGGTGGTTTTGATTGGTTCCGGCATGGTCAGCAGTCACCCCATTATAGCCAGAAATATTTACCTGTTAGTATACCTAAAATATAAGCTACCATAACCTTATTTATGATTATCCTGTGACCTAGCTCCTATAAAAACAAGACTGGAAAAATGCGTCCCATGTGGGAGATGCTGCGTCCCTTCTTCGCCTTCCTTTGGCTCTTTGTGATCACAACCTTCTGGTCGTTCTTCTCACGGAACAGTGTCATCAATAACGAGCCACGTATCCTGTGGATACTCTACGGAACCATATTCTCCAACATTGCCGTAAGCTTTTAAATAATTATCAAGGAACTTTAATATCAATATCCTATAATTAGTGTCGCCTGATTGTGGCACAAATGTCGGACACGCGCTGTGATGCCTTTAATGTGTTGATGTGGCCACTGGTGGCCACAGTGGGTGTCTGCTGTTTCCCCTACTACGAGCTGGTGTTCGAACAGGATCTCACGGCAGAGGTGGAGGGCTGGATTGTCCAGGGTCTTACTGTTTTTTGCACCTTAGCTCACTGGCACTATGGCTACGGTGTGGTAAGTCTTATAATCCATTTTTAAAAAACTTTTTAATATTTTTAAAAATTGTTATAGGTTTCTGAAATGTGCGACCACTTCCATATTCGCTGCTTCAAAGTAAGAACGTCTAGTAGCCCAGCCGGCTCAGACTTAACCCAACATCTTCTACAGAATAATAACAAAGTCAAACTCCCAAAAAGTCATTCAAACTAAATCGCCTAACTAACCCAAACCACATCAACAAATCGGGGACTACAAAAATCAACCATCTTGTGATATATAGTATATATATAGAAATGGGTTCCAACACATTTGGCCTTTGCCTAAATTATAGGTTCTCTAAGTGGTCCATACTCAGTTAAAAAAAATAAAAATAAAAAAACTAAATCGATACTCGCCCCTCATGCGGTCCTAACGTGGTAAAGTCCATACAAAACTATTATTTAGTCGTTAACCTAATCATAGACTAAGCAATTAATCGTACTTAACTGTAGAATAGGACTAGACTAAGTGCATGAGCCACCGAGCGATCCCTAGAGGCATCTATAACCAGCATGTTGATATGGCAGCGCTAACTGCATGATCCTCCGATAAGTATTACCCGCATTAGAGAATGAAGGCAGCTACTGAATGGAATGGAATATTTCCATTATATTATAAAGGCTATACTGATCCATCCATCGTATTATAATATCCTATAGATCAAGAAACCTACTGTTAACGGGGAACAAGAACTGCAAGAGGCTCCGGAAGATGCCAAGCCTACGGAAAATATTGAGGAAGTCTAGTTCACTGCAGACCTCCGTCTATGTGTTGTGTTATCTAATTTAACTTGTTTGAAACAAATTAAAATTGTGTTTAGATTAAGCTCAAGATTGAATAAAAAATATATAAAAACTTAAAACATATATTTTTTTAAAGGTATCTTAGATTTTATTTCGAATGCAACTGCCATTGGTTAAATGTTTGAAAATAATTTAGAAAAAATGTCATTATCTTACATTATAAACATAGCGCGCGTCTTTGGGATATCCTGATCCCCTAGTTGAGCCACTGGGCCACAATGCTGTTGTCATCTGCCGGATTCGCAGAATGCAGACCCGATCCGCTTTCAAGGAATTCGCGCAGCTCGTTCTCCAGATCGCCGCCAGAGCCACCATGCTGCTCGTCGGGTTCATCGATATCCATGGCCACCGGTTGCAGTTGGGGCAGCGCCACTGGCTGCTGCAGCAACTCCGGCAACTGAACACGCGGGGAGGCGGATTGCGGTGGTGGCAGGCCAGCTGGAAACAATTCGAGTTAGTCTTATGGAGGCAAACAAAGAAGAGAGTCGACTCACCATATGTCATACCCATGGCTTTGCGCAGAGAATACGGATCGGCGATGGCGGAGGGCGGCAGTTTCTTGGCCATCTCACTGATCTGCTGGGTCAACTGAGCAGCTGTTTGTATCTCCTCCTGACCCGCCGGCTGCACGAGACCCAAGTGACTGGGCAATGGCTGTGACAAGCGATCCTGCTGGGTTACCCGCAGTTTCTCTATCAGCGTCAGATTCTGGCTCAGATGCTCGTGCATGCGTTGGTTGAGCTCAAAGTTCTTCATTTCCGTCTCCATGCCGTCCAGGAAGCTCACATCGATACCCAGGTCTTGAAGGGATTTCAACCGCTTAAAGTCTACTTGCGTGTTTTTGTATTTCTCGTACTCCTTCTCGATTTGCTCGGTTGTTTCCTGATGCGCTGCCGTCTCCTCCTCCTGTTCGAAGCACTTGGCGATCTCCCGCTGCTCGTAGGAGTGCAGCTGCATGTTGTAAAGCTCTTCTAGGGACTTGCTGTGCTCTCCATTGGTGAGAATGTCCAACAGGCCGTTGGCAATGGTTGTGCCGTAGCTGGAATCCTTGGTGAACTGCAGAATACTCTCAGCGTACTCTGCGCTGGACGCATCTCCATACGTTCGGAGAACCAATTGGGTTTCCTCGGCACTCAACGTTGAGAAGCGCGAGTCAAAGGTGGGTGCAAAGCTGGCAAAGGCTCCATAGCTCAGAGGTTTCACTGTTTTCAGGGCATTCCTCTTGTCGACTTGCCGGACTTGGAGCTGAGTACTGCCCGTTTGCAGTTTTCCCACCAAATCTCCAATAGTTACAACTCTTTCCGGTCCCTCGTTCTCCTCCTTAATGAGAAGATTCAGGGTGGTGCTGCCATCCTTGGTTTGTCGTATGAAACCCATTTTGTGAGCATTCTTCTTGGAATTCAGCCGCTGCTTGGCTTGCTGGGCGGCACTTTGAACTTGGGCCAGGATTTCCTCACTGGTCATATCATCCACGTATGGCTCGAAATGGGTTTTAGGTGCATTTTCCAAGCGCAACGCCCGCTTACGTTCCTCCTCCTCTAACTGTGCAGGTGTTGGAGGCTCCTCTGCTCCCGTGGAAGCGCCCTCGTCGGCCGAATCGTGAGTTTCTCGTCCCATGTCGTTCGAGCTTATTTCAAAGCCCAGTTCCTTGGCCGTCAGCTCACGCATATAGCCCGAAAGGGGCTTCAAACTCCGCATTAGATTCTCCGGCTGCAGGTGTTTCATTCCCACCTGCAGTAACCGTTTCGCCGCCTTATTATAAACGGTATCCACATGGTTATATTTAATGGCATTCTCGCACATCAGTTTAAAATCATCACTGAACTCCGTAAGAGAAGAGTATTCGTGATCGTCGATCTTCTGCCGCATTGTGGAAAAATCCATGGGTTTGCTGATAATAGAAGAATAACCGGGTGCCATATCATCGGTTACTGGCCAGGCGAAGAACTGATGCGGATCCCGCTTTTCCAGGAAGCGTAGCAGGTGCTCAAGCAGCTTGTTTAGGGGGGATTTTTGTTGTTTCAGCTTAAGCACACAGCTTCTAGGCTCCCTGCCCGACTCACTGGACGTGCTGGGTGTTTTTGGGTTCTCAAGGGCTTTGGGCGTCAGAGCGTTCAAAGAGCTGGCTCCCCCTGGGGTCAAAGGTGATGGTATGAGGAGCTGTAATGGGTTTAAAAACTTAGTCTGAAATACACGGTGTCTTTCAATGATTTACTTACATCTGGCAAAGGTTTGGTTGGACTGTTACTCGCTAGTCCCAGAGATGAGGACTGAAGGGAGGACGAATTTGGCGAGGATCCCATAAGGATATCCTCAAGCTTGCGCGGCGCTATGGGCTTCGTCACTGGACAGTTGGACGGCGAGTTCTCCGTGGTGATTCCAGCATAGAAGAGAATATTTTCTGGCAGCGGCTGTGACTGATCGTCGTCCATGAAGCTAAAACCATCCTGACTCGAATCGGCATCGGCTGCCGGTGGTGCAATAGATTGTGAGGCGAATCCACTACATGCAGCATCATCTGCCCCAGGAACAATATCCTCATCCGCCGAGCCCATATCTCTGTGACGGTCCCTACTTCTATGACGCTTCTCCTTGTGGTGTTTGTGCTTCTTCTCTCTATCCTTCTTCTTCTTCTTTTTCTTGGACTTCTTATGACGTTCCCGATGGCCTTGGTGCTCCTGGAGCTCCTCCGGAACTGGTGACATCATTGCCTCTGCAGCGGTTGGTGGACCTGCATCCACCATAGGCGAATTGGCACTGTACTCCGGTGTTGCATTCGATCCAACTTTCAAGATTAACTTTAAACCGCGCTGCAGTTGCGCTGGATCCTGGTGTTGGCTGTACTCTACAAAGAAAGAGTATGTTAGAATCCATTTTCACATTAAAAATTTTTATTTTATTTGAAAAATCTTTCAAGAGTTCGATTTATTTCTTTCAGTGTACACATGCTCAACAACAAGCGGCAAAACGTTCGAGTGAAAAGACAGATGTCGGAGAGGGCTCACGTAGACTAGTTTTCTGCGACTCGCTTACCTTCATATTTCTCGCGTCGCTCCGACTTATTCTTTTTGTGCTTCTTGGAGGAGCCCATGTCTAGCTCCCAATCGTCGGAAAATTAGGCAGCCCGGCAGCTGTAGTACATAAATAAACGAAAATAAAAACGACTTGATGGGCCAAAGACGCCAGGGCGGTAGGGTTGCCAAGTAATATTTAAAGCCGCCTATCGAACTATCGATAAATACTCACCACTGAGAGAGCCATTTTTATATCCAGCCCTGGATTTGAATACGAAACGGTAGACCGTTGTTTTATAGAATTTTATTTAAATTTAATTTAATTTATTTTTCTATACGCTGTACCTCTTATTTAATATTTTTGTTAACCGTATTTCAGTTCGATCGGCGCTTGACGGCAGATGACTTGTTAATGTTTAGGGGCACAGAATTGGAACTTTTAGATTTGCCCCTAAATTTTCGCGACCCGGAGGATCGTCTGGGACCCACACTGTGTGAAGATTTCTTTTGTATGGTGTTTTTGCCCGAGCTCCTCTTGGTGGGCTGTACACTGAAAAGTGTGCGGGTGGAGTTTAAATTCTGCAGCGAAGTGTCCAACTTATTGCGAATCCTATCCAGATCTGCCCGCATACGTTGAATATCTAAGGCAATGATCTGGCGATCCCTCTGCAACTTCTTGTGCTGCTGCAACATGGTTTCCAGTACGCTCTTCTGCTGTATAACCTCCCGGATGCGATTGCGCTGATTGAAACACTTTTGGCCAATATCGCTCATGCTTTGCCTTACTACCCGCTGCGCCTTACTGACGGTTAAAGGATTGATCCTGTTGCCGAAGACCGACGTACTAGCTGCCCTCGAGGAGTTGCCACCACCCTTGATTCGCCTGGATTTGCTGCGCTTGCGTTTTGTCGGCAGTGGAGGTGGCGGGGCAACCGGAGCTTCAACTACAGGCGGTGGGGCGATTGGCCGTGGCCTGCGTGGGGGTCTCACAGCTGCAAGGAAATAATAACATATATGTTCAGTGTAAGGGAAAACTATGTAAACGCTTACACTTCATGGTCATGTGTATCCGGTCCATCATGTTTTCGTAGGTCTTTCGGGTATCGGGTAGCCGCGTTTGATATTGATAAGTTGTTGTTGATGGTACAGACAGTGGTGCATGCCTAGCTGCGGTCCTGAGCCTCTTACCCATCTGCGCCAGCCTGGCCGTGGCTTTTTCCTCCGGCCCCCAGTCCTCACGAACCTGAGTAGCTAGAACGCGGTTTAATGCAAATTGGTTCATCTCTTTATTTTTTTAGAGGAATTTTGAATTTAGATACGAAATTTAGAAAGCCAAAGTGTTCGAAAGAGGTGTCCCTAATTTCTCATTAAAAACCAGGCCTCATTTTAAGATTTGTATAATAGTTTTGACTGAGGCTATTTTGTATTTAAAAGCTTGAAAAGCCTGCCATGTTTGTATACGTGATTTTCTATATTATTTCATGTATTTTTTTAAATACATCCCTTAAATCTAAAAAAAGGAATCATGGCGGGTAACCACTGATTTTTCAAATTTATTATCGGATCCTGATATTAATCAACGGTAACTTTTCGATAACATTGTTTCTTAAGACACAATGCGATAGGTATCGAAGAAGCGATAGTAGCGTACACAAGCATCTATGTATTTTTACATCCCTATTCTGCTTTTTTATTTCACGGTCCAAATACACGGAAAACAGGGCTTGGATTGGAGGCTTGGTCGATTCGCACAAACGCAAATAAAAGCCATGGAGGTTGCCACCGCCCACGCCCCCGGTGAGATAAAGTCAGAGTTAACGCCGGCTAGCCCGGTGCCGAGCCAGAATCCCAATCAAAAACCGAACCAAGCGCCGGCAACAAACGAAAATGGTGTACAAACAGGACAAATAAAGACGGAGAGCTGCGGTGAGAGAACACCCGATTTCAGGCCTTTTTGCTCTTTTTCCTGATTGATTTGAAATTGCTAAATTTGTTGTTTTATTGCAGAATCCACACATTCCAGTGGGACGGGGAACATCAAAGTGGAGCGGGGCGATGAGAAGCCAAAGACCGAAATGGCTGAGAAAGTATTGATTACCATATGCAGTGCGGATCGGAAGAACAAGAAGACATTCATGTCCTTTCCTACGCGAAAGGATGTGGTTGAAAAGGGTAAGTCAATATCAAATTTAATTAATTCTTATTTATGAGTGTCGAGTTTTCATTAAAAACTAGTTGGATGATTATTTATTTTTCGATTCGTCACTTGAGACAATACCTAGAATACGATTATTGTTATTAATTTCAAATTTCGAGCAACGTAGGCGCCATTCATTTTGTTTATTTTGATTCAGTGCACTTCCTCTGAAATCGTCTATGTTTATTGCACTGTAATAAAAGTTTACTTTATATATTTACTTTCCTTTTTTTAAATTTTAGCTCACAAATATGGGCTAGCCGGAAGTACGATTGTCCTAGAAAGCAATGGCTGCGAAATCTGTGAGGATGAAGTGCTTCTCTTTGCTGCTAAAGAAAAGATACTCCTCATGCTTCTTGCTGAATCCGATGAATACGTGGTGTTGCCACCGCCGTCGCCCCTTAATCGATCCGAACGTGCTGGTAGCTCGGTGGATCCCAGCTTCTATGCCAACAATAGTATTGTATCGAATGCGAATGACTCGACGGTGTCCAATGACGAAACCCTATCCTTGGCCAGCGTTACGCCTTCCAATGCAAAGAACGCGACGCTGTTCAAAGAATTCTCAATACCCTGGAACAAGGTGCCGAGCGATGTTATGAAAATACTAAAAGGAAAGGGCAGCTTGGGCAAGCGACTAAACACGCTGGGCAACGTCCTGGTGGAGGCTCTGCGCGAAAGGTCCACACACATTCCGATTAGAGTATTCAGGCAGGTGGCCCAGCAGGCAGCTGAAAAGTATCCCGACTCACTGCTCGAAAAGGATCGTGAAGGTCAGTTCATTGCCACTACGCCGCAGTCACTGATCTCGAAGATGATCAACCGGAACAATGCGCTCAATAGGCCGCAAAAACGTGCCAGTGGCTCTAGCTCCGGGACCTTTGAGATCCACATCTCCAGCAAGAAGCGAAAATCGGGAGTCAACGCCTCCAACGGGGATGCCAAAACTCAGGCCATCAACAGGGATCTTGAGCAAAAGAAGGAGCTATTGATCTCCAGCTATCGCGGCAGCGCGTCCTTGGAGAAATCAACCATCGTGGAATATATGAAAGAGTGCTTCCCATTGCAGCGCGCATTTTTCAACAATAGCGAAAAGATTCCAGATATCACATCCATAAAGGATAACTGGCCCTACATTTTTGACAAGGCAATTCTCTATCAACACTTTGAGCTTCTCATGTCCATCGATCCGAAGGTTTTGGAGAAGCGGCTGGCCAGCGAAAAGGAGCGATTCTTCAAATTCTTCAAGGGATCCAAAAACAAGAAAATTAGCGCTCTGGGAGAGAGCAATGCGAATTTGTTGCGCGGTATAGCATACCACTTCAACGAGAATCCCGACTACATATTCAAGCAACTGGAGAACGGTCCCTTGTCCAAGGAGGTTTTGCAGAATATGAATCCCACAAATGCTCCTTGGGTGGCTCTAGTCAGTGAGTATTAATGTTCGACTATTTAAGCTCTTTAATAAGTTTCATTAATTTATTAATTTAATCCCTCAGATTCGCCCAGTAAAGCTGATGGCGTGGAGCCGAAGACCGAAGCCATGGTCTACATCGAGGGCCAAATAATGGCCACATTCGCCGCGAAGGATGGAGACCTGCCGGATATCCTGGCGCAGCTTATCTGCTACTATTATACCTTTAACATGATGTACCCCAAGGAGGCCAATCAAACTCTCGAATTTATTGTCGTCTATTTTCTGCAGCATTCGCCAGAACAAGTACGCTCAGCCAAGAAATCGGTGACCACCAACAGCAAATTTAATCAGCTTATTGCCAAGCTGGCCAATGCCAATGGCTGAGCCTAAATCTTTATGAAAATGGAACTGGAATCCGAGACACAGTTCGCGCCGCTTCAATCTCCCCTTGCTGCTGACATACGAGAGGCCGCATTCTGTTTAGTTTATTTATTTTATCCGACCTATTCCACATGTATTTGTACCACTAGTTTTAAGATTTACATACCGTGTGTAGTAATATTGTGTATACATTTCTGATTTATCACCCGTGAAATTGGATTCTTTTTTTTTTAAATAAGTAGGGTTTTAAAGGATGTTAGAAATTGGTTTATTTTTTATTTAGAATTTCGTACAAAGGCCCAACGGGTTTAAACTTATGAAACTACGATTAATCATAACGGGAAGCTTTTCCCTTGTTGCAGTAGAAAGGTTTCTTGTGCTTCTTGAAAGGATTGTCTCCCTTTTTTTGGGAACAATGGCTTCCAAAACCGTTCTTGCGCAAATCAAATATGGCGTTGTCGAGAGACGTCTTTTTGGAAGTCAATCCCAAAGTGATTTTCCTGGTGTAGAAATTACGTTCCTTAAAAGTAAAATTTTTTACGTCAGTGGGCAGTTCTCCTTTTCTGCACTCCTTGAAGGTGGCCTTATCCTTGGGCTTCTTGATTTCATTTGGGCTTGTTTTTTGGGCTTCAGTGGGCAGTTCTCCTTTTCCGCACTCCTTGAAGGTGGCCTTATCCTTGGGCTTCTTGTTTTTATTTTTTTTCTGAGGTTTGGGCTCATCGTCAAAGGACTCCCATTTGGTGGCTTCCATTCGCTTCGCTTCGATTACGTTCCTTCTGTGATTTTTCTCTCGCTGCTTCATAAACTTCTTAGCCTCCTCGCTTTCCACATTAAGGCGATCCGCACTGTTCATCTCCTCGGAGGCATCTATGATGTCGTTCTTCACGTGCTGCCACGGTTTTGCGGTGGGCTCGGGATTTGGAGTAATTTCAGTTCTTGGGTTGAACGGCTTGAACTTGGTCTTGCCCCACTCTCTAGTTACTCTGTTGAGTTGTTCCTTATGCTTATCCTTACGCTTATTCATTTTTGGTGCTTCATTTATTTACAAAAATCAAGCATTAGTTTCTAGTGATGGCACTTTCCATCTGCCAAATTTCGATAACAAAAAAGGAAGCAAGAACGTGGAAATTAATTATTTAATTTTAATTTTTATTAATTATTTTCATAAAGTATTATATTTTATTTGAAGTAAATTGTCTATAAAAGGGGCAGCTGTTTTTTTTTTAGCTCTGAATTTGGCCTTATACCCGCCGATTGGCCACCATTGTTGTGTTGTGTTATCGCTGCCGTTCGAAATACCGCCAATCGATTCAACACGTGCGCCGTTGTAATTCGGAAATATACATTGTACAGATTTCAGGATGCGAGGCGGTGGACAGAACCACTCCGGTCAGGACAACTACCGGTGGTATAAAGACGGTGGTGCTAGACCGATGCTTCATGATTCTAGACCGAGTTTCAACAACAGCAATGGCAATCGACAGGAAGACAGGGGAAGAGACGAATCGTTCAACAAATTCCGTGATCCCCAGCAGCCTCCTAATAAGGAATATGAGAACAAAAGAGGACAAAATGGTATTACAGGTGGAGGAGGACGAAGAAGAGGAAGAGGAGGAGGAGGTGGAGGTGGAGGAGGAGGATTTGAAAGAGGAAGAAGGAGCCGGCGAAGCGGAAGAGGCGGTGGCGGAGGAGGTGGTGGTGGCGGCGGACGAGGTGGAGGCCGGGGTCAGCAAAATGGCTCTTGGCACAACAATGAACTACAAACCAGCCCGCAACGTTCATTTTTCTACTACGAAGGTGGCCAATATACGGATGAACCTCCTCCACCATTGGCGCCATCACCTGCTCCATCGGCTTCCCTGCAGGAGACATTGCCAGCCGCAACTTTGAGTGCACCGATATTGCCGCCAGAGGAACCAAGAGTAGCTGAGGAACCCCGTCTGCCAGTCATAAATATCAAAAAGGAGAAGGAGCTTGCCGAACTTAAGAAAGAGTCCAAACCGAAATCCAATCCGGTGCCCGAACCGAGTGCTAAGAAAGAAGAAGAATCTTCTAGTTCGTCTAGTTCTAGTTCTGAATCCGAACCGGAGCCGGGGGAAATGCTGGAAAACAACAAAACTAAACCGGAGATTACTAAGTCCTCCCCAAAAGCGAAGATTAACAAAGCGACTGCAGTTGTCAAAAAGCAGGTCTCATCTTCTTCTGAAGCAACATCTTCGTCTGAATCCGATTCTGATTCCGAAGACTCCACACCGCCAGCGAAGAGCAAGTCGTCAGCGAAGGAGAAGGAGTCTGCCGGGAAATCCTCTTCCAAAAAGAAAACCGACGATTCGCTTGAGGAGGATGTGGTGTGCATGGGAAGTCAAGAGCGGCAGTTCACCATCACGGATGAGGAAGAGGACGCAGCGAGCAGCAGCGAAGCGGAGGACCATAAGCAGGAGGCGTTGGACAAGAGAAAGAATGTAAATAAAATCACTGACGTATGCGGAATCTGCGATAAGAGTGTAAGTTTTAAAAACATATCCATCTGGTTGATAGAAATTACCTTGATTTTGTACTTTGCAGGGACACACCTCCTTCCAGTGTCAGATGATATGCCGGAACTGTTCGGGCCGGTACCACGGTCTCAAGAACTGCCCAAATCCGCCTAACCTTAATGTTGTGATGCAGTCATTCATGGAGTTCAACATGCAACAAATGGCATCCTTCCAAGGGGATCAGCGGTTCTTCTTTCCTTCTGCTGCCGTTCCAGCAGCTTCAGCTCCTTTGGCAACTGGCAAGAGTCCTGTAGTCAAGGCCAAAAAGGATAAGAAGGCCAGCAAGGTGGTCCAAAAGACGCCGCAGAAGAAAATGAAAATAGAGCCAAAGGACGAGAATGAAGACGACGAGGAGGAAGAGAATGAAACAGATGCCAGCAGCGAAAATGAGGATGAGGATTCCGACTCCAGCGATGAGCCTTCCGCCAAGAAGAAGCGGAAACGTAGTTCGAAGTCTGCAACGAAAAATATACCTGCCCCAGTGTATCCGTTTCCGCTTCTGGGCGCTCCCAACACACTTTATAACTCCATGATGTATCCCTACGCGACGCCGTTTAGTTTTCCTAAATAGTACCTTTTAAGATATATGTAGTTATCAAAAATCCGAGAATGCATAAATTTCCATCGTAAGTGAATGCCAACGTCGCTTTTGTAATGTAGTTTGTCGCATTTTAATAATCTTAAGCCTAAAGACAACGTTTTTTGAAACCAAGTGTTTTTATTTAAAAAATAGTCCTGGCTTTAATAAATGCTGTTTGTGATAAATTGTCAAAACAGTAGGAATCTTTGAATTCATATTGAATACTGCAATTAAACTTCCGATTTTGAATTGTTTATTGTAACATTATAAAGAGATTATAAAACTATACCCTTGTATAGGATATAGTCCCCTATAGGGTCCTCAAGGATGGCTATAACTTCCCCAACGTTCATCCGATTCTCAATCGGAATACCTTAAACGATTTCTGGATCGATTCTCCACCATTCTGCATCAAAATCCTAAGACGAAATATTTTTTACATTTTTTGTCCATTTTTCATGATGGGATCCCTTTCAAATTGGGTTTTCCCCTATAGGGTCCACAGCGATGGCTATATCTTCCCCAATTCTCATCCGATTCTCAAGCGGAATACCTTATCCGATTTCTGGATCGATTCTCCACCATTCTGCATCAAAAACCTGAGACGAAATATTTTTTAGATTTTTTGTTCATTTTTCGTGATGGGATCCCTTGAAAATTGGGTTTTCCCCTATAGGGTCCACAGCGATGGCTATATCTTCCCCAATTCTCATCGGATTCTTAAGCGGAGTACCTTTAACGATTTCTGAATCGATTCTCCACCATTCTGCATCAAAATCCTGAGACAAAATATTTTTTAAATTTTTTGTCCATTTTTCGTGATGGGATCCCTTGAAAATTGGGTTTGCCCCTATAGGGTCCACAGCGATGGCTATATCTTCCCCAATTCTCATCCGATTCCCAAGCGGAATACCTTAAACGATTTCTGGATCGATTCTCCACCATTCTGCATCAAAATCCTGAGACGAAATATTTTTTACATTTTTTGTCCATTTTTCGTGATGGGATCCCTTGAAAATTGCGTTTTCCCCTATAGGGTCCACAGCGATGGCTATATCTTCCCCAATTCTCATCGGATTCTTAAGCGGAGTACCTTTAACGATTTCTGGATCGATTCTCCACCATTCTGCATCAAAATCCTGAGACGAAATATGTTTTAGATTTTTTGTCCATTTTTCATGATGGGATCCCTTGAAAATTGGGTTTTCCCCTATAGGGTGAAAACAGCGATGGCTATATCTTCCCCAATTCTCATCCGATTTCCAAGCGGAATACCTTAAACGATTTCTGGATCGATTCTCCACCATTCTGCATCAAAATCCTGAGACGAAATATTTTTTACATTTTTTGTCCATTTTTCGTGATGGGATCCCTTGAAAATTGGGTTTTCCCCTATAGGGTCCACAGCGATGGCTATATCTTCCCCAATTCTCATCCGATTCTTGAGCGGAATACCTTTAACGATTTCTGGATCGATTATCAACCATTTTGCATCAAAATCCTGAGACGAAATGTTTTTTACATTTTTTGTCCATATTTCATGATGGGATCCCTTGAAAATTGGGTTTTCCCCTATAGGGTCCACAGCGATGGCTATATCTTCCCCAATTCTCATCCGATTCCCAAGCGGAATACCTTAAACGATTTCTGGATCGATTCTCCACCATTCTGCATCAAAATCCTGAGACGAAATATTTTTTAGATTTGTTGGCCAGTTTTTCCCTCCCTTAACCGAATCTTTCTTTTTCAAGGGATTCCTTGAAAATGGAATTTTAACCTGTCCCTTTGATAGTTTGTATACCGTACTCTTTTGCCAAAAATAAAATCCATAAAAAATCCGAACTCTCTAACTGTAAAAAATCCAATGGTATGGCATTTCCGATCAATCAGTTATATAGTCAATCCCAAATTAGATATCCAGGTTTTAATGTCTCATTATCACCTCAAAAATAGATTTAACATTATAGTTTCCAGGCTATTTAAACTTTAGTTACTTCTACGCTTAAAATAAGTCCGAAAAGATAGATTCTTTTATTTTGGCCAGTCTTGAATAGCAAAAAACTAATGTCGGAAGAATCCATTACTGCTCCTCAGGTACTATGTTTGGTCCTGTATCCTTATCCAATTTTGAGCCACAAGAATAACAAAAATAATATAAAATAGTAAAAATTAGTATACGTTTAAATTTTATTGCGTGTTTACAAACCGTTTTGTGTGAAAGAGATTCTGAAATTCAATTTACGAAAATTTTCTCAAAAGTGCTTGGGTCTTATCATCATTTCGACAAAAGTCAGTGAAACGGTATAGTCCCAATCCTGCCAACTGCCCCAATATATGCCGTATAAATTATCTTTAATTTTTCCATCTTTGTAGAACCTTCCGTTTAGGGAGCTGTAAAATTAAGAATGTAGGTTAACATTTTTAGGATAAAAAAAAAACTATTTTTAACTGTTTACCTATAGCCACAATTAGCAAACCACCAGCCACCACCACACATCATAGCGCAACTTTCATCCCATAAGTCATTATCCCTGTCATATGTTGAGAATTTCATGTTCAAATGGTACTTGAGGGAATCCTCTGCACCTCCAGGGGTGGGATTTCCAATATATTCCAATGTATAGGAATTTTTCTCACTGCTAATCTTGAAGTTATCATACTTGACAAAATATCTGGACCCATCGACTTCTCCCAGACTGATGAGAAGTTCGTACTGACCCGACTGGGTTATTTGGTACAACTTCTCTAGGCCGATGAAAAATTCTCCTCTTAAATAGCCGAACCCATCTCTGTATTCAGTCCAACTCCGATGAAAATCCACGCTTCCATCCATTCGTCGTTGAATCACCAACCATCCTGATCCATTGCAAAAAGCCTTAAATGCACTCACTCCCGGAAGCTTTATATTGTAAATGCCTTTTTCGGCGGTGGTACAGGAGTTTATTTCATCACATTCTAACAGTCTTTTGTTTGTTTTAGTTAAGTTTTGGGATAAATCATTTATTTGACTGGTTAAGAGACTTTCTTGGGCGTCCCTGGTCTTAGCCTCATCAGTCTTCTCCTGTATTTCTTTATCCTTTTCCTTAAGTAGTTCGTCTTTTCGTTGAATATCTTCTTTGTTTTGCTGAATTTCGTTTTCTTTTTCAATCAAAGTATGGTTATTTTGGTTGATAATTTCCGAACAACTAATTAACTTTTTATTAAATTCGTCTTTTTCGTCACTATATTTTTTTTGTTCATTTTTTTGAAGTTCTTCAAGGTGTTTAACTTTTAAGTTCAGTTTTGTAAGTTCTTCATCTTTTTTGTTTATTGTTTGATTTAATAATAAAATTTCATTTTTTCGTTTAGTTATTTCACTATTTTTTAGTCTTATTAGATCTTCATTGTCACTTTGAGCCCTAACACGAGCATCGTTGCTTTTAATGAGAGAGTTTAATGTTTGTATTTGTTCATCTTTACTTTTAATTAAACTTTGTATTTGTTCATCTTTACTTTTAATTAAAGTTTGTATTTGTTCATCTTTACTTTTAATTAAAGTTTGTATTTGTTCATCTTTACTTTTAATTAAAGTTTGTGTTTGTTCATCTTTACTTTTAAGCGTCGCGTTTAATGTGTCTATTAGCTGATCTTTAATTTCAACTTCTTTAAGAACTTGCAATAAATGGGTTTTTAGTTCACTACTTTTATCGGCAGCTGTTTTTAATTCTCGGAAATAATTTAAAAAAGGTTTCACAACTTCGAAACAAGTTCCAGAGCACTCCACCACCTCAATAATTTGTTCGGGTATAGTATTTGTAGGACACTCTTCGTTTGCAGAAATTAAATCTGACAGGAATAAAACCGACAGAAGTACTACTATAACTCGCGGATCCATGGCGTGCTTTCAGGTCTCAGTGTTGCGGTTGAATAAAAACTAAGCCCGGGCCTGTCTAAAACGAAGGTCTTTCCTCCTAAACTTTTCTGATAACAGTTTCGGCTAATCCCAAAGTCATTTTTCGTCTATCGCAAGAAAGGTCACAGGTGGTAGATTATTTGCGGATTCTTAGATTTAAAGACATTCTTATAAATACATTTTAAAATGAAATAACTTTTATATTATAAAAATATTTGATTAAGAAAGTAAGTATATGTATACTTTATACACCCATTGGGTGTATTCCTTCTTCTTGTGAAAAAAATTTCAACTAGTAAAATATACCCCAGTACTCCTAGAACGTTGGGTAATAGTAGGTAATCAAAAAAATTCAAAGAGAATAGCTAACTTTAGGCGAAGCCGAAGTTGATATACACTTGCGGTTAAGATTGGATATTTATCGCAAATATCGCATATAGTAGGCCGAACTCAAAACTCCAAAAAAATACCCAAGCTTCCATCTTCAAAATACTAAAGTTGGTACTTTTACCAAATACCAAATACTTTTTTCGATTGTTTAGTTACATGGCAGCTTTAGGATATAGTCGACTGATCCTTATGAAATTGGGTAGGTCGGATCATATGGCCCCATTTGAATTTGTCGGAAAATCAAACTTTCTATCTTCAAAAACGAAGGTAGTATTTCCGATATAGGGTCCACAGTGGAGGCTATATCTTCCCCAATTCTCACACGCCGATTCCCAAGCGGAGTATTTCAAACGATTTCTGGATCGATTCTCCACCATTCTGCATCAAAATCCTGAGACGAAATATTTTTTAGATTTTTTGTCAAAATTCATGATGGGATCCCTTGAAAATGGGGTTTTCCCCTATAGGGTCCACAGCGATGGCTATATCTTTCCCAATTCTTATCCGATTCTCAAGCAGAATACCTTAAACGATTTCTGGATCGATTCTCCACCATTCTGCATCAAAATCCTGAGACGAAATATTTTTTAGATTTTTTCTCCATTTTTCGTGATGGGATCCCTTGAAAATGGGGTTTTCCCCTATAAGGTCCACAGCGATGGCTATATCTTCCCCAATTCTCATCCGATTCTCAAGCGGAATACCTGTAACGATTTCTGGATCGATTCTCCACCATTCTGCATCAAAATCCTGAAACGAAATATTTTTCAGATTTTTTCTCCATTTTTCGTGATGGGATCCCTTGAAAATGGGGTTTTCTCCTGTAGGGCTCACTGTGATGGCTATATCTTTCCCAATTCTTATCCGATTCTCAAGCGGAATACATTAAACGATTTCTAGATCGATTCTCCACCATTCTGCATCAAAATCCTGAGACGAAATATTTTTTAGATTTTTTGTCAAAATTCATGATGGGATCCCTTGAAAATGGGGTTTTCCCCTATAGGGTCCACAGCGATGGCTATATCTTTCCCAATTCTTATCCGATTCTCAAGCAGAATACCTTAAACGATTTCTGGATCGATTCTCCACCATTCTGCATCAAAATCCTGAGACGAAATATTTTTTAGATTTTTTGTCAATTTTTCATGATGGGATCCCTTGAAAATGGGGTTTTCCCCTATAGGGCTCACTGTGATGGCTATATCTTTCCCAATTCTTATCCGATTCTCAAGCGGAATACCTTAAACGATTTCTGGATCGATTCTCCAACATTCTGCATCAAAATCCTGAGACGAAATATTTTTTAGATTTTTTGTCAATTTTTTATGATGGGATCCCTTGAAAATGGGGTTTTCCCCTATAGGGTCTACAGCGATGGCGATATCTTCCCCAATTCTCATCCGATTCTCAAGCGGAATACCTTAAACGATTTCTGGATCGATTCTCCACCATTCTGCATCAAAATCCTGAGACGAAATATTTTTTAGATTTTGTTGTCAATTTTTCATGATGGGATCCCTCGAAAATGGGGTTTTCACCTATAGGGTCCACAGCAATGAATATATCTTCCCCACTTCTAATCCGATTCTTAAGCGGAATACCTTAAACGATTTTTGGATCGATTCTCCACCATTCTGCATCAAAATCCTGAAACGAAATATTTTTCAAATTTTTTGTCCATTTTTCGTGATGGGATCCCTTGAAAATGGGGTTTTCTCCTGTAGGGCTCACTGTGATGGCTATATCTTTCCCAATTCTTATCCGATTCTCAAGCGGAATACCTTAAACGATTTCTAGATCGATTCTCCACCATTCTGCATCAAAATCCTGAGACGAAATATTTTTTAGATTTTTTGTCTATTTTTCGTGATGGGATCCCTTGAAAATGGGGTTTTCCCCTATAAGGTCCAAGGCGATTTATTTATAAATTACTTAAAATTAATTATAAGACATTCAGAACAATAAAAATTAGCTTCTAAGAACTTTCTATAATTATTTTCGTTTCTTTATTTTTGTTTCTTTAGTTTTACTTTAATTAAACTACTTTGTTAACTACTCAAGTACTTCTCAAAAATTAATAAATGTTTTTTGGTTTAGTTTTCTGTGCAGGTGATTATAAAATTCCATATTCAAAAATTATTTTTAAAAGGGTTTGGGCCTTATCATCATTTCAACAAATGTGAGGGAAACCTTATTGAGCGGCAGAATTCGAAGCCACCAAAATCAGAAAACCGTGTGTATGCTTCGGAACTTTATTTGTGACTGACAAATGTAGCGAAAGAAAAATGAAAAAGTTGTTATACATAATTTTCTTATTCTCTATTTCTTAGGACCATACAAGCGTGCATTGCATCATCCTAATATTGTACCGGGTACTTTATTTTCTACACCCTTCCTCAATGCAAGCTTGTTTACAAAAAAATGATTATCAAAACAAATTAAACATTTTTGTAAACTCTTCGTGTTTTGTTTTAGGAAGATTTTTTGTCAAAATATCTGCAATCATTTCAGTTGTACATTTGTATTTCAACAAAACTTGCCCTTTCTTTACAACTTCTCTAACAAAATGATAACGTATATCAATGTGCTTAGTTCTGGAATGATGAACAGGATTCTTGGTTAACGCCTGCGCACTCAGATTATCCCCATACACGACGATCGGGGTGTCGTTGTCTCCGCAACCGATCTCCATAATCAGCCTTCGCATGACTATCGCCTCCTTAAATGCCGCCGAAAGTGCCATGTATTCCGCCTCGGTACTGCTTAACGCCACACTTCGCTGCTTTTCCGAACGCCAAGAAATCGGACCACCTGCTAACAAGTAGATGTAACCAGTATATGATTTCCTGTCAAGCCTATCGCCTGCCCAATCCGCATCCACGTATCCACAGAACGACTGACCACATTGCCGATAGTGTAGTTTCATGTCAATCGTAGATGAGAGGTATCTAAAGATGTGCTTTATGCCAGCCATGTGTTCAGCATGCGGGTTTTGATTCCGCTGTGCCAATTTTGACACCGAATGCAATATGTCTGGCCTTGTTGTAAGAGCTAGCCACATAAGCTCTCCTACTATGGACTGATACGTAGTGGGATCCACCTTTTTGCATTGAGGGCTTGTACAGTCTACTTGGAAACCAGGATCCAAAGGTGTCTTCGCCGACTTGCAAAAATCACTTCCATGGGTATGCAAAAGATCCTTGATATATTGCGTATGTCCCAAAGTAATTGCTCCAAGATCACCGTCTCGTTCGATTTCCATGCCCAGGAAATGGTTAAGTTGACCCTTGTCAACACACTCGAATGATTGTGAAATGCTGCTCTTGATTTTCAGCAAATCCTCGTGCGATTGGCAAGCTATAATTATATCGTCAACATATACAAGGATTAGTACAAGATTACCTTCGCCACAATGTTTGTACAAACATGGTTCGTTATCACAGGCAACGAATCCCATATTGACCAATACGCCATTTAGCTTCTCGTTCCAGGCCCTTCCTGATTGTTTCAAGCCATATATTGCTCTCTTCAAAAGCAATACTTTGTCAGGATTCGATTCATCTGAGTACCCTTCCGGCTGCTTCATGTAGACCGTCTCACTCAGATCGCTGTTGAGATACGCGGTGCATACATCCATTTGATGAAGATGTAGCTTAAGCTCCGCCGCCAGTGCTATAATAAAGCGAACACTCTCCAATCGGCATACTGGCGAAAATGTTTCTTGGTAATTTACGCCAAACTGCTGAGCGCATCCTTTTGCTACCAGTCGAGCCTTGAAACGTTCTATTTGGCCATTTTTATCACGCTTCACGTTGAACACCCACTTGCATCCAATGGCTCGCTGATCTTTGGGTAAATCAGTGACTTGCCAAGTCTGGTTGGAAACCAGAGAATCATATTCTCTTTCCATGGCTTCACGCCACTCCTTTGCATTATTACTCTCCAGCGCCTCTTTGCAAGTTAACGGAATCGGAACATTTTCCGAAATAAGGGCGCCTAGGATATTGTACTGCTTCTTTGGACGTCCAGGTTTTCCAGTCCGAATGATCTTAGGGCGGCCGGGGCCCCTGCGTGCCTCCTCCTCGACATGCTCACCCTTTTCTTCAGCACTCTCGTACTGATCCGTGCTATCATCGGAGCTGTCGGCGTCGATGGATGAGTCAGAAACGACTTCTGCATCTCCGAGTCCCTGCTGCTGACGGTCCTCCTCCAGGTCCTCCAGCTCGATCGTCACAGTATCATCCTTGGATGCCACGTCATGATGTTCATCAAATAATACATCCCGTTTTTCGACCAATTGTCCAGTTGATGGGTCATACAGTCGATAACCTTTGGCTGCAACAGAATACCCAACCATAATGTACTCCTTTCCCTTAGGTTGAAATTTGCTGCCCTTCCTCGGACCCTTGTCCAGAGCAACTGCAAGAGATCCAAAAACCTTTAGATGTTTTGCATAAGGTCTCTTACCCGTCCACGCTTCCATAGGAGTCATACTCTCTAATGCGCTGGTAGGGGAACGATTTCGCAGATAAACCGAAGTGTTGACAGCTTCTGCCCAAAAACGATCTCCCAGTCCCGCCTGGACCAGAAGGCATCTTGACATCTCCACTAGCGTACGATTTGCCCGTTCCGCAACTCCATTTTGCTGGGGAGTATATGCTATTGTTAGCTGTCTGTCGATTCCATGCTGCTTTAGACATTCGTCAAACTGTTTATTGACAAATTCTCCGCCATTATCACTCCGCAGGCATTTCAATCTTTTTCCTGTCTGCCGTTCCACCAGATTCTTGAATTCGATGAATTTAGATAGCACCTCGTTCTTTCCATGCAGGAAATAAACAAAAATCCTCCTGGACTTATCGTCAATGAACGTCAGAAAATACTTGGAACCTCCGAGGGATGGTGTTGGAAAAGGTCCACAAACATCTGCGTGTATCAGCTCCAAAAGCTCCTTAGCCCGATTACTCGTTGCAGATGGAAAAGGTTGAACATGGATTTTGCTAACCATACACGTTTTGCAATTAATATTCTCTGGCAACCGAATATTTTCTATTCCTCGAACTATCCCTTTGGATACCATCTCTTTCAAGCTAGAGAAATTAATATGTCCGTATCTCTTGTGTAGCAAAATTCCATCAACAGCTGACATGGCAAAACATTTACTTCGGCCACCTTCAAATAAGTACAAGTTGCCAATCTTTTTGGCTTTCACTATGCATTCTCCATCTTGCATCACCTTGGCATTCTCTATGTCAAAGGTCACCTTGCACCTGTTCTGGACAGCACTGCTCACGGAATAGAAATTTCCGGTCATCTTCGGAACGTAGAGAACATCTTTTAGTGTCAACATGCACTGGCCTGTCTGTATCTTGACGTCACCTATACCTTCTGCTTGAAGGAAACCAGCATCGGCCAGTCCGATCTGTTCAGTGTGCTTCTCAAACTTTGTGAATAGCTCTCTTGCGCAACACATATGGCTTGTTGCGCCACTATCTAAGCACCATGTTGAATTGTCAATTTTGTTGACGTCACAGGCGTGCAACAGGCTGCTTTGTCGATTCACCATACTTCTTGATTCCATACGATGATCTCCCTCACCCTCTCTTCGACACTGGGACTTAATGTGCCCTTGCTCACCACACTTGAAACAAACGATATTTTTTCGTTTCTTCTGTCCATACGTTTTTGTCTGTGAGTTGTGCTTGTGTATTGCAGCAAATGCTTTAGTGTCGACTCGTTCCTCTGTTATTCCTTTTCTTTCGCTCTCCTCCTTTAACTTTATGGTGAGAATTTCGAACGAAGGTAACTGATCTCGTGTTTCCATAGCGACCACGAAATGTTCAAATTGCTCTGGAAGACTTGATAGCAAAACGATAGTGCGAAGTTCGTCGTTTATGTCTATTCCAACTCCAGTTAGACAATCCAGAATTTCCACAAATTCACTTATGTAGGTCGTTATGCTCTGCCCTTGCTCCATCCGTTTATTGAGCAGTTTCTTGTATAACTGTACTTTTCGTACAGGTCCGCTTGGTTGATGAACTTCCTTCAACTTGGTCCATGCCTCCACAGCCGTTAAGCAATTCTTGATGTAGGCCAATTGAGATGTCTTGACACTCAATGTTATTGTCGCCAACGCCTTACTGTCCAAGGCCGCAAACTGTTGTCCTTCCGGAACATTCGTTTCAGTTAGCTCTCCAGACGTAACACTCCACAGACCGGAATGCACTAATACAGATCGCATCTGTATTTTCCATGTATCATAGTTTGTCTCCTCTAACTTATCAATTTGATAAAGAGCACTCATTGTTCTTAATCTTGAGTCACACACCGAATAACTTGAACTCTCTAGTGCCTGGGCCCATAACCTATTGAGCGGCAGAATTCGAAGCCACCAAAATCAGAAAACCGTGTGTATGCTTCGGAACTTTATTTGTGACTGACAAATGTAGCGAAAGAAAAATGAAAAAGTTGTTATACATAATTTTCTTATTCTCTATTTCTTAGGACCATACAAGCGTGCATTGCATCATCCTAATATTGTACCGGGTACTTTATTTTCTACAAACCTTCCAATTCCACTCTTGCCAACTTCCCCAAATAACTCCACCCTTCGAAGAATTCTCTTGTTTGCCATTTTTGTAGAAATATCCGTTAAGGGAGCTGTAAATATAAAAATTGAGCTTTAAATTTGTATTATACATAAATATAAATTTCAATTTTTACGATTCACCTTCCTCCACAATTATTGAACCACCAGCCACCATTATACATCTCAGGGCAATTGTCAATTCTGTACATGTCATTATCCCTGTCAAATGTTGAGAACTTCATTTTTTCATCGTATTTAAGAGAATCGCCTGCGTCTCCTGAGAAATTTCCAACCGATTCCAATGGATAGGAATTCTCCTCACTGCCAATCTTGAAGTTATCATACTTGACGAAAGCAGTGGACCCATTGATTTTTCCAAGACTGATGAGAAGTTCGTACTGACTCGATTGGGTTATTTGGTACAACTTCTCTAGGCCGATGAAGAATTCTCCCGTTAAATTGCCGAATCCATCTCTGTATTTCGCCCAACCCCGGTTGAAATTCACGCTGCCATCCATTCGTCGTTGAATCACCAACCATCCTGACCCATTGCAAGGAGCCTCGAATGCACTCATTCCAGGGAGTTTTATATGGTAAATGCCTTTTTCGGCGGTGGTACAGGAGTTTATTTCATCACGTATTGACAGTTTTTCATTAGCTTCAATTAAGTTTCGGGTTATAACACTTATTTGACTGGCTAGGTCATTATTTTGGGCGTCCTTGCTGACTGCCTTATCAGGGTTCTCCTGAATTTCTTTATCCTTTTTCTTAATTAGTTCGTCTTTTATTTTAATTTCTATCTTATTTTCCTCGATTTTCTTTCTTTCATTTTTTCGCTCATTCGATTCACTATTTATAATCCTTATCAGCTCTTGATTGTCATTTTGTGCTTTTATGAGAGCATCGTTGTTTTTGGTCAGAGTATTTATTGTGTTTCTTTGTTCATCGTTAATTTTGCTAAGCGCGTGTATCTGTTCATCTTTTATTTTAATTTCGTTCATCAAAAGGATCAACTGGTCTTCTAAGTCTCGTCCTTCATCCGCGGTCGTTTTAGATACCATGATGTGGTCTATAATGGGCTTTATGGCATCAAAACAGCTCGCACTGCACTCGGCCACCTCATTTACTGGCTCTAGTGCACTTTTAGAATCCTCCTTATCGGCCACAGATAAATCTGCCAGGACTACAACTGATAGAATCGCTACTAAAACTCGCGGATCCATGGCGTGCTCGCAGGTCTCTGTACAAAGATCGAATGAAAACTAAGCCGGAGTTGACTTAAAACGAAACTGAATCCGTTCATTTATGCAGAACTTAAATTAATAAGAAAAGATAAGACCTTATAATGATAATGACTTTATAATAATTTAAAATTTGACATTCTTTAGAAATTAATAATGGGGTTTTTTTGCGACAGCTTCCGCTGATAGAGACGTGTGAGCTGCGCTAATCTATAAGGTTTATGTTCTTTTATATATTTTTATCGGTATTCGCAAAACTGGCACTGACTAAGCCAAAAACAGCTACATAGAGGTTCTAATAGTTCTTGTTAAAACGTAGTCGGCGCTCAAGGATCGGGGTCGGAGATATTTAAACCTTTTCCCCCCTAAAACTGGCCAATAACTGGCTATAACTAATTCTACTGTAAGAGATTCTTCCACTAGGTAATTTATTTTTATTAAGTATGATTTCTTATTTTAATCAACTGACTTAACATGAATTTATGTCCCTAATGCATAGTTGTGTTTTCCCAACTTTTATTTTCTTAAAATTAAAAAAAAACAAGAAAGGAAAGTTAACTTCCGGCGGAACTGAAGTTGATATACCCTTGCAGTTAAAACCGGATATATATCGCAAACATCGGATGTAGTTGGCCGATCCTTATGAGATCGGTGCCTCCTTCACTGCGTTGCACACTTTTGACCAAAATTATAGTACCCTCAGCAAGGGTATAAGAATATATTCAACCATCGATAGACGATATGCGTATATCGATACATATTTAAGCCCATCTCTAGCTCGAGACCAGTTGTTGCATGCCATGTGTTGACCAAAATTTGTTTTGTTGTGTTTACGATACGAGCTATTTAAACTAAGTGGCACTAAGTGAATACTATTTAATACTTTTCTCCACAAAATTCGGTAAGTGATTGGCTAAGGACTAAAATTTGTGATTCTCACAATTTTGAGAAAAGTTTCAATATAAATCCGAGGCTGACATCCCATCTGTTCGGTACAAAACACAAGCAAACCTACATGTTTATTAACAAAAACGAAGAACAAAGCACTGAAATTTAGTAATTGTAGCCTCACAAGGATAAGCTATGCTCCCTGCTCCCGCGGTATGCCCAATCGTAGTGGTTATACATGCAATTTGAAATGAGTCGTTTTCGCCTGGCCGTGGAAATCCCAACGCTGAGTACTCCTCTCCTCGAAATCGGTATACAGGATGTTAAGGCATGCAAAGGACTAGCTGCTCGCGGTCCCTCTCTGTGCCGCAGGATATGGGATGGTTCATGCCACGCGGATCTATACCCGGCTTGAGCATCGAATGCTGAAGCTCATAGATGATCTCACTGGACAAAACGCTAACTGCCAGCTTTAGCACAGATTGGTAGTTGAGCGGATTGACGGCGTAGCTGAGAATGCCTTTGGCGACCTGGTCAAATAGATAGTTCCTGTCCAGGGCCAGAAGCTCCTCCCGTACCTCCATCATACGGTTCTCGAAGTGGCACTGGATAGCCGCAAATACTAGTTTATCCAGGCCCACCAGCAAATCCCGCTTGAACTTGACCAGATAGTGCTCGATGAACACGATTTGGTTACGATTCAGGTGCGGCAGACGCACCTTGTCCTGAATCACCTGCTCGCCTATTTGGCTCACCACCAGAGAGGCTAGTGATCCCGCCGGCGTGGGTCGTCGCTCCGTGCAGGGTCGGACGTCCACGAACGGATGGATCTCATAGCTGCCTACCCCGATAGTGCTGGCCACTCCGCAGAAGGAGACGTGAGAGGCACGTGAATGGTTCTTTGCCGGCACTACGGACTTGGCCATCGATGCAGGCACCTCCATGGCCTTGTGATCTCTCGCAAATCCAATGATCTGAGATGCTTTCTGTGGGTTTTAATTGAATGATTAAAATAAGGTAAAATAAACATAAGGATTACTCACATAGTGAACGTATTTCTTTGCATCGCAGACAAACTCCTGGATACGCGAGACGAGGACCATCAGGGCGCACTCATCATCGCTGAGATCCTCGTTGAAACCGGCTATAATGTGGTTCAGAATATATTGAGCCGCCTTGTAGATGGGATCGTCGGGAGCGAATGTGAGCGGCGTCTGGCCCTCCATGGCGATAGCGGCGTTCAAGGCGTAGCACAGCTCGCTGTCCAGCAAACCGTCAAAGGTGCTCTGGTATTCTTCACAGAACGAAGGTTTTCGAACCTCCAATGGCTTTTCCTGCTTCTTCTTCTTCCTGCGCTTCCGCTTGGGCTTGCGAGCAATCCTCTTTTGGCGGGCTCGTTCCTTAATCTCGTCCTGAATCCGCGCCCACTTTTCTCTGTACAGTGCCTTGTGTCGTTCGATGAAAGCCTCCCGCTCCTTCTCCACTTCCTGGAGCAGGTAGTTGATCCTGCGCTGATGTTCAATGCGTTCGTCAAGTCGCTTCTTCCAGGACTGTATCTGGTGCTCGGTGTTTTTCATTAGCCGCTGCTTCCTCAGAAGCCTCATGTTCTTGTTAAAGCGATCCTTCTTGAACTGGAACAGCTTCTTCTGTTTGATGAGGTGCTTCCTCTGCAAGTCCTGGCACATGCTGATGTGCGCGGCTACCCGCATATTGGTGAGCATCTTGCGGTGCTCCAGCAGCATGTTTTGCATGGTGGCCAGGTTTTCCAGGCGCTTGAACTTCTCGTATGTGATATTCAGGATGTGGACCTTGCGCTCGTGCCGCTCCTGCTCCAGCTGCTGCTTCCTGGCGATTATCTCCTCGGTACACTGATGCCGGGCCGCCAAATTCTGGTGATCTCGTTTCGTAATCGATTCCGCATTGGCAATCAGCATTCGATCATACTGCTCGGCCTCACGACGCTTGTAGGCCTGCAGGATGTAGTACAGCTGGGACTTGTGCAGCTCCTGGCGATGCTGGTTGAAGTCCTTCAAATTGCAGATCACGTCGTTGTCTTGGGTGATTTCGCCATTCTCTCGCAGCCTCTTAAGATTGCGCTCGTTGGAGTAGAAGGTCTTTAGATTGGAATCGTGCAGGGGATTGTACTCTGGGATGTGCTCGGTAACCGAGGACTCGAACTCCTGCTTACCACTTTTAAACTAAAATATTAAATTATTTTTAAGCCAGTTAGAGGGATGGTGTTTTCTAATTCGACTTACCGACTGCCCTATTTTATTTTTGGAGAATATAACCTGATTGCCCGGACACTTGAGCATGGGCAGTTTGCAGTTAAGAGGTATCAACTCCCAACCGGGCAAACTGTTTATGGGTAGCCCGGTTTTGTAGGAGATCATCTTCAGCAGGGCCGGATTTCCGGACACCTTATTCCGCCGCGGCAGCGACAAAATGTCGATCATCTTGCCGACTTTTGTGTACAATAAACTTTAGCTCTCTGATTTTCAATGGAAAACTGAATTCAAAGTGTTCCTTTTGTTCATCAAAGTAAAGTCCATAGCCAACTATTATAATGTTTTCTATCATTTTCTTTACTTTTCATTACCTACGATGTTGCAGGATGATATCCTTTTTTATTAAAGAACAGGAAAGCTCTTAAAATTGGTTACCATCTTGGTTTTGTTGTCTCGTTTTTTATGTTGTTTGCCGGTTCAATGGCAGTGCTTAGCTCTGCTTATCAAAGCTTTTCTTGCTACCGGTATCCTTGGGTTGAGTAGGATACTCCCCGGTTTGTGGGTGGTGGGGTTCCTCCTGTGCTGTTATTGTGTTATCGTTGCCAGGAGGCAATAACCGTGCACCGGATATTCAAGAAAACTCAATTTATTTGCCATCGAAATTGAATGAAATGTGGTATTGGAAGTTGTTTACAAAAAGTAACAGAGTATTTTTAAAAAAAGAACTTTATGAAATCTAAATAATCATTAAAAATAGTGGATATATAAGCTTGTCAAGATATCTTAAGACAAGAAATATATATATTATTTTTCTCCCTTCAAACCACTGTTCAATGGCTTCCATTAAGTATGTCCCTTAATTTCCTCTACTTATCGTATGCAAAATACACAAACTTTGACATTTCATTGATATCCCCCCCCTACCATCCCCACAACCCATAGTTTCGGTGTTTGTTTTGGTAATTTGCGTTTCGACTTTACGAGGCAACCGTAAAAAAAACAAGGCTCGAATCCTGTCGGATACCCATTAGTTGAGCTCCAGCAGATTCTCGGTCGTTTGTCTGCGGCTTACATAAATCCCCGGCTCACTATCCATCTCCATCTTTGTCAGACTGTGTCTATATATTCATCTGAACTCCCCACCCACTCCCTCCCCGTCCAACCCGGGCGGTGACCTCGTTTCCCGTCTATGGACAACTTTAGAATGTGGGCATCTTTGGGCATAAATATTTACCAATCGTTTGGTCAGGCGTCGGTATGTCTGCTCTGGGTTTTATTTTGAGGACGGACGACACTCCGGCTACCCATCGCGTGCATCTGCCATGTAAATAAAATCACATCAAGTGCTGAAATGTACTTGCTGCAGCACGTGCTCCAAATATCCTCTCGAGTGTGCTTTCCATTTCATCTAACACCTTGTACTTGCCGCCGCCCTCTATGCTCCGACTCCCACTATTCCACGTGAGGATGTCGATGAGCAGGCATAAATAAAAAATGATGCTGGTATCCCAAAAAAAAAAACAGAACTGGGCGGCAAAAGCGAAAGGTGCGTGCCCGTCTACATTGGCCCCCCATCCGAGCTCTCCCTGGCCCATTTAACGTTATATAATAGTTACTTCCGGTTACGATATGGGTCCCCAGGGATGGCAACGTGAGTGGTATGCCTAACAAGCTAATAATCCTCAGGGAGTTTGGAAGAAGATTTCATGGAGGATGTATTGGAAATCTAAGATCTTTAAAAGAAAGGAAAAAATATAGTCTTTAAATTAAAGACTCTTAAATAAAATTATTAAATATATTTTCTTTTATGAACATATTCTTAAAAATAATCAAAATATCACGCTCGTATCTCTCATATAAAGACACCCCCAAAAACAGTCAACCACCCTTCTTCCTCAAACCATCGATGCGTACAGAGGATAGTTAGTGGGCGCCTCCCCAAATTCCCCACCCCATCACCCACCACCCCCCAGTCTGAAAACGGCTACCGGCAAAACCGCACACAGCTGTGATGCGATGCTTGCGCTGTGACGCTCTTTCCTTCTCCTCCGCTCTCTCTCTCTGCTACTCCCATCTGGCATCTGGCGTTCAATTATGAAAGCTTTTGGCTTTCAATACACTGAGTAATAGGCTTTCAACCACTTGCCATAGAGAGAGGCTTTCTCCCAGAGTTTGGTTTGAGAGAGAGAAGTTGTAAGTGGTGTCGAACATTACACTATACTTGTATGATGTATAAATATTTATTATAATTATAAATATAAATAGTTATCAAGTTCTTTTTAAAAAATAATTTATAATTAAAAATAGATTAAAATAAATTATTATATTTTTTAATACCCTTTAAATACCTACTACTTGTCTGACTAGTGTAACTTAACATCGTTAGAAGCCGAAGCTCGAGCAACGGTTTGTTTGGTTGCAAGCTTCGGCGAAAGTTACTCCCGCAAGAAGGCTGGCGGGTTCGTTGGTTCGCGTCGGTTGAAGGAGTCGGTTCGCTTTTATCCGTCGGCAGTAATCCGTCGGCTATATTATTATTTTAACTCGCGATATGTACCCTTGTGCGTGTGTTGGTAGACATCAGACTATCTGGAATATAAAAACGAAAGGCGAAAAGGCAGTGGGAGCCGAAAGGAAATCATAGAGCAGGAATCCCGCAAAAAATATAAAAGCGGACGGGGGTGGCGACCATCCTGCCTCTCGCGGCGCCCGCTGCCAGTGTAACCACCCCCCACAGCGGCGAAAATAAAAAAAAAAAATCCGAAATCAACAAAATACGTTCACGTATGAACCGTTAACTGCGCCATTCACAATTCGCAACACAAAACCGAAGAAGAAGCAGAATTGCAAGTGGCAAAGGACTCGGGCGGGCAAGAGAGAGCTCTGTCGCCAGCAGTAAGCTCAAAGTCAACAACAAAAACGCAAAAACAAACAAGTGCAAAGGAGATTTTAATAAAAATAGATGTTTGGGACTCTGAAAAAAAAAAAACGAGAAAGCTAATAAAAGGCAGTTACAATAAATGTCAGACTAAGTAAAGGACTGCATAAAAGTAGGCTATGCTTTAAGGCCAAGAGACAAGAACCACTAACTATCGAATATAAAGGACTATAGACAAGAAATTAAAATTAATTCTAGAGTAAAAGTTCGTTAAGAATTTAAAATTGTATTTAAAAGTGCAGATAATAGTGTGAGATAAAAGATAAATAATTTTCTTAAAAATACAAATTGTGAAAATATAAATAAAATCCTAAATAAAAACTTTAAAAAAAACTCTCCATTAAAAAATATAATTTAATAAAATAAAAAAATAACAAAGTAACTATTTTGATTGCTAATCTAAACCATCAAAATTCTTAATTCAAATATATCTGTATCTCAAACCTTTTAAAAAAAATGCAAAAATATCGGTTGGGAATTATATAACGATTGCGGTTCACTTACTTGCATCATCCGTCGAGGGCGTGGCTTAGCATCTGATGTAATGTACAGCTGTGCAGCAGGACTCTTCATTATCGCATCATCATCATCACCATCATCATTGTCATCATCATCATCATCACCGGACCCAACTAGCCTAGTCCCCTCTACAAGATGTCCACGCCAGCAACTGGACTAGCATCAGGAGCGAAAGGAGCCAACGGAGTCAGGACGGAGACGGATCACATCATAACCATCAGCACTGCCAGCTTGACGGAGACCGGAAGCGAGGAGCCTGTAAAGGGACTGTCCACGCCGGCCCGCAAACCCCAGACCTCGATTGGAATACCAGTTCCCTCAGTAGTGGTCCCGAATCCCCCCACCAGCAGCGACCAGTCCGAGCGAGGCAAAAAGAGATCCTTTGGTCTATGTCGCCTCTCCCAGCTAGTGAGCTATCAGAACAACATCGCTGATGTGCAGCATCGCCGGGGAAGACGCCTCCACGGTCTGCAGCTGCCCCTGCATCCTCTCCAGCTGTTCGGCTGGCTGGTACTCCTGCTCTTCGGAGTGGCCAGCTACTGGGTGCTAATCCCGGCATTTCATGCACCGCTGCAGGGTCCACTCTATGGTCTGATTACGGGCCTCTACCTGGTGCACATCGTATCCCACCTGACAGCCCTGCTGACGGATCCCGCGGACAAGGAGCTGCGCCGGGTGCACCGCAACGACCGGATTGTGCCGGAGTTCGATCGCACCAAGCACGGCCACGTGATCGAGAACGGCCGGTGCCACTTGTGCAACATCCGGACCTCGTCCAGCCGCACCAAGCACTGCTCCGTGTGCAACAAGTGCGTGGGCAAGTTTGACCACCACTGCAAGTGGCTCAACCACTGCATCGGCTCGCGCAACTATGTGGCCTTCCTGATGTGTGTAGTCAGTGCGGTGGTGGCCACCCTGGTCATCGTGGCAGCCGTGGTGGCCCAAATCGTCTTCTACTACGTCCAGCCGGAGTGGCTGAGCTTCTACTGGTGTCGGATGGGCGCCCCCTCCGCGTCGTCGTCATCGTCGAGCCACCAAATGGACGGAGGCGACTTCATAAATCTCACACTAAGTCTGGGAAACGGCACAATGATGCTAATGGAGCAGGAACCGGAAACGGTGGCGGGGGAGCCACCGAGCGGGGAAATGGACGAGGAGATGGCGAACATAACCATGTCCACTCTGCCCACCCTCCTGGAAAATTTTACGGCCCTGATAGAAGCTAGCACGGCTCAGCCGGGGATTAGCAGCCTTAGCAATCAGACAGTGACGCCCGTTGTGGACGGAATCGGAGTCAATGAGACGATTTTCCTGCTCCTGCTCGGGGTCCTGGGGCTTCTGGCCGCCGTCAGCGCCGGCCTGCTGCTCCACTTGTGCTTCTTTCACATCTACATCTCCTTTTTGGGACTGACTACCTACGAGTACATCAGAAACCACCGCCAAGCTCAGGAGGCCAAGGCCAAGCAGCTCCAGGAGGGAGCTGCCACTGTGGCCAAGAACGGGAGTGTCCACTTCTCTGCGTACCTGCCCGAGCCGCACAATCCGTCCAGATCGTTGCCCGGGGGCCAGCAGCTGTACTGCTGCTCCAGCGCCCCGCATCCCAGCCAGCAGTCCCAGGAGGCGGTGGTGGGCCAAACCGAACAGTCCATGCGGCTGCACTGCTGCTCCAGCTCGCGGGAGTTCCATCAGAGTCGGCAGGCCATCTACGTGTGCTCCATGCTGGAGGAGGCAGGTCCCCAAGTACAGTTGGACCAGGACACCCTCAGCAGCTTCCACTGCTGCTCCAGCTTCGCGGCCAGCTCGCTGCAGCGACGGGTTAGTGTGGCCAAGGGATCGCTGATCTCGCCGGAACCGCGTCCCCAGCGGCCAGCGACCTATGTCCAGTACACGGAGCAGTGTACGCTGTGTACCTTCCGGCTGAGAAGGGGACCGGGCGGAGCAGGATCCTCGGGAGCTGTGAGCAGTGCCGGCGGGAGCAGCAGCACCCGCACCCTGACCAGCCAGACGGGTGGCGGATCCTCCTCCACGGGCACGGCAGCTGGGAATATCTCAAAGCATCAGCGCTGGAGGCGGAAATGGAACTGTTGTGCCTCGGTGCCGGATAGTCCCGATGTCCCCAACGATCTCCTGGCGGCGTTGACGTTTCGAGAACGGGAAGAGGCAGCTGCGGCCGGTAAGCTGAATGCCCAGGAGCTGCCCATCCAGTTTATACGCACCCTGAATGGCGGTCTGGAGCCGGAAACCCTGCCCTTGAAGATAACCACCACACCGACGCCGCCGAGAAGCTCCAGACTCCGGCACATGTTGCGTCTGCTGGGACGCTATCGACGACCCCGCTGTCGTCACGGGTCGCATCATGGCATTGCGGCGAAGGAGCACGGCGGTGTGGGCGTCGGCATCAAACAGAACCAGATACGTCCATTGCAACTGCAGGCGGCAGGGCGTGGCTATGTCACCAACTCGACGGCCACACCCACGCCGCCTGCCAGCTCCCCGAGCCGGAGCTCCCTGGAGAGCAGCGAGCTGAGCACGAGCACGAGTCCCTCGAGTGGGCGCAAGGAGCTGATGCTGCTGCCCACATCCGTGATAAGAGACGACAGCGTGACCACCTACACGCTGACGCTGCCGCCCGCTCTACCTCCGCCGACGCGAAGGAAAATGAACCAGACCAGTCAGGAGCTAGCGGAGCTGGCTGAGACCCTGGGATTTGCCAGCAATCTGCAGCAGCTCTCGCAGCAGAACCAGCAGTCGCAGACGAACAGCAGGACACTGCCAAGTTTGGGCAACGTCTACAGGCGGCAACGACGGAAGCACTTCCTGCGGACACGCTCGCCCACCCTGTCGCCCATCCACGAGTCCGGCCTGTCGAATCCAACCTCGCCGCAACCGCTGCGCCACCACCAACACCAGATCCTAGCCAACTCTAACTCCAATCCGGCCAAAGCCACATCCTCGCCATTGCTAAGCCGAGCCAGCGGCACCTCGTCAACGGCTCTGGTCCAGAACCTGTGCAGTCTCGCCGGCGAAACCCTGAGGAAGACCGCCTCGAACAGTTCCCTCCAGAGCCTCAGCTCCAACTCCAGCAGCACCTAGATGGCCGTGGCGTGTGGACAGTTCCTCGTACGGTTTCGGTTTTAGTCCCTAGGTTAGTCTTAGTCTTAGCTGTAGTGCTATCCACTCCCCCCGATCCCCAATTTCCACTCTGCAGGAGCTCCGGGAATCAATTAATCCCCAAGTTGGCATTGAAAGTCATAACTGAAATCAATTACCAGGCCGAGTGGCCGAGTGGATGGGAGCTGTCGGGGCCAGTTTGGGAAATTGGCTTTAATGCCATGCGGTTTCATAGCCAAACTCAATTACCGCTTTTGATTTGAGCTTCTTTGTTTAACGGATTTATTGGGAAACTGTGGCTGGACGATGCTATTAGAAGGGGATTAGAAAGGGGTATTATGGTTAAAGTTTAATGGATAATTCTCTTTCTAGAATTTCTTTATAATGCAGTTCACTACTTGACTCATGGAATAGTTTTTGAAACTTTCAGATCCCTCTGCTGGCATCTCTTCAAAGAAATTTCCAAGCTGGCTTTGTTCGGTGCTGGCATCGTTAGCTCCTAACTGCGGCCCCTCCTAACTAAACACGTCTTTGGCATCCATTGAATGGCTTTGCAGTCGGATTGATAAAATATGCAACAGCATGTGGAGGGGAGGAGCAGGAGCAGGAGATGCCGGAGATGTGAAGCCATCCCCTAGAGCAGAGTCCTTTTTTTGTCGAGTCCTCGCACTCCATCCGCGCATGTATTGATTTTCATTTTGCAAAATGTGTAAGCGAAGGCGTCACTGGAGGATGATTACGTATTGTATCTGCAGCTGTAGCTACGGCGTGTATCTCGCAGGATACAACTGCAGCATGTTGCCAAATTGTTACGCAAATGTTTTCATTCGATTTAAATTCAAATGCAGGGACACAACCCCATGCCGATGGCAATTGTCGTGGGTGGGGAACTTGATTTCGATGCCAGGGACTACATAGCTAGCTAGGGGTAGGGGGTGTGCACATTAAATATGCCGAAACTGAATAATTAATGGGGCGCAAGTCAGGAAAACAAAAACGAGAACAGGTCCTTCGAAGGGGAGTGCGAGTGTGGGACTGGAAATGGAAATGCGTCAAAAGCTAAAAGTGAGATTGAGTTCTCTGCCTCCTTCTGGCCCTTCCTGTTCAAATGTCAGTCGGACAGCTATCGAGGATTGCCCCTGGCAATCCTAGAGGCAGGATACACATAGATGGATAGACAGCCGTAACGACTACGCACATGACACTCCCGGCTCCAGCCACATCCACTGCTTGGCGGTTCATGTTATTGAAACTGACAGGCAAGCGGGCAAATGGAAAGTCCATTTTTAACTGGTTACTGGGTAGAAAGAAGGAGGCGGTGTCAGTCAGATAGATTGCCAGGAGGAGCAGGATTCAGTGCCGGAAATGTCCGTTGAGTGGTTTGGTGAGGTGCGGCCCAGTAGTTCGCCGAGTGTGATTAGTTTTTCCTTCGTGGATGAGCAGGTGGCTCTTCTGGAATTCCAAATCAATTTCTGATGACCCCAACCACCCATCAATCTATCGTCTGGCTCTTAAGAGTTAAGACCAGCACTTTTATTTTTAAATGAAGACAAATACGGTTTGTGTCGCCACTTAACCTTATGATGACATAATTCCAATATTACTAAAGTTCGTCCAGGTCCTGGCAGGCAAACTTCTTGCTTGGAAACTTTCTGAAAAATAAATGGAAAATACCAACAAGGGAATTAATATTGAGTGCCCAACTTTTGAGAATGAAATCAACTTTTCCACAATAGGTCTATTCCAGCCTTTTATTTAATTAATTTAAGGCGCTTGCCAACTGTCCTCTATTTCGGTCACTCTGCCAACGGATTGGGGCCAAAATAAATGGCAAGTTAATTATAGAGTCCCCATTCTGTGATGGGTAGCGTGTTGGGGGGTGGTGCCTCCCCATGTGGCGCCACACACGCCAAATCAACACGACTTGACTGCAAATATTTTCGCCACCCATAGAAAACAGATACGGATACAAAGGCCCCAGAAAGGCGAGGCAGACAGTGTCATTGCGCCCGACCGACATGCAGTTGAAGTTGCTTCTGGTTGTTCTGCAGGTTTCCCTCACCCATTCAGTTCGAGTGACAAGCGACAGAGACACGCCTGGTAAATAATGAAGAATAACATAATGCCGCAACTATAAATGGATTTTCGATGCAGACTCGACTCCACTGACAGCTGGAGCAACAATTTCTTCCTTTTTTTTCCCAAGCTCGTTCATTTCCGTTTGGCGAACCCGACTGCATAAGCTGGAGGGCGTAGCGAGTTGAGTGGCAAAATGTTTAATTTTATGGCATTTGGCGTTAACATTTGGACCACCACCTGCTACTGCAACCGCCCTAAGTCAGGATGCACGAAGAGGAACACACCCAGATGACAGGGTTCCTTGTTTTATTACGTATCCGCCATGTGGCCCACAAGAGCCTAGGCTCTATGACTTGTCCCTAAAGGAGTCCGATGTGAGGGGAAATCGATCTACAAGTCGAATAGGGTAGTCCTCTTAAAGATATAGACTTCGTTGTGGGCCATAACCCTCTTTTCTTAGGAGTCATATCCTGCTAGAGAATGCCTCCTTTAGAGACCCTCTCCCTTGCGAATGTTTCCCAAAATCCCCTCAAAGATAATGTCTATGCAGCGTTGACATTTCTAGAGTGAAATGGAATATAATAATGTGTATGTGCCAGATAAAATATTCCAATTTAATTGCATGTTCGTGTCGTGTAGCTTCGTAGCCCCTTTCCAGTTCTTTTGGCTTCGGCCACGCCCATTAAACCGGATTGGAAAAATTTGGGGAGTTGGGCTAAAAACTACCAGGCAACGCCCTCGACTTTTCAGTTATTTTCCCACTTTCTGGAGTTTTGTTTATAGGGGACAACCAAAAAAAAAAATAGATATATATCTACTTATATAGGTATATTTTGATTTCAAATGGGGGGTTGGGCGCTTTCTCCCACTTGACTGACTTTCCCTATGGCAACGTTGCAGCGTTGCTTTTGTTGTTGTTGTCATGACCACTTGTTGTTGTTGTTGTTGTCCTGGATATTGCCGTGCATCAATTATAAAACATTTTCTTGTTGCCGGCTTCGATACTCCTTTGACATGCGAGCACAGAATGTTTTGCATTTCAGGCTTACAGATCCAGAGCCACTGGACGAAAACCTGTCAAGTGTCTAGTTTCGAAGTCGTACTATTTATATTCCAGGTGATGGTTTATTTTTCGAGTGTATAAACAAGGGAATAATGTTGAAAATTTGACTAATTTTTCAGGACTCTTGCAGAAGGTGAACGGAATACTCGACATTTTTTCAAACGAATTATGATTGATGGGCCTTGTATTGGGTGCGACGCTACCAAAGTCTTGCCAGACATTAGCCTACGCCTTCGGTTACACCCCCTTGCCGACCCCCCTCTCTCTGATGTTGTTATTAGCCATGGTAGTTAGGTTGGCTACCAACTCCATCTTTCCGTTCACCCACGCCTTTGTTTTCTCCTCGAAGGTGGCACCCAGCAATGACATTTTCAGTTGCTTTGCTTTTCCTTTTTCGTTGGTTCAACGAACTGCTGACTCTTTTGTTGGATTTTCAGTCAGGTGGAATATTCCGAGTACACATACACGGCAGACGGCTCCACCCAGCTCACCCCGTTTAAATACGCTTTTCAATTTAGTTAATGACTTGCCAGATTTGTGGGCCGGTCCTCCTGTAACTTGAAGCTACCAAGACGGCTCCAAAGAACTACATACTATGTAGTGTATGTGTATGAGACTGTTAGGGAAACCGGTAAGAGAATGCAACAGAACAAAGCCACAGAACACGAATAAAAGATTGAATATGTACACAACACAATAATTGTATTAATTAAGACCTTTAGACCCGAATAGTGTAATGCGAAAATAATAATATTGTGCACAAACGAATGTATGAAATATATATTTTGGTAAAATGTGCAGCTAGCCTAGTCCAAAGGCAAAGATACAGATACAGAAAGAGATACAGATATTTATGAAAACGAGTAAGTTTCATGAAGCCCGAATAAGTATGCTATAGAAACGAGTTGAGGTTAACATACGACAGCAAGATGATTACGGCTATGCTTTGTATCATATATTGTATTAGAAATTAACGAACGATAACAAAAATAAATGTATTTGTATTTCCGTTTGATATTTTTGCTAGTATTTTACGTACGCCGCCCCCCTCCCCCCTTAGAAGTTAAGTCCAAGAATTGTAAATCGCTCTCTTGAATGTTAAATGGCAGAAAGCAAAAAAAAAAAACAGCAAACAAAAGTGGAAAAATAAAAACGCCTGAGAAACAAACAGCACTCTAAGTGTGGCTTTTAAAACTATCATTCCCCCCCAGTTGACAGGTTGGGGGCAGTTGGGTGGCTCATCATTGCCGGTTTTGGCCCGCTTTCATTGGAATTTTAAATATTCAGCAAGCCAGCTGGTGGCATGCAGCAAACTGACTGGATATCTGCAGGTTGCAGGTTGCTCACTAACAGGTTGACAATTTCATCAGGCACTGGCACTAGCCTGGCTTCAGTTTGAGGTCATTATGGTCAACTTAACTCCTTCGGTGGGTTTGGCCCACGTTGCGTATACGCAATTTTGTGGCTCATCGAAATTTCTCAATTTTCTTCTCGTTTTACTGTTGGTTTTTGAAACAGCTGGAATATTCCACAAAATCCCAACAGCAAATGGCTCTGACAATCGATAAACAGAGTAAAGAGCCAACCACCCGCTGGCAAATCCCTCAAAAGTATTGAAATTTTTGGAATTTATTTTTCTTTTTATTGTTTTGTCCAAAAGGTATGTTGTATTTTGTTATTTTTTTTTTTTTTATTATTTATGCAAATACTTGCACGTAAATTAACAAAGTAAATTGTTGTTGGCGTTTTATGTTTCCTGTTTGTCGTCATGTGTTTCCCTCGCCAAAACAAATCACACGGCTGCCACACACACAGTGCCCCACACACGCACACCCACTGGTCGCATACCACTCCTTGGCCCGCACGCACGCACTCACACACGCATGAGCACTGTCTCTTTTGGCCCTAAAGCTTAGCGCTTTGGCAATAAAATGTCGAGGATTTATGGGTACGTGTCATTCGGCTTGTTTGTCTGTCTGCTCACTTTGCAACAGATAACCGGAAGGAGTAGCCATGTGCGTTTTGGGCTTGTGGATGTGTATCAGCCAGAGAGCTCAAGTCTGTCGCTTTCCCCAAGTATCCAACAATAATAGTGATGGAAAATAACCTGGCTTTATAAATTTCACAAATAAGCCCTACCATTTATAAAATTCATAACGATTTTGGTTAATATTATTTTGTTGGAATTGTAAGATTGGTAACTTTATTTATTTGACTTCTTACAAAAATTACAAAATATTGCAAAATTATTTACTTGCATACAACTTGAAAAATACTCTACTAGCCTGATCTTATTATATTGGCAAGAAGTATTTACCGAAAAACTAATCTACTCCAAAAAAAACATTACTGTTCTTTATGTATTATTTTCGTCCGATATTTCTAGTTTCTCTTGTGGAACAAGGTTTTTCTGAGAGACGGTTTTGGAAATTCCATAATCCATAATGTTCCTAAAAGGTTTTGGGTCTTATCATCATTTCGACAAAAGTCATTGAAACGGTATAGTCGCGTGTCGCCCACATGCCCCAAGATATGCCGTATAACCTATCTTTAATTTTTCCATCTTTGTAGAACCTTCCGTTTAGGGAGCTGTAAAAATAAGAATGTAGGTTAACATTTTTAAGATATAAATAAAAAATTATTTTGTAACTGTTTACCTATAGCCACAATTACCAAACCACCAGCCACCACCATGTTCAGTAACGCAACTTCCAATCGCATTGTCATTATCCCTATCATATGTCGAGAATTTGTTGTTCAAATTGTATTTGAGGTAATCGGCCGCACCTCCAGCGGTGGGATTTCCAACCGATTCCAATCGATAGGAATTCTTCTCACTGCCAATCTTGAAGTTATCATACTTGATGAAATCTCTGTACCCATTCCCTCTTCCCAGACGGATGAGAAGTTCGTACTGACCCGATTGGGTTATTTGATGCAACTTTTCTAGGCCGATGAAAAATTCTCCTGTTAAATTGCCAAATCCATCTCTGTATTCAGTCCAGTTCCGATTAAAATCCACGCTTCCATCCATTCGTCGTTGAATCACTGTCCATCCTGATCCACTGCAAGGAGCCTTAAATGCATGCATTCCAGGAAGCTTTATATTGTAAATGCCTTTTTCGGCGGTGGTACAGGAGTTTATTTCATCACATTCTAACAGTCTTTTATTTGCTTTAGTTAAATTTTGGGATAAATCATTTATTCGACTGGTTAGGAGACTATTTTGGGCGTCCCTGATCTTTGCCTGATCAGTCTTCTCCTGGATTTCTTTATCCTTTTCAATCAAAGTACGATTGTTTTTAATAACATTGTCCAAACAACTATGTAATTTTCTATTAACTTCGTCTTTATCTTCACTAATTTTTTTTAATTCTTCATTTTTTTCGTTAATTTCACTTTTTAAAATCCCTATCATCTCTTGATTGTCACTTTGAGCTTTCATAAGAGCATCGTTGTTTTTAATTAACGTTTTTAAATGTTCATCTTTACTTTTATTCGTCGCGTTTAATGTGTTTATTAACTGATCTTTTATTTCAACTTCCTTTAGTAGATCCGTTAACTTTGATTCATTGCCTTTATCGGCATCCGTTTTTAATTCTTGGAAATATTCTAAAAAAGGTTGCAAAACTTGGAAACAAGTTCCAGAGTTTTTCACCCCCTCAATAATCAGTTCTGTTGAATACACAGGATACTCTTCTTCTGCAGAAATTAAATCTGACAGGAATAAAACCGACAGAATTACTACTATAACTCGCGGATCCATGGCGTGCTTTCAGGTCTCTGTACAAAGATCGAATAAAATCTAAGCCGGAGTTGACTTAAAACGAAACTTAATCAGTTCATTTATGCAGAACTAAAATTCTTTTGAAGTTAATAATAGGGTTTTTTTGCGACAGCTTCCGCTGATAGAGACGTCTGAGCTGCGCTAATCTATAAGGTTTATGTTCTTTTATATATTTTTATCGCTATTCGCAAAACTGGCACTGATTAAGCCAAAAATAGCTACATAGGTTCTAGTAGTTCTTATTAAAACGTAGTCGGTATATGTTCGGCACTCAAGGTCGGAGATATTTAAACCTTTTTCTTCCTAAAACTGGCTATAACTAATTCTATTATATGAGATTATTCCACTAAGTAATTTATTTTTATTAAGTATGGCTTCTAGTTTTAATGAACTGACTTAACTAGCTTCATGCCCCTAATGCATAGTTATCTTTTCCCCACTTTTATTTTTTTTTAATTTTCAAAAAATAGCCCTTGGATTAGACTAGCAGTGTTTTCCCACTCTACCAAAGAAAATCAGTGAAATTCACGTTCAATTTGGCCATTTGGTCTCAGCCGGCTTCGTCACCGTCAACGTCATCGTCTGGCCTTACAAATATAATTAAGTGCAAAGGCAACTCGGCAGACAGCTGGACCCACAATCAAACTTTCCATCACATGTCTGTCTGTATGTCCCAGCCACATCCTTCTTATATTCTGTATCCTAGAGCAGACAAGGCCAGCCAGCAGCCAGGCCCTTCATTATCGTCACTGCATTTGTGAACCATATCCATCCCACGGACTCTTTCGTGTTCAGGTCCTCGTCTCAAGTTTTCTGTTTTCCTACGAACAGTGCGAGAAAATATGCTGTAATTCTAGTTTTTAATCTTGATTTAAATACACAAAAGTACTGCCTGGTTGACTTTATTTTTTGCTGTGCAGACAGGATCTGAATCAAGACTGACAGGCAACAAGCATCATTAGTCCTAATGAGCTGTGTGTAATAAAATTTCATCAAAAGTGTGCAAACAAAATTAAAGTACAGCCGCCTGTACTCGGAAGCTCCGAAAAGCAGGAACCTTCAATCTGCGACCCAGGGCGCCCGAAAATTAATTAATAAACCAATTTGCAAAGGCTAGAGGTTAACGATGGAATCTTAAACGAGGTCGCCCATCGCAATGTGCATGTATGCTTCACAAAGGGGTCCTTCATCCTAAAACGCAGAGAGCTGCATTCGAAACTTGGCCCCTATTCAATTGTAACCTAACTGGTTGGGGGGGAGACTACTATAGCTGGAGACGCCAAATTGTCGCCACATCCTTATCCTTTGACTCTCTCTCCGAGCCCCGGCAGCTGTCTCTCTCTCTCTCTCGCCCAATGTCCTTGAAACGGGCACAATGCGGGCTTGTTACGCGTTTCGGCCTTTTATTATGGTTTATTACGTCAGCAATGGGATTGTACCTACGACGATGTACATATAGGACATAAGGAGGGGAGGAGTACAAGGATGCACCTTGGGACAAAATAGGTGTAGTTGTAACTAAAGATAAACTTATAACTAAAGAGTTATCAATAGATTCAATGAATTTCGATTAATATTTTCAGACGCTTTACTTTATTTTCCTCAGTGTCCTCGAGGAGGAGTATTGGTGGAAGGTGGTGCCGCCAGCTGGGCCAAGTGCCCTGACTTTGACCCGCTTGCATAAGAAACGCCAGACGACGTAACGGAGCCCCTAAAACTAAGGGGCCGATCCTGGGGGGTGGGGCTATGCATTTGATTAAGTGGCGACATCTAGGGGCGCTTTTAAAGTCCACCCATTAACCCCTTTTCGCCTATTTCGGGGGTCTAACGAACCGCTTTTCTTGCCTTTTTTTCTTCAGTTGGATGAAAAGTGGGGGAATTACGTCCTTATTTATGACCAGCCAAGGACGTGTGGAAATAAATATCGTAGGGATATGTGGACATGTGTGACTGGGCTATGGACTTTATCGAATAATGGTTTTTCTATAGGACTAATCGGGGGAAAATGGATTAATAGACGGTGGTGACGAGTTCAAGATGTGGGTCACTTGAAATGGAAAAAACAAATCAATAGTTGATGGTTCAAATAGTTTATTTAAAGACAAATCATTTTAATAAATAGTACAATTTTTAATAATAAAAATAGAGCTTTCGTTCCCCAATAACCATAAAAATTGTCTATCCTCTAGGGTCTATAATCGCTTATCATCATGGATGTCATGGCACACCGATGGCCACTAGAATAGGTCAATCGTATGAAATATAGTTGCCATTTAGAGGCTTTTTAGAGGCGCTTTTTGTGGTATTTTTTGCGGCATCACGCAAAGAGAGTTTTTATTTATTTTTCAATTGAATTGCCAGCACGCCACGGGGAGTTGCCAGTTGCATGTTCCGGCTGGATGGAGGGGAGTGGGTGTTTGGGGCTGACCAAGCCTGCGCTTTAATAGACCACAGCCAAGAGGGGGAGTGGGGCGTCCTTGCCATCCTTGACCACTTGAAGTTTCATTGCGCCATTGCAATTGTTGTGTATTTTCCACTTTTCTTCTCCTCTTTTTCAAAACTTTTCACTGTATGCGTAATTTGTGGAAAACTCACGGAAAACCCATGTGTATGTGTCTGGGAATGAGGTCATATTTTGGAGCTGTTTCAAGTGGGTCCTTGGTCCTTCGTCCTTTTTCGCTTGTCGCGCCACAACTTCGCCACAAGCCGAGCAATAAAACACCAAGAATGTTGAGCTGCGGCTCAAGCTTCCAACAGGACAGTGAGAAAATTCTTTTCAAATATTTATTTTCTTTTCAAGAATCTTAAATATATTTTCTCTCAGTGTCAGACAGTTTGGGGCCAGAAGGGCAGGGCTGGAAAAGGAGCTAAATCTCTTTGCCAAGTTTCTGAGGGAGAGCCACAAAAACACAACCGCAAAAAAGAATTAGACGTGAAGACGGCGCCAAAGTTCAAATGGCAAGCTCAGCAGAGAAGTCACCCCGCCCTGGTCTTCCCGGCACAGCGCCTTTATTACCCCTCCAGGGTCCTCTCCCCCCCGCTTCGGTTGGTTGAAAGGATTTAACGCCTCGTTGAGTGAAAAGCAAGTTAATTCACATTTTTTTTGCATTACCAATTTTTTATTGAACTTCCTTCGATTGAGGTCTAGCGTGGGTGGGTAGGTGCCTCAGGAAATAAAAAAAAATAATCGATTATACATTCTTTAACATGTGTTTCTATAAAAAAAAAAAAAAATATGTATAAACTAATGTATTAACTCTCTATTAAAGACCATTTTCCATCCTTACTTCGAGGCTGGTTCTTGTTCAAGCTTTTTAATTTTATTTTTGAATTTTTAACCAACTAGAAGGTTAACACCAAATGGCAGTTTTATTCAAAAAACCATTCTGAAAATTGGAAAACCAACATAGAGACATGGGGACGAAGGGGCGAAGCCAAGCCCACATGCAACGAGTTGGGTATGGTGGCCTCCCATGGTCGAGTGCCTCCCACCATCCCCAGATTGTAGTGTCTTCAGTGAAAGCCATAAGATTGCCTTGGCCAAGCTCTTCTTCGGGCATCTTAATTGGTGCGGAAATTATTAATTATTCCTGGTCGGTCGAAGCAACAGAAATTGAAAGCTGGAAAAGTGTATTGCCAGTGTCGGCCACAGATTCAATTACTGGCAGCCATCTCGAGTTTAGAAAATTCAAAACAAAATACAATTGTTTGCGGTTCACCCCAATAGCCGAAGTCCAGTACTTGGCCACTTTTTTGAGGTTTTCTGTCTGTTTTTTAATTGAGTTTTAATTATTATAGTTAGGGAATAAAATAGCAACTTAAAGTAAGTAAAAGAAAAAATTCAAACTAATAATAATAAAATAAATTACATTATTTGCATTGCCACCATTAGCAGCCTGGTTCATGTTGCAGTCGGTTTTGTTCGCCAAAGTTCTTAATTGCAAAATGCCCCAAAATAAGTCCACCCGCCGCCATACCTTCGCTCGAATTCCCCAGCCAGGACCCTCAGGGGACGTCCGTTTGGTAACTTGGTTGTAATTTGGGCATAATTATGACAAAGCCAACAGCTGCCAGCTCAGTCCCAGCCGCCACGCCTCCTTCTTCCGGAAATGCACTTTATTTCAGTTTTAATGCAAAAAAGTTTCTCGGCTTTTTCAACTTTAATTACTCCTAGGCTTCAAATGGCTTTGAAAAGATAGATTCTATTATTTTGGCTGGTAGAGAATAGCAAAAAACTAATGTCAGAAGAATCCACTAAAAAAATACATTACTGCTCCTCGGGTACTATTTTCGGTCCTGTATCCTTATCCAATTTAGAGCCACAAGAATAACAACTATAATATAAAATAGTCAAAATTACTTTACGCTTAAATTGTATTTCGTATTTACAAACCGTTTTGTGTGTAAGAAATTCTGAAATTCAATTTTCCAAAATGTTCCTAAAAGGTTTTGGGCCTTATCATCATTTCGACAAAAGTCAGTGAAACGGTATAGTCGAATTTATGCCAACTGCCCCAATATATGCCGAATAACTTATCTTTAATTTTTTCATCTTTGTAGAACCTTCCGTTTAGGGAGCTGTAAAATTAAGAATGTAGGTTAACATTTTTAAGATATAAATAAAAATCTATTTTTTGACTGTTTACCTATAGCCACAATTAGTAAACCACCAGCCACCACCACATGTCTTAGCGCAATTTCCTTTCCACTCGTCATTATCCCTATCATATGTTGAGAATCTCTTATTCACATGCTTTTGCAAGGAATTCCCTACACCGCCTTTGTAATTTCCAACCGATTCCAATGGATAGGAATTCTTCTCACTGCCAATCTTGAAGTTATCATACTTGACGAAATCTCTGGACCCGTCCACTTTTCCCAGACTGATGAGAAGTTCGTACTGACTCGATTGGGTTATATGGTACAACTTTTCCAGGCCGATGAAGAATTCTCCCGTTACATTTCCGAACCCATCTCTGTATTCAGTCCAATTCCGATTAAAATCCACGCTTCCATCCATTCGTCGTTGAATCACCGTCCATCCGGACCCATTGCAAGGAGCCTCAAATGCACTCACTCCCGGAAGCTTTATATTGTAAATGCCTTTTTCGGCGGTGGTACAGGAGTTTATTTCATCACATTCTAACAGTCTTTTATTTGCTTTAGTTAAGTTTTGGGATAAATCATTTATTTGACTGGTTAAGAGACTATTTTGGGCGTCCCTGGTCTTAGCCTCATCAGTCTTCTCCTGTACTTTTTTATCCTTTTCCTTAAGTAGTTCGTCTTCTCGTTGAATATCTTCTTTGTTTTGCTGAATTTCGTTTTCTTTTTCAATCAAAGTATGGTTATTTTGGTTGATAATTTCCGAACAATTGATTAACTTTTTATTAAATTCGTCTTTTTCGTCACTATATTTTTTTTGTTCATTTTTTTGAAGTTCTTCAAAGTGTTTAACTTTTAAGTTTAGTTTTGTAACTTCTTCATCTTTTTTGTTTATTGTTTGATTTAATAATAAAATTTCATTATTTCGTTCACTAATTTCACTATTTTTTAGTCTTATCAGATCTTCATTGTCACTTTGAGCCCTAACACGAGCATCGTTGCTTTTAATGAGAGAGTTTAATGTTTGTATTTGTTCATCTTTACTTTTAATTAAAGTTTGTGATTGTTCATCTTTACTTTTAATCGTCGCGTTTAATGTGTCTATTAGCTGATCTTTAATTTCAACTTCTTTAAGAACTTGCATTAAATGGGTTTTGAGTTCACTACTTTTATCGGCAGCTGTTTTTAATTCCCGGAAATAACTTAGAAAAGGTTTCACAACTTCAAAACAAGTTCCAGAGCACTCCACCACCTCAATAACGTGTTCCGGTATAGTATTTGCAGGACACTCTTCGTTTGCAGAAATTAAATCTGACAGGAATAAAACCGACAGAAGTACTACTATAACTCGCGGATCCATGGCGTGCTTCCAGGTCTCAGTATTGCGGTTGACTAAAAACTAAGCCCGGGCCTGTCTAAAACGAAAGGTCTGTCCTCCTAAACTTTTCTGATAACAGGTTCGGCTATTCCCAAAAGGTCACAAGTGGTAGATTATTTGCGGATAATAATCTATATAATCTAGATAAGGTCTCAGTATTGCGGTTGACTAAAAACTAAGCCCGGGCCTGTCTAAAACGGAAAGTCTGTCCTCCTAAACTTTTCTGATAACAGGTTCGGCTATTCCCAAAAGGTCACAAGTGGTAGATTATTTGCGGATTTTCCATTTTTCGTGATGGGTTGCCTTGAAAATGGGGTTTTCCCCTATATAGGGCCCACTGTGATGGCTATATCTTTCTCAATTCTCATCCGATTCTCAAGCGGAGTACCTTAATCGATTTCTGGATCGATTCTCCACCATTCTGCATCAAAATCCTGAGACAAAATATTTTTTAGATTTTTTGTCCATTTTTCGTGATGGGATCCCTTGAAAATGGGTTTTCCCCTATAGGGCCCACTGTGATGGCTATATCTTTCCTAATTCTCATCCGATTCTCAAGCGGAGTACCTTAATCGATTTCTGGATCGATTCTCCACCATTCTGCATCAAAATCCTGAGACAAAATATTTTTTAGATTTTTTGTCCATATTTCGTGATGGGATCCCTTGAAAATGGGGTTTTTCCCTATAGGACTCACAGTAAATTATAATACCCTCTGCAAGGGTATAAAAATTCGAAAAGTTACCCAAAAGCGAAAAGAAGACAACCTGCCTTCGTCATTGATAAAATGGCATGCCGTTTCCGGTCAGTAAACTTTCAATGCAGAAACTTTTGCAGGCCAGGTTTTGGGAGGTGTCTCTGTGTTTGTGTTTATTTTCGTGGGTGGTGGGTGTTTTTCCAAGTAAATTTCCAATCGAGCCAACTTATGCAAGTTATTGTGCAAGCTGCCCAAGGGTTGGGTTGATGGGCTTCTATTTTATTTTTGGTAAGGGCATCCTGCTTAGGTGTGCAACTTGCGTTTCGTAAATTTGGGGCAGAGCTTGGCTGGCAACAAACGGAAATAGTTAATTTTTTTATTTATTTTTTAAGCAGACAATATTGATAACCTTTGGGAGGTCAGAACTGCTCTTATCATATAAGAATGCGTTAGCAGACTTTTCAACTTTAAAGTCAATTATTTACTGAATTTTTATTATTTTTTATACCAAAAGATTAATAAAGTCTTACTTTATGAGTTTAAGGCATTTATTTAGGATTCGACGTATGTACCTATTAGACTTCTGCATGAATGTATCCAATATGACAAATAAATCATTTATTCTAAAAGCGGGCACTCTTTTTTTTCAGCACAGTATATTTGGGTATGAATGAGTAGGGGAGTATTTTTTGTTTTATTTGACAGCTTTCACACTCATTCCATAGTTGTACAGCTATTAATGAGTACAGGTAAATTAGTGTGCCGTAGTCAACTCACTGTACAGTGTTTTGGTGTTCAGTTGACTTACTGTACAGTGAGAGAAACTTCATGACTGGAACATACACATAAATATTTCTCGTGTTTATGTAATGTCTGATTAAAAAATTTATTTGTATTTTCGTTTCAAATGTATTTATTATAAAATAGTGTATTTACAAATTATTAATATTAAAATGAATGCTTATTACAATAATTATTTTATGTTATTAAATTTTCTATATTCAAATTATTAATGTTTTAATGAAGGAACATTATTTTATTGACCATGTCTTCAGATGTGGCAATTTTTGCCCGTTTTTCGCAAATTAAATTTTTGGCAACAGAAAATGCCCTTTCCGATGCTGCACTGCTCGCGGGAGCTGCTAGTATCTTGCAGCTAATTTGATAAAGCAGCGGAAAACGGTCTTTATTTATTGACCACCACTGCAGAACATCAAAATTTTCCCTATTCGCTTTATTAACATTTTTATAAGTTTGAAGCTCATCCTGAATATCCGATAAAATATTGGTGCTTTGAATAGGTTCTGAATAGTCTGCAAATATGTTGTCTATGACTTACGCTATCTTGAGAGTTTATTGCATGAGCGTCGTTCTCCCTAAAATCCATATTTATGAATTTTTGAAAAAATATTTGTACACGTCAAATAGTTGTACACGTCAACAGACAAACTGTACAGTGTGTTGGAAAAGGCACAAATTTAGTACTCACTAACGACAAGTACAACGATATACTGTACTCACTCGAAGTGAGTACACTGAAAATTTTGTGCTACTTTGTTCCGACCTATAGAGTACACTGTACAGTATAGAATGAGTGCAGTGTTTTTAAAACACTACACTACTGTACAGATCTGTTATGTCACAAATGAGTACATTCATGCAGAAGTCTAGTACCTATATTCGAAGCGAAAGCCTATGTTTAATATATAGTTTCTTGGGCTTCAGATTTCTGAAGTGCATGGCCAACTTGAATAACTCAATTAGTGCACTATTGTTGGATGCAATGTGTAGTACATTGTGCATTGGCTCAGAGCGCATTTTTCACGCTTCTTTGAGTGGGCCAAGCCCAGGCTTACGAAAGCGAAACCCGGAGGGAAAAGTGAAATGACTAAGCGGCGGCAACAAGAAAAACACCAGATAAAGGAGAGCCACTAAAGAAAAGCTTCATAGAGGCAGTCGGAGCCAATTAATTGGACCAATAACTAACAAGCAACAAAAAAACTTTTTAAATAAAAGTGAAACTTTTAGTATTGATTCGACAAATGGCTTTAAAAGACACTACTAAATCGTTCAATAAAATTACCTCTAGAATTGGATAGTTATTTTATTAAAAATTGCTTTATTGAAAACCTTAAGAATTGGATAATTTTATTGAAAATTTCTTCAAAGGTATTGATGCAGTTATGATAGGAATTATCCAGAGTATACTCCAGGCTTAAATTTTAACCATAGATGTCCTTTATACTTAATTCTTTTTGTCCTTTAACCATAATTTTTCGGTTTAATTTTTATAAAATTCGCCCCTCACCGTGTCGTGTGTGTGGGGTTTTTTTTTTTTGTCAACAACTCAACGTAAATTTGTTTGGCTTTGGCTTTGGCTTTGCCCAGCTGTGCGTGGCTTTTTTCGCAGTCACTTGGCCGCACCCAGTTGCCGCTAATGTGTCGCTAATTAGCTTTCCCAGCAAAGTGCGTGGGTGCCTGGGGAACGTGAGCCAACGCCGCCCCTTCCGTCAAGCGGCTAAAAAATGAGCCACAATATTTGACTGCATTGCGGACATTTTTCAATTCATTTACACGATGAGTTCCACACAACCTTTCAAAAATTCCAAAAAAAATAATACCAATCGTAACTATATAATCTCTATAAAATCTCTTCCAGTTAATATGGTAAACGATGAAGGCGGCGAGACATCCCAGACAACAAAGCTCGGAGGCTATGACTTCTATCGATCCACCCTCGGATCTCCGCGCTACGTGGTAGCACCTATGGTGGACCAAAGCGAACTGGCCTGGCGGATGCTGTGCCGTCGATATGGAGCCCATCTGTGCTACACACCGATGTATCATGCCAACCTATTCGCCACCGATCCCAAGTACCGGAAGGATGCTCTGCAAACCTGTCCCGCCGATCGGCCTCTGATTATCCAGTTTTGCGGTAACGATGCCCAACAAATTTTGGACGCTGCCCTGGCGGCACAGGAGCACTGCGATGCTGTGGACATCAACTTGGGATGCCCCCAGGCGATTGCCAAAAGGGGGCACTACGGATCCTTTCTGCAGGACGAGTGGGAGCTGCTAACGGAGATTGGTAACCAAATCAGAGGTAGTAATTTAATTAAACAAAACCTTACATTTTTATTATTTTAGTGAGCACCCTCCACAAGAAACTCTCCATACCGGTGACCTGCAAAATTCGAATTTTCGAGGACCGCTCCAAGACCATCCGATATGCCCAAATGCTGGAGGCTGCCGGCTGTCAGCTCCTTACCGTCCACGGTAGGACGAGAGAGCAGAAGGGTCCTTTGACAGGTGTCGCTGATTGGAGTTACATTAAGGAGGTGAGGCAGCACATCAAGATTCCCATGTTCGCCAACGGTAACATACTGGGTCTGGAGGATGTGCACCGATGTCTGGAGGAGACGGGAGTCGATGGTGTGATGAGCGCCGAGGGAAATCTACACAATCCAGCCATCTTCCAGGGCCTGGCCCCACCCGTCTGGCAAATGGCCAAGGAGTACTTGGAGTTTGTGGATCTCTATCCCTGCCCCAGCTCCTACATTAGGGGTCATCTCTTCAAGCTCTTCCACCACATGTAAGACCTATATATATTCTTTATTTCTTTGAATATTCTTCTTAATATTCTCTTGTTTGTTTTTAGAATGAATATACGACAGAATTCGGAGCTTAGGGAAACGTTAGCCACTGCCAACCAGTTAGTGCAATTTAACAGCGTAGTTGAAAAGGTAAAGGCCAAGTACGAACCCTACCAAAAGGGTGAGTTGCCATACGAGCCGGAGGAAATGGATGCCACTGTGGGTGCCGAGGTAAGTGCTCCATAGTTTCTCTCGACTTTCAACTAATCGAGATTACTGATCCTCCCGTAGAAACTTCCCCTGGCTCCATGGCTGTGCCAGCCCTATATACGCGCCTCACCCGAATCCCATCGTCAAAAGATCGCCGAGAAGGAGCGCGAAGCCGAGGACCCCAATCGAGCCAAGAGGCAGTTCTTCGACAAGGATGGCAACGAGATATCTCGGAAGCGGATGAAAAAGTTGCGAAGACGCCAAAGGCGACCCAACAAAACAGATGTCCAGATCCAGATGCGGCATGAAAGGCGTCTGGAATACTGCACGGAGTGCGCTAATCCCCAAGGGTCCAAGTGCGAGTTTCGTTTGTGCCGTGTCTGCTGCAGGGAAAGATGCTATAGCTCAGATCGTGACTGTCCCGGCCATGGAATCCTCATTAAATCCCGGCGTGCCAAAGCCAAGCGGTTCGAGGAGAATTCAAAGCAGGAAGAAAACCAGGACTCCGGCGTTGGTGCGGAAAATCCGGATAGTAATCAGATGACGATTGATGCGAGGACGCAGGATAAACTTTGACGAGGAAGCATTAGGAAGTGATGTCACTTGTGTTTGTTCCTATTTCCAATAAAAGTCTATTTTTCTGTTAATTTTTTTTGTTATATGTTCTCGAATTTTCTAATGTTTGGATTTTTAAGAAATCAGAAGAAAGGATCGGTTGGATCGAGAGTATTTTCAAAACTTTTATTTTAAAATTTTCTATGGCGGGAAATTGCTTAAAATTTAGAGATGACAAAGAACCGATAGACGGTTGCTGTTAGGCGCAAAATACAGTTTACAGTGCTGTTAAAAATAGAACTGCCAACCTGTTCTAAACTAAACAGCTGTTAAATGTAAATATAAACAAGTTTTAAAAATGCCGACTTTTGCCAATTTTAACGTAAAAACCACAATTGATTGCAAACAAGGAGCTGTTCGAGCCGTGCGATACAATGGTAAGAGGCCTAATAACCATTAGCTTCTAAATAAACGTATTCTTTACCCCTAGTGGACGGCAGCTACTGCTTGAGTTGTGGGTCTGATAAAAAGATAAAACTTTGGAATCCGGTATCGGGACTCCTCCTGAAAACTTACGGCGGCCATGCCGATGAAGTTACGGACGTGGCAGGTAGCTGTGACAGCAGTCACATCGTTTCCTCCAGTTTGGACAAGAGCGTCATCTACTGGGACGTGTCTACGGGAACTCCGGTACGGCGTCTGCGTAGCCATGCGGGTGGCGTGCGATGCGTCTGCTTCAACGAGGACTCTTCGGTGGCCATTTCCGGAGGCAGGGACAATGCCGTTATGTGCTGGGACATTCGCACCCGCCGCCTTGATCCCGTGCAAGTGATGAAGGAGGCTCGGGACTGCATAACAACAGTCCTGACCAACGAGAACAGAATCTATGCCGCCTCCCTGGACGGCTGCGTGCGGACCTACGATATCCGGGTGGGTGAAATGACCTGCGATAAAGTAGGAGAGCCCATCACCTATCTGGCTCAGACGAGAGACGAACAGTGCCTGGTGGCGGGCTGTCAGGATGGTGTGGTTCGTCTGGTGGACTGCGAGACCGGCGGCCTACTCTTGGAGTACAAGGGCCATCTAGCAGATGACTATCATATCGAGTGCGGCATCCTGGCCAACGATGCTCACATCGTATCGGGCTCTGGGAACGGACATGCCTTTGTGTGGGATCTCCTCGAGGGAAATGTTCTCCAGAAGATTCGCATAAGTATGAAGATATTAGTTTCATGAGGGAATGATCTTTATTTCTTTCTTTATTAATCTTTATTAACCAGGTGACAACGGTGGGGTAGTCCACTCCTTGGCCACTCACCCGAAGCGACAGGAGCTGCTGTTTGCCAGGCGCCGGGATATGTACGTCTTCTCCGCAGACTTGCAGATAGAAGAGGAGCAATTATAGATGCTCCCTGATAGACTATGCTAGAATATAGATTAGGATGTAATATAGATTTTAAGGAAAATAAATAAAAATTGTAGATTTTGTTGAGGGAAAAAGGAAAAACCATTTATTTGACATAATTTTTTGCATTTTTTTGTTGTAGTTTTTTTTTTGTTGTTTGTTTTGTTTCCATAGAGCATGAATGTATGTAGTAATATGTGGTTGGTTGTATGCATGATCTGGCTTATATATGCGCTGCTTCATGTACATATTTCTTGTTTCGATTTTGTTACACTTTTTGTTTATTTTTTTTAACTATAAACGGCCTGCATAATGTTTCCTTAATAATTATATGTAATGTATAGGTCGAATGCAGACGCACAAGCGAAGGGGGCGAGCTTGGGATGCCAGCATCTGGCCGCCAGTGCTGCTCTCGACATCATTCTCATACTCTCTCTCCTTGTTTGGGGCGGGGGGGTTAAGGAAATGCGGGACGCCAGGCCGCGGCGACGCTGAGCGAATCGCTCCACCATCCTTGCTGGCACCGGAGCAGGACACTTGGTGTCCTAGCTTGGTGGCTGCCCCGAGTTCCAGTTGGAATCGCTCAGCGTCGGCACGGCTTGGCAGAGGAGAGGCAGCTGCAGCAGATCGTTGCATCGCGTCCTCCATTCGCTCGAACGTGTGCATTCATTGTATACGCAATGGGGCATGGGGCAAGGGGCGGGGGGTGATCAAGGTCAAAGGGATATAGGGATATAGGGGATGGGGGGAGTTCTTAGTTTAACTCTCTGAACTTGTCGTACTTATGTACTAAAGCATATTAAATATGTATGCAAAGTATTTGTTTATTGTAGTTTAGTAGTAATATTATGTAATGTTCCGTTACTTATGTGTGTATGTACTCTGCATGTATTATTTATATATGTATGTTTATGTTTATGGTAGGTATGCATAATTTGTATATAATTTATATTCATATATATATATATATTTATATAGTAGTTTATATAATAAACGATTTTCAATTTTTTTTTAGTTCTCTCTTTTCGTTAGCGTTTTTTTTTTGTGTTTCTTTTCCTTTAAATTGTTTTAATTATTTTTTTTTTATGGTATTTTTTAAATTTTTTTACCACCCACGCACTGCACTCTCTTACATAATTAGACTTATAAATTTTTACACAAATATATCAACAAAAACTCAATAAGTTCCATTCAAAGTATATGAATATATATATATGTAGGTATATATAGATCTAGAAACGTATAAAATTAAAAATACAAAATAATAATTTAAAAAAAAGGTAAAAATTAATGCGATGGTTTTTATAGAGTTCAACACATGCTGACCCCCAGCACGGTATATATATATATTATTATTATTTTTTTTTTTTTGTATATTTCTTATTCTTGAAGGAATCGTTAAATCCTGGCTCCCACGATATCTGCAACTACCAACACTATCTTCTCGCAATCTCTCCGCTTTCCAACTCCGGCATGCGTGTAAAGGTATTTAATTAAATAATTAAATTAAAATCAAATAAAAAAAGGAAAACTCATTAATTGTATGTCTATTTTCTTTTTCTGTTTCGGTTCTTTTGTACTCTGTTTTGTTGTTTCGGTTTCGATTCGTTATTCTGTTGTATTCTGATCTATATCGACGCCTCCTACCAAAAAATACTCAACTCTATCTTAACAAAATATACGTATTTTTTTAAAATAAACAATTCAAATGACTTTTGAATTATTTTGAATTAATTTTCGAAAACCTTTCAAGTTTTGTATTTTTTGTTATGAAGCATCGAGTTTATAAATATATATATATATATATATATATATATATTGTTGCTGTTGCTTGTCGTAATCAATTGCTCAGTTTATCTTCTTTTTTTTGACTATTAATTCTAATTTCTTAACAAATTAATGAACAAATGTTAAGTGTATTTTTTGTTTGCATTTAATTACAGTGGCTATGTGTTGTGATTGGTTGTAGTTCTTTGTAGTTCTTGGCGTTTGAAGCTTGGAAATAGGTTTGGTTGGCTATTAAATTAAATGTCCAAAAATTACAAAATATTCTCTTTAGGTCTGCTTGGTATTACTTCTCATATATATATATATATATTCTTTTTTTTTTGTTTTTTTTTTTTTTAATATACATTTTTTTGCCTTTGCCTCTGTTTGGTAACAGTCTCTTTAGCATTTCTGTGGTGGCTGCTGTGGCTCCTACTGTTACTGTTAGTGCTTACATTATGTTTAATGTTACTGCTGCTACTACTGTGGCTGTTACTGTTACTGTTACTGTTACGTTGCCTGGAGGCTGCAAATGGACTTTGCTTAGTAAATTGTTGGTGAGTTGTTGTTGTTGTTGTTGCTTTCATGGTTGCTGACTGGCGAGCGGCCTTAATACTAGCTCGTGCTCCAGTAGCAGCTACCGCTCCACGACCCGAACCCGATCCCGATCCCGATCCTACTCCAGATCCTGCTCCTGCTCCTGCTCCCGATAGCTTGGGGCTGTTGAATCAGGACGACGGCAGCTTCTTGGCCACTATGACGCCCGGCCGGCACTGCTTGAGGGACGTGGTGATGGTCACCTGCTGCGGAGATCCGTTCGCATTAGTTCCGGTGATGATGGTGCCCGAGGTCGCTGCCGCATGGCTGCCCGCCCCGCTCTGCACCTTGAAGATCGCCGTGGGAGTTACGGTTGTGCTGCTGCTGGAGGTCACCAGGCCGCCGCCATCCTTCGCCGTCTTGGCCGTAATGATGACCTGCTTGTTGCCGCCGCTCTTGAGGTGCAGGAAGGGTCTCAGCTCCGCCAGCGCCACATTCTGCTTGCCGGTGGTGGTCAGTGCCAGGGGGGCGTCTTGCGCCAGGCGATGGTGCTGCTGCCCCTGTTGGTGATGTCCGGCCACCTGATGGTGCTGCTGGCTGAACTTGATCTCGGGGGCATTGCCGCCGCTGCCGTCGGCGAAGAGATGATCGCCCTCCAGGTGGCGGATGGCCTGGACAATGGTCTCCAGGTTCTGGCGATGCGGATGCGGATAGTGGGTGGTGGCCTGGGTGACCTGGCCGTGCGGATCGTGCTTCTCCGTCTTCACCTTGACGATCTTCTCGTGAATGCGCTCCACCTCCACCTTTGGCGTGGCCTTGATGGCCGCCTGCAGGATGGGCTGCAGCATGGCGGCCGATCCCTCGGCATATACTTTGGCAATGGCGTTCACGTTCACCTCGTTCTCGGACTCCGTCGAGCTGTTCGACGACAGAATGACCTCCTCGTGCACCTGATCCTCGGTTATGATTTCCGCAGCGGCGTCCGCCTCCAGCTCCTCAATGCTGGAGCACACAACCACCTGCTGCTGGCCGGTCATCTCGTCGATCTCCACGTACGACACGGTGCCGCCCAGCTCCTCCAAATCCTCGTTGCGCACAAAGTTGTCGGTGTGTTCGATGACTTCGCGTGGAATGTATCCGCCGCCGGTGCCGCCAGCAGCCGCTGCCACAGCCGTGCCCGGCGGTGCGGTAGCCACGCTATACAGCTGCCGCTTGATCATCTGCAGCTCGTCCTCCAGGAGCCGGCGCAGGCTGCGCTCCTTCTCCAGTTGCTTCTTCATTTCGATCAGTTCCTTGGCCGCCAGGATGCTGTCCCGGCTCAGCTTGGTGGCCGCTGCTCCGCCGGCCGTCAGCAAGGTCATGGGCTCTGGGGACATGGAGCCGAGACCCTCGTCGGAACTATCGCTGATCGCCTGGATGTTGATGACGTTGTCGGTCAGCTTGCGCTTCTTAATGGCCACCGCCGTCGCATTGCCGCCTCCGTTCACGTTTGAGTCGTTGTAGTTGCCGCCACCGGAGTGGGCGCCATTGTCGCCTCCTCCACCGCCGCCGGCCTCGTGCTCGCCCACCTGGCGCTTCAGCTCGCTGTTCTGGGTGAGTAGCTGTGTCTTCTGGTTCTCCAGTTCCACGATGTACTGGAAGGTCTGTTGCAGGATGGCGGCCTGGAAAAGAAGAAGAAAAGATTTTTTTAATAAATTTTAGGTTATCTTTTTATATCACAAGATACATAATGCATCTGAAGATATATAATGTCCAGTAGGAGGAGGAGGGAATGAATGGGGGAACAAAGCATAATTGCCAAGAACCGACTTAATTGCAACAACACATCAAGACCTGGCTTGTTGCTTTTGCTCTTTTTTGTTTTTGTTTTTTAATTTTTTTGCATTCTTCCTTCTTCCTCTTCCTCTTATGTTTATAGTAAATACTGTAGTAAAGCTGTTGTTCCCAGGCCTCCCTCTCTCTCTCTCTCAAGAGAGGTGAAGGAACTGTTGTCCTTCGAAATGCGCGGGCTTTACAAGGCAGTGGTTTGTAGAATAGAATGCATTTCTAGATCTAAGGTGGAGGAGGATTAGGGAGGCTGCCATCTTCCCACACACATTCCAATGACATTCCATTGCGGCTTTGATTAAAAACCAATACATCTAAAGCCACTTTGGCAACAATTCTTGTTTCTCATCAGAAAAACTTGTTTTGGTTTGTTGTCGGAGGTCACTACGAAAGCAACAAACAACAAGAGCAACATATGTATGCATAGGAAACAGCAACAACAACAATAGCAGACGCCGGCATCTCGCACAGCTGCTGCTCCTCTCTTTCGTGAGAGCCGCCAGCCGCCAACCGCCAGCCGCTAGCCTCCCAATGTTGTGTGTACAGTTTTCTCAGGTTTATTATTGTCCCCCCACTACCCCCCATAAACTCTTTCAATTGCAGACAGTGGCATTGCAATGTCGTGCGCATATTTTATTAAACTAACAACAACAACAATAAGAACAACAACAAAATAATAATAAAAATAAATAAATAGCCGAGTGCATTTGAGTTTTCCAGCTGCAGCTTTGTTGTGATTTTACACAAAGGTCGTTCATTGACTTTGTGGCTTCGTAGAGGAATTGCTATTGGAAGTCGGCACTGGAATAATTGGAAAGATAAGAAGAAAGGGTGTTGCCGCTTTGTCTGCGTAAATGGCTTTTAAATGAAAACTATTTCTACAGTCTCAGTTCTCGGGAGTGCACTTGTTCTCCAGTCCAGTTGGACTCTAAACATATGTATGCTTTCTTCCACCGATTTCCATCATATGGTAGTTTTTCTTCGCTGGAAAATGCCGGCTAGGGTGGCCATATAAATAACCAATATACGATATTATAGCGACATCTGTGTGTGTGTGTGAGTGTGTAAACAAAAAGCAAACCCGAGACCAAAAGCATAAACAAAGCAAAAGAAAACGAAAAAGAAACACAAAGCCTCGCGGATCAAACTCGCGGGTCCAACAAGAATCCAATTCAGACGCAACCCAAACCAAGCAAGAAAGGAAAACAAAACACAACAACAGACGTTGGCCGTTTTTGCGGTGACTGTACTTTTTCCCAACACAAAACACAACACAACCACCACCACCACACCATCACACATAGAGCCACCAGCAACAGTTCCAATACGAAAAGTTTTTCAATATTCGCCGGCGTCGTCAAATGTTGCTAGAGAGCCGAGAAGACACCAGAGAGCGGCGGCGGCGAGTCCCTCTCTCCTGCTCTCTTTATCCGAATAGCTGGGGAAACACTCGTGCCAGAGGGAGATGGCCAGCGTTCGTTGGGTTTGCGTTTCGTTTCATTTCGTTCCGTTCCACTGAAACGGAAACCTCAAGTAGCGAAAAACATGTGGGTCCAAGCTTTTTCAGCTTTTCGCAATCCATCTCTCCCTCTCACGCTTTGGGTAAACACACGTGCTCTCTGAAGCTTTCCAACTGGAATAACTGCTATATTGGAAATGCCAAGCCTATTCCTCTCCCTTTCTGCCAGCAGCAGCAGCAGCTGACTTCTATAAATGGCGCGTCTGTTTGTGCCTCCCTTGTTGTTTTCGTTATTATTGTTGTTGTTGTTGTCGGCTGCCTGCTCTTGTTCTTCCACTACAATTTTTTCTGATTGAATAAATGAAAATGCATAAAAATAGCAACTACGCTGGGGCGGCGGCGGCGATATTCTGGGAATGCAACGAAAGCGCCATGCGTCAGCTGATGAGCTGGCAAGCTAGAGTTTCAAAAGATTACGATTAATTTTTGGAGGGGGACAGCACCCCCACCCACTCAATGAACTTCCTTCCGCTCATCTCCCCTCCCTTTTTGTTTTATTTTTTTGCCTTTTCTGGCCTACGTGCGTGCACGCATGCTTTCAACGTGGCGCTTTCCTCTTGTAAAATACGGTAAAAAAAAAAATCAATTTACTTTTACAACTTTGGTGGCTGGCCCCGCCCCAAAAAAACAAACAAATTAACGGAAAACCTATATATGTAAGCTTTATCTCTGTCCCATATTTATAAGCAATAAAAGATATACTCTCCATAGCTGATAGTTTTGCGGAACCGGAACTGCCTTTTTTTTAAGCTTGAAACTATCTACCGTTTATCTACCATCTGGTCCTAATTTTCAACCATCGTTGCACGTCAGCAGGGCAAAAAAATAAAAACAATTAACGTAACGTTCTCGGTTATCTTTGCCCTCTTCACCTGCAGATGATAATGACAGGTGTGTGTGCCGAGTTCGGAGCGACAGGGAAAACAAGTCAGCTGACATTAATTTCGGGGCGAATTTTTGCGAATTTCTACCTTTTTTGATCGCAAAGATAAAAAATATGCAGAATAAAATTAATATTTCAATTTTGTATCTTTATGTTTTAGATCTACTTGGTCATAACGGAACCCGAGACGAGCTGCACAGACCCATAATAAATATGAATTCTTCTTGTTTTTGTTGTATTTCCACGCAAATGCAAAAAACAACAAAATTATAAGCAAAAACAGCTGCGAATTCTACTATCGCTGCCGGCTTACTCACACCCATACTCGCACTCACACTCCCATGTGTGAGCACACACACAGATACTCGGTTCACTCGCACTCGCCTAACCGCCCACTCGCACTCGCACACCCTCTCTCTTTCTCCCACTCAGCTGCTTTTGCTTATGGGCGCCAAACATGTGTTCACTCGCACACCTACAGACACGACCTGAAACAAGAGTAGTGGGAGCGAGTGGGGTGGTCCCAGGAGAGAATTCTGGGTGACAACATCATCGTCGCCGCGTAGTTTTGCGGTCAAGCCAAAATGCAACAAAACTAAGGCTATTTTTAGGCCTCCCCCACCCCTGAGTTTTCATTTAATGGGGAAATGGAAAACGCCAAGAAATGCCGTCATCGAAAGTGGTCGGGGGGTGGAGGGGGGAAAGCAAAAAAAGAGTGGGGCGAGGTCAAGCGCTAAGAGAACATCACACCCATTTCACAGAAGAAACAGCTGTGCGCACAAATCCGTTGTATCGCGGCTCTCTATTGAAATATTTGTAGTTTTTAACGGTATTTTGTTAATTAAATTGGAGAATATTAAAATAAGAAAAGGAAAGCAACATTATTTCCATTTACGTTAACCTAATTAAATAGAAACACGTGCCTCAGATGAGCTCAGAGTGCGAGTACACAAAGATACAAAGATACTTAGATACATGTGTAGCTTTGTTTGTATTTGTATCTATTTATATTTGCCCTCCAACTTAATCCAAGGCAAGAGTCGTTAAAAAAAGAGCCAATTAAAGAAAGCCAGAGCACCGTGTACAAGAGCGTACTTGCACAAACTTGCACTCCTGACCAGAAACTAATGCCAAGGGTCAATAAAACCTTTGACCCGCATAGCTCCAATGGTGTTTGGCCACGACATGCCTCATGGTCAATGTAGGAATTTAATTAACATAAAAAAAAACGCCAAGAATAGTGGGTGGTGGATCAAAACTTGCCGGTTGTTGCCGAAAGGCAGCTGACCCTCAACACACACACACACACACACACACACACAGACAAAGCCATTCATAGCAAGAGACCGCATGTGAGATCAGCTGATCGAATTTCATGTCTATAAAATTAAAGTAAACGCGGCAAAACGATGGCGACAGCGACAGCAGCAGCGGCAGCGGCATTGTATTTATTTTTATCAACGTGCGGTGCGCCTGCTATGTGTGTTTACCCAAGACAGCTGTTTTAATTAACCCAAATAGCAGCAACAGCGGCCGCGCCAACAGCTATTTCTAGTGAAAAATTATAATTTAATTAACATTCCCTACTGCCTGAATATACTGCCTTTTGCGCTACGAAACATGATTGGACTTGCACTTTTACAGTTATGACGAAGGACGCAGAAAGCCGAGCTGAGAGGCGGTGAGAGGTGAGAGCCGTCGGCGCTTTAACCTTGTTGTTGTTGTCGTTTGTGTAGCTTGACCAGCTGAGTCGCGCTTACACTGTCCGTGTGTCTGTGTGTGTTTGTGTGTGTGTGCAATTGCGCAGCAAAAATGCCGGTTGACTTTTGTGTTTGCTTGTTTTTATTATTTTGGTTTTGTTTTTGTTTTTTTTTTTCTACATTTTGCATTTTCTATTGAATCTACTATAAAGTATTGTGGCCAGACAGCTGTTTGAATGACTCAGTGATCTGTGTGAAACTGCGCACTTAGCCAAGACAGACTGTAATTGACTGGCAATAAATCAAAACAAAACGGAACTAGCTGACTATGCCACAAATACATACACTACAGCCGATCTTGACTCTTGTCCATTGATGAAAAAACACCGTTACAATGCAACAAAGTCATTAAATCTGGCGAGACGGCATTCCATGTAATCAACAAAGACGGAGAGAGCGCGCTCTCCAAGGAGACTCTGAAGAGGGAGCGAGAGAAAGGGGGGGGAGGCCGCGACACAACCGACCGACATTTTTGCAAACTCACACAGACTACTTCCATCTCGCTCTGTCTACCCACAAAGTAATTGATCCATTGCACTTATGCTTTTTTTTTGCTTTTGTCACTGCTTTCTCTTTGCTTCTTCGGCATTCTTTCGCGAAAGTCTCCAAGTACTATCAATGAGATACAATGCCTACTGAGCAGACGGACTAACGGATTAATAAAATTCAACGGTAATTTGCTCTCCCTATGATCAGGGTTCTCTATGACATGTCTATGCTGGAAAAAATCATGATGAAACATGAAAAAATCATGTTTTCTTGAAAAATATGCTTATAGACTTTTAAAAACTAAGCTCATATAAGGTCCTTTTCCACCCAGACCGACTAACGGATGATGAAAAGGCAACGGTGATTTATTCTCCCATTGATCACCCCCTTAGAAACCCACTTTCCCACTTTCCTTATCCCCAATATAGTACAACCTCTAAAATTCTTACTAAAAAATGCAATTAAAAGTACCCAATTCACCATAAACTATATACAGCCTACAAATGGGGACAGTCTTATGTAAGAGTCTTCTTATACTTTCCAATATCAGTCGATGTACACACACACACACACATAGAGTTATATGTATTTTGACCAAACTGGGTGTTGGCGTGCCCCAGAAGTCTTCGTCGCATCAGAATCTGTAGCTGCAATCCCGCGAAAAGGTTGCGAAATGCCAATGGCCTAGTGCACTCCACCACCCACCGCCCTTGTGCCACGCCCCGGTAGCAAACATCCCATCTCGGCCAGCTTGTGTGAGTAAAGAATATTTCGCCGGGCCAACAATCAAAGTGCGCAGCTGCCAAGCTGAATGCCCATTTTTCAAAGGATAAGCTTGTGGGCAGTGAGTGAGGGGCAGTGGGGTTATGTTATTTCATCCCCTATGTTCTGGCACCTGCCATCCATCGTTCCATTCGGAATCGTCATCGGCTGTGAAACAGCTGCCTACCAGGCGCCAGACAGACGCCAAAGACTTGAAATAAAATGGCAATGAAACACTCTCCCGCGCACTACATACCACCCACCCAATACCCACCACCACCCACCAGCTGTTCCAGTGGTGTGGGCTCCCATCAGCAGCAGGCTAACAAAGAGTTTGGCGCCATTGTCCTATCCCTCTCCTATCACACATCCCATTCCATCCCAATATTGTATCCTAGTCCCGTTTTATTTTTCTTCACTTTGGGGGTAGCTTTGTGTTTGGCGCGCGCTTTTCTACTGGGGAGCCAGCCACTGGAAAGGAATCGATATTGTATTTGTATATAGAAAATTTTCCAGTTTTGCGTCAGTCCGGCGTTTTTGCTCTCTTCTCCGTCTGGGCAAGGTGTGTGCACTGTTTCAAGTGTACAGCGAACGCCCTCCCCACCCACTGTAATGTAGGTTAGTTCAGCTGGGGCGCGCCTAAATCTCTACACGGCGAGAAATACTTCCATACTGTCCATATTTGAAAGATAAGGATACTAAGGAGAGCACTACATTTTAAGAACTTTAATAATCTGTTATACATTTTATTTACAATTTAATAGTTTTAATAGTAACTCCAAATTTCTTACAGTGCCCTCAAGTAGTCATAATACAACAATAACAAAATGAGGGCAACTGTACGCAATTGCACATTTGCACTTTAGCGCCACCTAGCGAGCAAGTTCAATGACCTGCCAAACAGCGGGAGAGGAGATTGCAAAGAGAGAGGATAGCCGCCGCCTCGGTGAGTAAATCACAGACTTGCACTCGCCCACCCCACCCCACTCACTCCCTCACGGCCACCAGGTGGATGGATTCCACCCCCTTTAGGGCGTGGCTGTATGTGTGGCTGTGTAAATGTCTCTGTCGTGTACCGTTATGTGCGTGAGGCCTAACTGTGAATGGCACTAGTTAGACGCACTAGCTTTTAGTCTGCAATGCACTTTTGCCAGTATTTGTATCTCAGTTTGCTTTCTTTTCAGATAAAGATAGATAGATACTTTAGTATCTTAAAGATTAAGTATCTCATTTCTTAGAACCCTTAGGTCGCAATTAATTCAATTAATTTAATTGTAAATCGTACTGCGCGGGCGTAGACCTGGTCAGGTTATCAAAGACCCCACACTTGAGCCTCTCACTCTCTCTCTCCTACTCTCATTTCAGTGCACTATCGGTCATTGTAGGCCCTCTCTCCCTTGCACATATTTACTACAATGTTTACTACTCGTCTCCGTTATGCGAATAGAGCACATAGAGCATAGAACAAAAATCCATAAACTACTTGCACTATTCCTCCTCCTCCTCCTCCTACGCCCACGGGCCCATTCCACCATCTTCTATCTCAATCTAGGGTTATATTTGTGTCTTCTGTCTCTTTCAGCGCCCAGGCCCATTATGTCATTCATCAGGGCCTGGCGTTTCCTTGCTTTTACGCTTTTCCTTTTGGCCCTGTCGTGTCGTAGTACGTTTCATATTTACGCGCTTTTCTTCCGGTTCGCAGTTTTTTGCTTTCCTGTTTTTATTAAGAGATGCCAGAGGCTATTGGATAATTATTATATCGTGAAAAAACTTGTTCAGACATGCAAAAAAAATCATGTTTCAACTTGTTTTCTTGCAAAATATGCATAGAAAAGTAAAATACTAAGCATCTGAGTCCTGTCAAGGCCCATATAACTTCATTATGTAAAATATTTTTCAATATTGACATGTCCAGGCATGATAAAATCATGTTCAAACATGAACAATCATTTTAAAAGCATCTAAAAACATCATGTTTAATCTTGTTTTTCTTGGAAAATATCCTTACAAAAGCTAAAAAATTAAGCACATTGGACCTCCTTGAGGCATCCACGTCTAGCCCATATCCTTCTCCAACAACCCACCTCTCTCCGTAGCATCTGTAGACGCGTCACAACAAATCGATGTCGTCTCAAGGTGAAAATCCCATAAATATGCCAACATGTGTGTATGAAAAAAAAAACAGCCCCAGAACCGCCTCCAACACGGTTGCCCTGACGACTAAATGTCGAAAAGGGACCTTCAGTCCACCACTGCCCACCCCCCACAATCCTCGCCAGTCATTATTTGCTTTTTATTCCACAGCTGGAAGCTTTTAGCCAAGTTGCGTGAATTGTCGGCAATTTGTCAACATGTGTTTTCGGACCAAGGCCCTGTAATCGAGGCCCAGACCAGACTCCAGCTGGGGCGACGACTGTAATTGGAGTTGCGTGTTGCAAGATGATGGTGCCTCCAGAAGGACACTCTTCTCGAGAACTAATTGAAAACTGACCTTGGCCAGTGGTCAGTAATGGTCAGAAGACCCTCAAGACCTCTGAGATATCACTTACCTTGCTCAACTTCTCGCCCTCGTGCCGCGGGAGCAGTGATCGCAAGCTCTGGAAGCCGGCGTTTATGCTCTGCATGCGACGTCGCTCATTGCTGTTGGCGATCTCGCGACGCATCCGCTTCTCGCTATCGACCAGGGGCTTGCCAGAGGAGTCACCGTCGCTGACTCCGCCCCCTCCTCCACCGCCGCCGCCGCCTCCTCCGCCCTTGGAGGTATTAGTGCCGCTCATACTCGACTGGCGGCGCTGCGAACCGGAGATCTGATGAGCCGGCTCGGTGGTGTACTCGATGTGATACGTATTCTCTCCTCCGGAATCTTCTAGTTGTAATCTGCAAAAAAAAAGAAAAACATTGGATATAGTATAGTGATTCAGAATAGTATATATGTACTACTCTACACACCACTACAGAGGCAGGCATGATGCTCGCTCTCACAAAAGCTTTGAAAAATTCATTCATTCATAAATTTACAATTCCATTCAATTCAATTTTAGTTGAACCCGCCAGCCAACCACAACAACAACAACAACCACCAGCATCGACATGGGTATCGACATCAGTTGTAAGTAGGGTATAGTAGTGCCTCAGATACACTACACTTCTAAAATAACTAGCTATATATTTTTAAAATCTTAATCATAGTTTAATCATAGGCATCTAGTCTAAAATATTTCTTTAGGTTGGTCAGCCTTATCAGCAGGGTATCCCCACACCCCCACACACACCAGCCACATGGCTCAGCTGTCATCGTTGCCGAGATTGGTTTCTGCTGGCTGGACGGGTCGGTCTCTTCTCCTTGTCTGGGGTCTCGGGTCTCGGGTCTAGAGTGCTGTAGCATAAACTCCTCAAGTCTCCTCAAGAATTCCAAACCGGTTCTGCTCTACAATAAACAAACACGTTTTTCACAGCCAGTCTCTAGTCTCTGCTGGCTAATGAAAACCATTTTCACAATGGTATGCCTGCCTGCCTGCTTGCCAGCAAGAACAACAACAACAACAACATGGCCAGACGGAGAGCCGGAGTTGTGCAGGAAAAGTTGCAACACAGCATTCCATGCTCTAACAACAACAAAAACAACAAGGAGAACAAAGCGGCTACAAGACGATGCTCAGAAGCATAGAAATTACAGTGGAGACTATGCGGACGAGAAAGTAGTCGAGAGTGGGGCATTCTTTTAAAGTATTAGACAGTTCTAGACACTAAACTGGAGCTAGATATTGGGTTATCCTATCTTGTCCTCTACTTAACTATATATCCTGATATCCTGAACTGAAGTATAATAGTATTATACTACATAATACTGGCCTACTACTGGTATCCTATGTTATATATCCTACTTTCTAAACTAGGAATATATAGATCTTATAATCCTACATCCATTCCTATAGATACTACCATCATATTCTATACTATCTTATAAATCCCACCATCCTATTCTATATAATCCTATGGATAAGACCATCCTAGCCTACACTAATCTATTCTATAGATCCTACAATCATATGCTATCCTGTACTAAACTATGTATCCTACTATCCGATCGAATCCTGTAACACATTCTACTATCTAGAAGAGGACTATGTACCAACTACAACCTATACCAACAGGACAAACTATTTCGTATCCCATAAATCCTACCATCCTATTCTAGACTTTCCTATAGATCCTACCATTCCATACTGTATTATTCTGTACTTTACCACACTATTCCATTCTATCCTATATTATAGTATCCTACGCTAATCTGTACTTAAGATTCTGTACCAAACTATGTATCCTACTACATATCGCACTACTCTATCCGCACTATACTATCCTATCCTATATTCTATATATTCCTATCTTATAGGATCTTATCAGTATCCTATTTTATAGTTATATCCTACTACACTATCCTATACTATATATCCTATTCTGTACTATATGTCATACTATCCTATATCCTATACTATATATTCTATATTCACTATATATACCCTATCCTACACCTTATATTCAAAATACTTTCATCTGAAGAACCTTCTCGCTATATCTCCACGTCCATCATACAGAGGTTAGACTGTATTAGAGACACCGTCGTCTCGCTGGCTTGGTTTATTTTTAGCATCATCCAAAGGTCGTTCTTCTCTGGCAACATTTTTGCGGCAAGTGCGCAACAGAGACACCACAAGCAGTCCAAACAAGAGAGAGAAAGAGAGGGCAGGTGCCACTGAAGTTGGTCAGCAAGCGGTGGCAAGCGGATGTTGTGGCAGCATCAGTAGCAAGAGGCCAAAGGAATGTGGCTCGGATCTTGGATCTCGGCACTTGCTTTTTGGCATCTCATTCTTGTTGTTGTTGTTGTTTTTACAATAAAATCCGAAAATGTTGAATGAAAAGCATGCGGGGAATGCAGCATATGCCGCATGTGGTGGCAACATCTGTTGTTGTTGTTATGATATGCATGTATATATAGAACTAAGCTTATTTTCATAATAATTTTGAATAGAATTTCCATCAGTAGGTAGTTAGGTCTTGGTGGCACTTGAGGGGGAGGTGCATTAAGCCACAACAACGACAACAACAAAAACATAGCTGAGGTAACAACATATGACAGACGACAGCTGCTCTGCCACAGTCTCTGCTGACTCGGCTGGCAGCGCTGCTTCTGCCAGAGTTCAATGTAGTTCATCGGCCACTTTTCGCCAACACACACACACACACATACACACTTACAGGCAGATGCAGTTACACATAGAGAAATATATATGTATATACAGATATACGCGAGCAATAAACAGACAGAGAGACAAAGCCGAAGTCACGAGTACCATCGAGAGCTTCTCCCACCAACCAACCTATCACCCACCTACCACCCACATACCACCCAACTGGTAGTGCACTTTGCACATAAATTGTACATACGTTTATTGGGTCACTGCTTACGTCATCATTTCACTGGAAATTTCGTAGAATTCTCAACACAGAGTTGGAGAAAGCAGCAGCTAAGCCTCCAATTATATAATTAAAGATATTCCTTCAAGATCCAGAATTATAGAGAAGATTTCTTTAGAAAGGGTATACTATTACGACACTGTCTACGAATGCAACGCAATAAAGTTTAGCACTTCTTGCGTAATTCTGCAACAAAGTAGAGACCCATAAACTAATGAAAGAATTAGAATTAGAATCCCCGACGCTCATTTTACAGTTGTGTCTGCCAGATGGCGCCACAATGCCAATAAAAATATAAACAAAAGTACGGAGTAAACGGATCTGGGATTATATAAGAGCCAGGTACCTAACAAGGTAATTTCCAATAAATCTCACCATCTGGAAAGCAATACATCTCCTATTCCTAAACATTTCAAATCTTTGGAATGCAATTAGATATGGCCAGAAGAATCGGAGATACTATAGCCCCCGTCGTAGTAGTAGTAGTAGTTATCGTAGGCTCTGCCTCTTCTTTCTAGTGGCTAGTGCCATGCCCCAAAAACTGTTGTACACAAAAATCATGTGTTTTTCATAAACAAGTCGAATGCCCCCCCTCCCTTCCATCTCTCTCGCACTTCGCCATCACCCGCAGGTTGCCAATAAATGCCGCATGCGAAAAAAAAAGCTGGGAAGCGAAACGAAAACAAAACGAGACGAAGCGATGCGAAACGTTTTGGCAAGTGAAACACACACACACACACACACACAAAGAGACACACATAGACACGGAGCCATCGCCCCAAAATTTGCGCAGCAGATTTTCAGCCATGTGTTGGGGTCTCGTTTCGTGTTTTTTCTTCTTCTTCTTCTCTCTTTTCTGTCTTTTATTTTTCGCAAATCTGCAGCCAGCTTATTGTATGTCTGTATGTATGTGTGTATATATGTATGTGTTTTTTCAATGAAACGCGTGTAGTAGTAAAAAGCATGCAAAGTGTGTGGCGGCATCTGTACTTTTGCAAGAGCAAAAGCCTTCTCTCACGGCAGGCGCAACAAGCTTTTGAGTGCAATTCAAATCGCTCTCTCTCTCTCTCTCTCTTACACTACCTATGTACTTAGCGGCGGCGGCCCCCAACTCGGTGCTTGGGGAGCGGCTCTTATAAAAACTGCAAGCAGAGGAGAGGAGAGCGAGTGCGGGCGAGAGAGAGATAGACAGAGAGTTGTGGATGCTAAACTTCTCTCCTCTTTTTTTTTCCAGACAAACGAAGAGTGGGGTAAAAACGGAAATGACGCCACACAGCACACAGCGTGCTGCATGAAGCAACTACAACCCAACACATGGCTACGAATGCAACGTGTGGAGACTTTTAGCCAAGGCACGCTCTTTTATTTTAGCACCAATGCCAGCCAAGCCGAGCAGCAGCAGCTGCTGAAACGCAGTTGACCGCCCACACTGGTGGCCAAAATAACAGGATCACCTACCATTTCGAATATTATTGAATAGTATGTTTTTATTTGGCAGTGTGTGCGTGCGTGGCGGAACATATGCTTCAGCGATAAGAGGAGGCGCCGGGAACCATATGATTCTGATAGGTCGGACCGGCTATAGCAATATTACTGTATATTCAAGAACAAGAGGAAAAACAGGAGAAAATTTAAAACTGTACATTTCTTTCTTCTTCTCACACTTGTTTCTAATACCGACGAGAGAGAGAGACCTGATCAGGTAAGAGAACGACTCGAGAGCAGCACACGGCGAGTAAATAGTGCCAAAGCAAGAAAGCAAAGCAAAAGCGAAACCATCTGATGATAGGAATATACCGGTACAGCTGATTTCATTTCAGCTATGAACACAGAAACAGACGAGCGTCGACAAAAATGTTGATTAGGCAACCAGCGATAAGCGAAAAATCGGATGAATAGACCAACGGGTCAGGGGGGAGGGTGCGCAGCTGTTTGCTCGAACATGTGAGCAACAGACCGGAGACTGAAAGAAAAGATAGAAGGCGGCGGCAGAGAGAGAGAAAGAGAGAGACTTGACACGATCGAAAAAAAGTTTTTTTTTTTTAAGAAATTAAACCAAAGTAGAATGTACCAATACCCTAATAAAATATAATTCCATTTCTTTCTAGTTGGTACCATGCCTGATATTTCTGCCACCAGTGTTTTAAGAGCTCTGACCAAAAAGGCGTCACAAGAAGAAACGGCATGGAAGCGGAATAGAGTGAAAATGGAATGGAATGCGACATCTGTGTGTTCCAGGGGGCCTGTGTGTGTGTTTGTGTGCGTCTGTAATGGTGGTGGTGTTTTTGTGCCGTATTTGTTTTGTCGGCAAAACGGCGGCAAAAAAAAAAAACACGAGAGGAGGAAGGAGCAGGAGTGAGAGGAAGAGGGCGAGAACATGGCGAAATGAGAGCTCAGAGTAGTAAAAATAATCAATAATTTGCGTGATAAAAAATGCAACCGAAGCTGTTGACGCTCAGGGGACTCGAGACATAAACATTAACTTGCGAAATGGTAATGATGGTAACTCAAACTTACTGCAATTCTTCATCCAATTCCTCGGCGCTGTTGTATTCGGCGTTTTCTAGAATAACTTCCTCCGTTTTGATGGCGGTAACCGGTGCGGCGGACATGTTTTATCGTGTTTATGTATTTGGCTATTATCGTGGCCAAATCTTGTCTTCTCAACCACGTGCGCTTTGTTGTTGTGGTTGTTTGGTATGGATTCTGACTTCTAGCTGCGTACTGCTGGCTGCGGGCTCTCGTTGCCGCTACACAAACATTGGCGTTTTATTTATAGCAATTTTTTGTTGTTTTTTTTTTACTCAATACGCACACCAGCTAAGCTAACCAACTAGCAGGCAAATTCGATCGCTGATGTGTCAGCTGGTCTTTGCTTTTCAGCTGCTTTTTGTATTTAGCGGCAAATTGTTTGCCCTCTCACACACACACACAAACACATACACACATTCGCGCACTCCCGTCACCGATAGACACAGAGACAGAGGGAAGAGAGAGAGAGACACGGCGCCGATATAAACTTAGCGCGTCAGTTTCCACACCACTCTTGATTTTTTCCTAAACTTCGTATTCCTTCTACTTGTCACACTTTTTCCGGCGATGTGCGATGTGTGTTTTCCAGTTGTTTTTCGAATTAACCGCACTAACACTTGCAGACGCGCGGCTGGTACATAGAAATATATAGGTGTATATAAGGTCGCACTGTACGATTCATCCGGTCACGAAGCGACACGTCCGTTGCGTTTTGACTCGAAAAAGAGTGTGACCGGTGACCAGTAGAGATGATACAAATATTTATTAGCCTATCGATATATCGATATTATTCCCATCACTATAATTTGTCGTAGGGCCTTCCAACACTGTTTGGCAAGATTGGCAACACTAAAAGAGTGCGTTAAATTCAAAAATTAGCGCGCTAGACATTTTATAGAACTTTTAACAACTATTACTTTTAATTTTTAGAGTAACTTTTGCAAATTGCTAAAAACTTTGCTGCTGAAACTTATGATGTCCAAATTTAATAATTATGAAAGCTACGAATTGAGTACAAGTTAATAGTTCTTTATTGGCGTCTTAGTTTATTTTAAACATAAAATAAGTAATGTTCCTTGACTTAGAATCAAAAATTTGCCGGATGTGACCTTTGATGCAGCAGACAACAGTGATAATCTTCCCGAAAGAGGTCGAAACTGTTCTTATCATAAAACCACGGGTGGAAAGACTTTTCGTTTAGCGACAAGCCCGCCTTAGCTTTCATTCAACCGAAATATTGAGACCTGATAGCACGCCATGGATCCGCGAAATATAGTGAAAATTGTGTTGGTTTTAGTCGTGTCCGGTTTAACTTTTGCCGACCAAGAGTGTCCTGAGAATGCTGTACCAGACCAGATTATTGAGGTGGTGGAGTGCTCTGGCACTTGTTTTGAAGTTGTGAAACCTTTTCTAAGTTATTTCCGAGAATTAAAAACAGGTGCCGATAAAAATAGTGAACTCAAAACCCATTTATTGCAAGTTCTTAAAGAAGTTGAAATTAAAGATCAGCTAATAGAAACATTAAACGCGACGCTTAAAAGTAAAGATGAACAATCACAAACTTTAATTAAAAGTAAAGATGAACAAATAAACACATTGAAAGCTCTCATTGAAAGCAGGAAATATCTTAAACAAGCACAAAGTGGCAATGTTATGTTGATACGGACTATAAAAAGTGAAATTAACAACAAAACATATGAAATATTTAATAAAGATACGCTTATAAACTCATTAAATGTGAAAATAAACGAAAAAAACGAGGAAATAAAAAAAAACGGGGACGAAAAAGCCGAATCTAATAAAAAACTACTTAGTTGTTTGGACAATGTTAATAAAAAGGATTATACTTTGTTGGAAAATGAAAGGAAAATCCAGGAAAACCAGAAGGAAATTAAAAGTAAAGATGAACAAATAAACACTCTGACCAAAAACAACGATGCTCTTATAGGAGCACAAATTGAAAGTAAAGACCTAATAAGGATAAAAAACAGTGAAATTAGTGAACGAAATAAAGAAATTTTATTATTAAATCAAGCAATAAACAAAAAAGATAAGGAAGTTACAAAACTAAACTTAAAAGTTAAAGAACTTGAAGAACTTCATGAAAATGAACAAAAAAAATATAGTGACGAAAAAGACGAATTTAATAAAAATCTAATTAAAAATAACCATACTTTGATTGAAAAAGAAAACGAAATACAGGAAAACAAAAAAGAAATTCAACGAAAAGACGAGTTACTTAAGAAAAAGGATAAAGAAATCCAGGAGAAGACTGATCAAAGTAGGAACCTTACCCGTGAAATAAATGTTATATGCCAAAACTTAACTAAAACTAATGTAAAACTATCAATATGTGATGGAATAAACTTTTGTATCACCGCCGAAAAAGGCATTTACAATATAAAGCTTCCTGGAATGAGTGCATTTGATGCTCCTTGCAATGGATCAGGATGGACGGTGATACAACGACGAATGGATGGAAGCGTGGATTTTAATCGAAGTTGGACTGAATACCGAGATGGATTCGGTAATTTAACAGGAGAATTTTTCATCGGCCTGGAAAAGTTGCACCAAATAACGCAATCGAGTCAATGCGAACTTCTCATCAGTCTGGGAAAAGTCAATGGGTCCAGAGATTTCGTCAAGTATGATAACTTCAAGATTGGCAGTGAGGAGAATTCCTATCTATTGGAATCGGTCGGAAATTTCACTGGAGGTGCAGGCGATTCTCTCACAGCCCATGTTAAATTAAAATTCTCAACATATGACAAGGATAATGATCTAAGTACAAAGAACAACTGCGCTTTACTGTATAAAGGTGGTTGGTGGTTTAGTAATTGTGCAAACAGGTATAGTGGAAACAATAAAATTAGTTTATATAATAAACATTTTAGCTACATTTTTACATTTACAGCTCCCTTAACGGATATTTCTTCAAAAATGGGGAAAAGAGCTTTGATTTTGGGATAATTTGGGGAAGTTGGCAAGAGTGGAAATGGGATATTTCCCTCACATTTGTAGAAATGATGATAAGACCCAAACCCTTTTAAACAAATTATGGAACATGGAGTTTTATAATCACCTGCACAAAAAACCAAACAAAAAAAAAAACATGAAACGAATATTGAAGCGATTAATAAAATACAAATAATTTAGAAATGGGTCACATTTAAAAAAAAGGTAAGAATAAGAAATCGACAATAATAATATCCAGTTACATATATTTTTTAATACTGTAATACTTTAATACTGTTTTTTTTTTACTCTAATGAACTAATTTTTATTAAATGAATTTATTTATTAATTTTTGAGAAGTGCTTGAGTAGTGAATAAAGTAGTTTAGTTAAAGTTAACCTAAAGATAAAAAAAACAAAGAAATAAAAATAATTATAGAAAGTTCTTAGAAGCTGGGTTTTTTTTTTATATATGTAATTATATATTAAACAAAATCGTCATAAATATGAAAATATGTAAATTTTTTAGCATGTAGGTTGACTTAAAGCCCTTAAGTATTTTTAAATTTGCATAGAAACTAAAACTGGCTGTTAGGTTCGAGATTAGATTAAAAGAGAGACCCCTATACTTTCTTTCAGCGATAACACATCTTATCGAGCTAAACTATATAACTACATATAGTTTAACAATTTGCAGATATCACTCGGCAGGGGTCTCTTATAGTACCTTTCCCTTACTATACCTTACAATAGAGTAGCAGCAGTGCCTTAAGCAAGAACATCGCCAATATATAGTAGTCGAAATGTACATTAGTAGACCCATAGAATCATCGGCAACAAGATCGATGGTTCAGGTACAGTGCCAGGGACTGAACGGAGCTGGCCCCAGTTGGGTGCCATTGAAGCAGGATTGGAGCCAACGATGGTGCACTCTCTCCGGGCTCTATACGGCAGACTACGCTGAGCGAGTGGGAGGCTTCCAAACACGGGATAGTGATGTGTTTCTGGTCTCGTTCATGAAGTGCGGCACCACCTGGTTGCAGGAATTGAGCTGGCTTTTGCTGAACCAACTCGATTTCGAACAGAGCTCGAAAAGCTATATAATGCAAAGGAGCCCTTATCTGGAGTAAGTTTTACCAAAGATTATCTGCATTGTACCATTTTAATATATAATTCCCTCTCTTAGGTACTCCAGCAATAGTCCCTTGATAAAAATGGATTCCATTAAAATATGCGATGACCTACAGAGTACTCCGAGGCTCATTAAATCCCACTTGCCGGCACAACTGCTGCCCCGTGAAATTTGGGAGAAAAGGCGAAAAATCATTTACGTGGCTCGCAATCCGAAGGACGTAGTGGTGTCCTCCTATCACTTCCTGACTGGAACCGGCTACTGGAGAGGGAACATGGACGAATATGTGGATCAGTTTGTGGCTGGCAGGATATTTTTGACATCCTTTTGGTCCCATGTCATCGACTTTTATAGGATGCGCAGTGAGGAGAACATTTTCTTCGTAACCTACGAGAAAATGAAAGAGGATCTTGAGAATGTTATTCGGCGACTATCCGCTTTCTTGGAATCCCCCGATTTAAGCCAAACTGAAATGAAGAATCTACTGGAATACTTGAGTTTTGAAAACATGAAAGGTAATAACTGGAAATAAATCCATCGTACCAATAATATTAATTTTGTTTTCAGCTAGCACCTATGGCAACCCCACCGCACGAATTAAGTCCACTCTACAGGTTTCTGATGATTTTGAGTAAGTTTTATTGTTAAATTTCTGAAAATGAAAATTTTTCAAAATTAACATGGGTCCTTTCAGGTTTATGCGACGTGGCATTGTCGGCTCTTATAAGGACGAGCTTAATTTTGATCAAAAGCGCAAAATCGACAACTGGACCCGCTGCTGTCTTGAGGAATATGGATTAACAGAGTTCGATATTTTTGGGAATGTTTAAAATATTGTTTTCTTATAATAAAGCCAATTAAGGGGGGACATCTGAGTAGAGTTTTGAAAAAATCAAAAATTGTATTTTCCATTCTGCGGCGATCACTCACCATTTTGAAAAAAAATTAATATATCGTAAAAATCCTACATGTGTCGATAGCCGTTGATGTACAGAAACTAACCAAACTTGATTTTTTGTTCTAGATCAAAAACTAAGAACGTTAGGTGTTCGGCCATGGATTCCCTTTAAAAAAAAGGGCCTACAAATAAAGGCTGCAGAGCTGCCATTTTGTTTTTGATTTATAAAAAAAAAAAATAATATGATAAAACCTCATTTACATATTTTCGATTGGCTTTTTCATTTGGCCAAAAAAAATTCCAGAAAATCCCCTTTTTTCGCCTGTTACTCAGATGTTCCCCCTTAAATTGTCTTCTAAGATTATTTTCATTAGGCGAGAATATTAATTTAAAAGTGGTATCTTCATAAAAAGTTTGGACATTTTGCCGCCAAACCAACGAGAATCCAAATGCGGTCTGGCAACTCCGATTACAATCAACAATTATCGAATTCTTGAGAATTTGTATTCTTCTTTCCGGCTAAATTGTTTCATTGTTTTTATTCAAAACATTCAAATAAGTGCAATATAAATCATTTTAAAATATGTTTTTAAAAGATTTTAATTGGGTGGTGAAAGATAAGAGTATATGACTCAGGTGTCATTGAGTCTGAAACATAGCCGTTTAATCTCATTTTTCCTTGAAAAAATATAATAATAATCATATATATCACAAATATAAAATACTTAGAAATTCTGAAAATAGCCCAATTACTAACTTGTGTCAGACAACAGAGATAACCTTGGGAATGGCCAAAACCGTCCTTATTACGTAAGTACGCGTGGAAAGACATTTCGTTTTAAGACAATTCCAGTTTATTTTTCATTAAACCGTAAGATTTGCACAGACCTGGTCACGCAATGGGTCCCGGAGGCATATGGATTTTTCTGTCGCTTTTCTTCCTGGCAGACTTTACCCAGGCCGATGAAGTATTCGAAGTTATCGAATGTTCTGGAAGCTGTTTTGATATATTTAAGCCTTTTTTAATTCATTACAAGGAGTTTAAAACGGCCGCGGATCAAATCGGAGACTTAAAAGACCAGTTAAAGGATGTGATAAATGAAAATAAAATAAAGGACGAGAAATTAAACGCAATGATCAAAAGCAACGATGAGCAAAAAAACGCAATAATCACTCAAACGAAATATATCGATGCTCTCATAAAAGCACAAAGTGACAATCAAGAGCTGATAAAAATAATAAATAGTGAAATTAACGAAAAAAACAATGAAATTATTAAAAGAGGCACTCTTATAAATTCATTAAATAAACAAATAAATGAACAAAATGAAGAACTTAAAAAAATTAATCAAGTTAAAGCCGATTTCAATAAAAACCTACTTACTTGTATGGATAATTTCAATAAAAACAATCATACTTTAAATGAAAAAGAAAAAGAAATCCAGGAAAACCAAGTAGAGATTAAAAGAAAAGATGAACTTCTTAAATATAAGGATCAAGAAATCCAGGAGAAGACGGATCAGGTAACAAGCAAAGACGCCCAAAATACGGCTCTAGCCAGTCAAATAAGTGCTATGTCCCAATACTTAACTAAAACTAATGAAAAACTATCTAAATGTGATGAAATAAGCTCCTGTACCACGGCCGGCATAAGCATATACCATATAAGGCTTCCGGGAGTTAGTGAATTTCAGGCTCCTTGCAATGGGGCAGGATGGACGGTGATTCAACGACGTATGGATGGCAGTGTGAACTTCAACCGGGGTTGGAATGAATACAGAGATGGATTCGGTTATTTAACAGGAGAATTTTTCATCGGCCTTGAAAAGTTGCACCAAATAACGAAATCAAGAAAGCACGAACTTTACATCAGTCTAGGAAAAGTGGATGGTTCCACTGATTTCGCAAAATTTGATGATTTTAGGATTGGCAGTGAGAAGGATTCCTATCCATTGGAATCGGTCGGAAATTGCACAGGACATGCAGGGGATTCCCTTAAGGTGCATTTGAAAATGAAATTCACAACATATGACAGGGATAATGACCTGCATCAAGGCAATTGCGCTCAGACGGATGGTGGTGGCTGGTGGTATTCTTCATGTGCACATAGGTACATAAACCGTAAAAAAATAATTTTTTTTAAAGCTTTTAAAATATTAAGCTCCATTCTTTAATTTTCAGCCACTTAAACGGAAGGTTCTACAACGATGGCAAAATGAAGAATAACTTATACGGCATATTTTGGGGAACTTGGCAAAATAACGATTGGTCTGTTTCACTGACATTTGTTGAAATGATGATAAAACCTTCACAATAGACTTTTTTCCAAGACACTTTTTCCACAAATTTATTAGCAACTAAAATAAACAATAAATGGTAAGATTTCCGTTTATTTCACCTGAAGATTAAATAAATTAAAAAAAAAAAGGAACAATAAACTGTTTCTTTTTTAAATGTTGTGACTTGTGTAACTGCCAGAGTGTCGAAAAAACTGTCTGGCAGCATCGATAACAATGAAAAATAATCGAGCCAGTTAAACTAGCTTCAGATAACGAGAGTATTAGTTTACATTGGGTTTCGACCTAAGTTCAAATGTCATTGTTTTCAGTTTCGTATTTTATCATATTTTTCGCACCATATTCTTTCAAGTCAGAAGAATTATCTTACTTTGGGTTCAGAAAGTCAGTTCAAACTATTTGGAGGATGTTCAGTGGTTTCCGAGCTTTGAAGTTTCATAAAATTCTAGATACCAATTTTACATTTCACATTTTAGAGATACTATTAAACAATTTCAATTTAAAGCTGATTTTAAATATTTTTGTAGTTTTATAATTTACTATGCAGAACCGTTACCGGTTGGCAACCGGTAAGGATAGAGTATCAAAGAAGAAACCAGAAAAAACAGCTGGTTATCGTCGCTCTGGGCACACTACAGTAAGCAAAACCACCAACAGCCACACTAATCGTATACAGTGGGCCTGAATCAAAAATATCAGAAATAAAAAAATTTCTCACCTGAGCGGACGTGTGATTTTCGGAGCGGAATCGTCGCGCGCGGATGTTCGGAAAAACGCTGTAAAACATCGGTTCGGAGTGCGCGTTGCCGTCGATTTCGACGGATATTAATAACAAAAAATATAATATTCTGACAAAGGTATTTTATTTGAAAATAATAACTCGCTGAGCGGGGAAAATAGAGTGTTTTCTACCGGATTAGAGCGCGAATGTGTGGTGTGTGAATAAATAAAGCCTGGCTCCGGAAATGGGGCGATTATTAATGTTATTTTGTGGCTAATTTCTAAACAGAAATTCATAGCGAGTCCAAGTGAGTGCCAATTGTGAGACAAAATGGCTGCATTTCAACGCATTTAATGCCCAACAAACATGACGCGTGATGGTCGGTGCGGGGCGGGGTAGGGGTAGGGGAAGGAAGGGACAATCAGAGAACACAACACGGAGAAGGAAAGGAACTGAGAGAGAGCGAGAGAGAGAGAAAGAGAGCAACATAAAAGTAAACATGCGAAAATAACAATGTTTAATTAGCTCAACAAACCAGTTTAGTTGCATTACCATTAAAAATAAAATACTAAGACCTTAAAAAAACGTATAAAAAAGTACTATTTGGTATTAAAAAAAGTTCAAATATAATCAGAACTTCATTTTTTTGTTACTTTCAGTGCAGTAACAACAATGAGGCAGCAACAATATTTTATTAAATGCATTTGGCTGCGTTTGCGCCGCAGCTGCCTCTCTCTCTTATTCTCTCTCTTCCTCTGCTAGTTCACATGAGTGCGAGTGAAAAGCATATAGTGTGTTGTGATTTTTCGGTTTTGGTTTTGCTTTTGTTTTTGTCTTTTATGTTTCTGTGTGTCTTTTAAGACTTTTATTTGAACAAGAATAATATTAATAAGTATGATTTACATAGGTTTTTCAATAAAGTAAATATATTAATAATGAGATGCAACTGTGAGAAGATGAGAAGATGTGACCGTATATGGAAGCAACAGCTGTTTCGGAAAGTAAAATGAAAATAAATAAAAATATTCTCATTTCTGTTATTTTTCAGCTTCGTAGCAACAACCAGAAATCCCGAAAATACAATTTAATAAATAAAATAAAAAATAAATAAAATAATTATTTAAGTTTTTTAATTTTTGCTTTTAATTTGTTAATAAAAAAAATTGTGTTGAAAAAAAAATAAACAATTTATTGAAAATAATTCGTGCGTGCTAAAAAAAAGTGCTTCGAAAATTTATGGCCCATGCCCAGAAGCGTGCAAGCCAGTAAGTGTGTCTCCCCATGTGCGAGTGCTAAGTTTGTAAATGGCATGGCTGGTGCACTGAGCAGCTCCAATTGAGAGCAGGGGTGCCCCCAAAAAAAAACAACTACTGCCACCAAAAAAAATAAATAAAAGAAAGTCAACCAACAACCCAAAAAACAGAAATTTGTGCTAATTCTGTTTATTCCATACCATCCACGTTGGATCCCCATCGTATCATATAATGTCATCAAAATGTGCTTTCAACATTGCATTCGTGGCGATCATTTCCATCATCATCGTAAATGGTAAGATCAACCAGTAGTTGGTTTATTATTATTATTATTTTTTAATCTCTGAAATATTTATAATTTTTTACTCTGCACTTGTCAGAAAACCTCAACAATCTGAGCTTAAAATGAACAACTTTGGGGTGCTGCCAATGACCCATAGACAATAACATTGAAATAATTGCTCAATCATGCGGAAACAAAAGTTAACATTCTCCCCCCCAGAAAGGAACAAAAATAATTACGCACTCCACCAGGATAATTGAGGCAGCAAGAATTTCTCAGCAAGGGTGGTGGGGTGTGGGTGGTGGGTTGGGGGTTGTCTTGTAATTTTAGTAGCCACTTTTGGTAATTGTCCTTTGAGACAAAAAGAAATAAAATAAAATGAAATAAAGAAAAAAAAATCATTTAATGAATTTCAAATGTGTGTCTGTTTGTGTTTTTATGTGAAAATAAAATAAAATAATGATGAGGCTACAAAATGAAGTGAAATTTAAGCGAAAAATTTGCATCATTTTGTGTGAGGTGTTAAGGTTAGAAACATTATCTGTTTCTATAAATAATGTGAAATTTCATTTACATATGCATTTGTATGTACGCCTCGTACTCAGACTTATACCCAGATTCCTTTGTTTATTTCAACAAAGCCAGTCCATTGTGAGAATAGGTAGCCCACAGAAGACAAGTGACTCATTCAGAGTCGAGAAAACCTCAGGGAGTCATCCGTTTGCGTTGTGAAATACTTGGAAAAAAATATATACTAACCATGTTAGGTATTTTGTATAAAAAAAATAAATACATTTTATGTATTTTTTTTTGCCACTTTAGCTAATTTGTTTGCCTTGCAAGATTTTCTTAAAGTTCAACATTACAAAACCCGAGGCAGGGCAGGGCCCCAAGACAACAAAAACAACATCCACTCTTGGCTAATTAGCAACAAAGTCAAGCAACATGAACATGAGCACACAGAGAGAGAGAGAAGGAGAACCAAAGAAGAAGCAACAGAGAAGGCAGAAATGAAAACTGGTTTATCCACTTGGCCGGCTAATCTGACAACACAAAGAAGGGGAGCAGCACCAGCAGCAGCCCCAAGAGCAGAATAGAGTATATCTGGAAGCGAGACACACAAAATTTTAGCCAAGTTCTTATGTTTATTGTACGCCCATGCAAAAAAAAAAAAAAAAAGGTCAATGTCTTGGCATTATCTGTCTGGGCGCAAATACCATATAGAAAGAAATGTAAAGTGAGAACTTTTTATGAAAATAAATACGCAACAGCTACTATCGCGGAAGAAGTTTTTCTATCAGCTGGCTTGCAAAGCTCAGCGGAAGTGACAGATATTTATGTTCATTTTATATATTATATAAAAAGTTCTCTTAAAAAACCAAGCTATCTGGGGATGCAAATAAAGATACAGATGCAGATACAGATACAAGAGGGATTTCAGATAGCGATAGTTATACACTGTTTAGGTAAGATAGTAAACAAACTATAGTATCGTATTGCATTTAAAGATAGCTTAGGTTTATGTAAAATACATCTTTTAATACTCAACGGAAGTGACAGATATTTATGTTTTTTTTTATAAATTTTATAAAAACTTCTCTAAAAAAAGAAGCTATCTTGGGATGCATACAAAGATACTGATGCAGATACAGGCAGGATTTAAGATAGCGATAGTATAGCTAAGATAGTAGAATTATTATACCCTTGCAGAGGGTATTATAATTTTGTCCAAAAGTGTGCAACGCAGTGAAGGAGATATCTCCGACCCTATAAAGTATATATATTCTTGATCAGGATCACCTCCTGAGTTGATATGATCATGTCCGTCTGTCCGTCTGTCCGTCTGTCCGTCTGTCTGTCCGTCTGTCTGTTTCTACGCAAACTAGTCTCTCAGTTTTAAAGCTATCGACTTGAAACTTTGCACACACCCTTCTTTCCTTTGCACGCAGTATATAAGTCGGAACGGCCGGGATCGGCCGACTATATCCTATAGCTGCCATATAACTGATTGATCGGAAATGGTATAACTTTGGTGTTTTTTGAGTTAGAGGGCTAAAAATTGACATGAGAGCTATTTTTGGCAAAATAATACGACATGCCAAATTTCATATGGATCGGCCGACTAAATCCTATAGCTGCCATATAACTGAACGATCGGAAATGACCCAACTTTCGTGTTTTTGAAGATAGAAAGCTGGAACTTGGTACACATTCTATTTTTGGTCAGTTTATCCGACCTACAAAATTTCATTAGGATCGGCCGACTATATCCTATAGCTGCCATATAACTGAACGATCGGAAATGGTATTTGGTAGAAATATCAACTTTTGTATTTTTGAAGATAGAAGCTTGGGACTTTTTTTCGATTTTTTATTGTAATTGATTGGTTTTATTATGATGTAATCATAAGGATCGGCCAACTATATCCGATGTTTGCAATATATATCCGGTTTGAACTGCAAGGGTATATCAACTTCGGCTCCGCCCGAAGTTAGCTTTGCTTTCTTGTTGTTGAATAAGTTTGGGTTGCTGTTGCTAAAATATTCCCCTCACTGACGTTATATTTTTATACATATTATATGACAATTTTTAGATATAGTAGTATAGTATCTTATTCAATAGTATCTTATTCAGCGATAGTATCTTTATATACCGCGTTTAGCTAAGATATCTTGTTTTAATATCATCTGTTTAAGGGAAAGATAGACTTATTTTTGAATAAAATTGGGATTTATGTATTCCCTAATAAGTATAATATTGCAGTCACTAACAACTGATGTTTCTTTTTTTAATCAATACTGGGGGAGATATCTAGATATCCACTTCTACATAACAATAATATCTTATTTAACAATAGTATCTTTAGCTCAGTATCTTTCACCCCACTTAGCTCAGCTATCTTTTTAAAAACTCTTTGTTTCAGTAAAAGATAATCTTAATCTTGAAGCAGTCTTGGATTGTATTAATAAAATACCCCACTCACTAAAAAGTGATATTAATTTTTGGAGTCGCAGCTGGCGTTCTGGTTTTTATTACTATCGATAAGCTGTTGTCTAGAACTTTCTTGAAATGTTATGCCCACAGCAGGAAAAAAAAATGTCATAAGTCACATTGGTCAATAAAGCGAAGGGTGCGAAGGAGTGGAGAGTTCTAGGCCCTAGAACAATAGGCATTTTTCCTGGGCATTTGTGCAATTTTCCTTTTTCTTTATTTGCTGTACGTGCCAAGTGCAACATAGTAAACAAACAAATAATGAAGCCATCCCCATCCAAACTAGAGATGACAACGTGATTGCCGATTGATATATTCGCGATGTACAGTCTCGTATATCAGTATATTGACCTAAAAATGGTTTATCTCGTTGCGAGGCAGCCCTGAGCTGATTTATTGTGATATTGCCATCTAGAAGATAGACTATCTGCGTCATACATGTGTGGCAGATACAATTGTATTTTCAAAATGCAAAATGTGTCACATTCAAGAGTCGTATTCGCTGTGCATGCGAGTGACATTTATTGTTTGCCGAGTGCCAGCCAAATAAAATATAATAAAAAAATACATCCAGTACATGTGGTGGATAAATCCCTTAAGCTTGTTGAATGAGTGAAGCGCATGGCACTTCAAATTGATGAGTAGCTTTAATAATAGGGCGTGACTTGATGTAAATTGCTTTCTAGGGTGCTGCACATGCAAAGGGCTCCAAATGGGGTGAAATGGGAGGGCGATGGTGTATCCCGCCAGGTGATGAAAGGAACTCTTCAGACAGCGTTCGATGTTATTTAATTTTTCCTAAATTCTAAAATACTCTTACCGTCTTTGCGGATTCTATTACATAATGGCTTATACTTTCTATTGCCAAATGGAATATTTAGTGGCCTGATAAATGGTCTCAACTTTCTCGCATATGTGTGTGTGTGTGTATGGCCTGTAATTCAATCAGGGAGCCCTTAAATTGGATTTTATGTGAGAATTATGCTGCCTCATTATGCCAAATGGCCTAAATAACAATCAAACCGGGACTTCTCGCATGACACCATCTGAACGACAATGAGGGGGTGGAGGGGGGAAGCAAAAAAAAAAAATTTAATTAAATTATTAAAGTTGCGCGGTAAGCCACAGAGATACCGAGGAGATACATAAACAAACAGACGAGCAGCAGACAAAGGCATAAAAACTTTTCTTTTCTTTTCTTTCCTCTTTTTCCCTCTTTTTCCCTCTTTTCCTCTATCCTCTTTGCATTTTTATTTTGTGAGTCAAGTTGCGAAGCATAAACAAACGGAGGCAAAAGATTCGCCAAGACGAGCGCCAAGATACATTATGCACAGACGCAGCTTCAGATACAAGATACACCACATCCCCTTCTACAAAACAAAGAAAGAAAGAAAACTAAGAAGTCAAAGCACATTTTCGTGTCGGCATCCCGACTCTAAGGAGCTTCAAATTATTTACACTTACGGATGCTCCTGAACTTTATCCTTTAAGGATACAGAATCCTTTTAAAACATCTAATTGATTATATTATTGATTTAATAAATTCTTTTGAAAAGAAAAATGATAAAG